GCAAAGTATGCGAAACGTCGGGCCGAAGTTAAAAATCATTTTCAAATAAGTTTAACTAATATATCGCGTTTTAAACCCTTAAAGTGTTTTATTTAAATGTTGGACTTCGTCTGGAAATCTTGATATTTAATGTGAGCTAGGAATATCGAAATTCCGCCCGTGTCACGTATCACCGCCTACAGTCGGAAAAGCCGTCAAATTTAATCGCGTTTCGGTTACAGTCTGTGGATTTCTGAATGACCAAAAACCAAAATACACATAAAAACAGCACATCTTACATCTGCAATGTTATACCCCTATCATCACGTGAAACCCATGCTTGACTGTCCTCCTCTATCATATTAGAAAACTCAATTACTTTTATCTTTGTTAACTCGGCTAAGATCCCTGGCCCGTCCAATCATCAAACGATATCGCTTCAGTGAACAACCTCTAGTTAATACTTATTCATTAATTCGCAAACAACACTGTATTGTTTGCAATATTGGTCATTATATTTGCACTTAAGCATTCGGCTGGCGCGACAATAAATTATTATGGTCCCAGTAATTAACATCTTGGTTTGATGCATTATGCTTGCATGATTAAATACGAATCACTATTTTTGCACAGCTCCAGACCTCGTGTAGGGTCAATTTCCAGACAAACAATAAAATTAGTAAACCAAACATATACTAGACGTTTCCTGCAATGGTACATTTAATGTTTAACTATTGTGATTTGACACATACATGATGGCATAATATATATTAAAAATCGATTTTAGATTGAAACAAATTTACCATACAAGGTCTGGAACCGACCGGAACGTTCGAACCGTTGCTCGAACTAACAGACATGGTAATGTAAAATAGATAAAGAATGGTAATGTAAAGTAGTTTTTATATCTATTGTGCTTTCCATTACAACTAATAAAAAGTCTACGTTTCACAGTCACGGTTTCTTTAAAAAAATATGCAAGAGAATAGTGGTGAAAAACAAAGTTTATCAATGACCTACGTGGAAAAGTATTAGCTCTAGTATAAAGAAACCATGACTTCCGATTGCTGTGCGTGCACCAAAATACATAGACGTCGTTACGCAATGCGCAGCCAAATTTGACGTGTGGGAACTCGTAGTCATTAAGAGGGCGAAGACAGAAATAGATGATACTATTTGTGAGGCTGATGTGTGTCATCTGCTGCTTAATTGAGAAATAATTCATAGTAAACTCCGACATAATGATTTTCATGTTCATTCATAGAACAATTTTAAAGCTAAGCTTGTAATTATTTCACAAATAATTTGAGAGTGATAAATATTTTAAATGTACTTTCATTGAGGTAATAAGAATATTTTTTAAATTTAATTAATAATTTAAGACAGGACTTGAACCGGCATCGACAGCTTAATACGTAGTTTGAAATAACTTTGCGATAAAGGTTGAAAAAATTGACGAAGACGGTGACAATCGAAACAGCACGGAATGCCGTCGATGCCGGTTCATTTCCTCGCCGTGTAGTCATTTTTTTCAATTTACTCTCGATTTTTAATTTATATAGTGGCACCATGTGCAATAACATGTAAAAAAATTAAAGTTAAATACTGTCTGTAGTTTATGCAAGTAGTACACATTTAAACAAAATACTTTAACGGTTGAAAACGCGATATAAATTAGTTCAACTTATTTGAAATTTATTTTAACTACGGCCCAACGTTATAATAAATATTATATTTTTGAAACTAATATTTATTATATAAGTCTTCTACATTACATATGAAATTTAAATTCTGTTTGTCCCACATGGGACAGTCACATTACCTTTCGTTTCAACGTATTATGTACATTACCCAATCGAAATTACTTTCTGTTCTCCAAGATTTGGACCTTGGACACTTTCACGTAAGCGATTTTATTATTTTACTATCCTCAAAAATGGCAAAGTGTTTGAAAGTGTAGCGTTAGCGCCACACTATCCAACACGCTCTAATCCGGATTACACAGGGTTTATCCATTTTTAAAGGAAAACGGATACATGAATCACGAGATGAGGTGTTAACAAATAGGACTAGCGGAGGTCGGAACACCTGAGCGGTTGGCACGATGTCAAGTTGCGTAATGTAACCGCGAAAACAGGAAACAGGGTTATTTGAGTTACTGGCATTATCATATAATTGATATTAATCTATTTATAAGTTACCTTACGTTTTTTGCTTTGATGTATCCGACTAGTATTATAGATGCGAGATTATATAAGAGTTGATGAATGTATTATATGTAGCCTACTATTTTTTTATGAGGACAGCATAGGGTTAATTTGATCTTAGGTGAAACACCCAAGCCATATAACATCTAAACAACAAGCGCTATTTTGGCTTTGGACATTCGGAACTCCACAGACTGAAACTGAAAGCCAATCTTGATGGCTTTTACATCTGTTGACGTGTTCGATATTCCTACCACCCATTCAATATTCAGATTTCCGAACCATCACAACATGTCTCGGAAAACTTATAAATTTAAATGAAACACGTTAACGGTTCAAAACGCGATATATTAGTTAAACTTATTTGAAAATGATTTTTAACTTCGGCCCGACGTTTCGGATGCTTTGCAGCAGCCGTGATCACGGGGAGACTAAAGATGGAGCATGTCTCTGACGTCAAAGTAAAAAATTGCTACGCTAGCGCCATCTGTTCCGTCGAAGTTGGTATTTGGCGAAAATGGCCGGGTCCTTACGGCCAGTTTCGCCAAATACAAACTATAGACAGTTGACTCGCGTAAAGTGTAGACAGTATTTAACTTATAAATTGATTAGAAAACTGTTGGACCTGGTGGGGATCTAACCCAGAATTCCTTTATTATTAGCCATATGTTGCTATTATTACGCCAACGAGCCCCTCAATAATATTTCATAGCTCATAATATGTTAAATGTAATATCACAATATCAATGGTAAAGCAGCGGAATAAAGTTAGTTTCAATAAAAAAAAATCTCAGCCTCTAATTTTTTTTAAGCCATAATTACTTAGCTTATAAATGCAAACCTAATTATTGTATACTGTGCCTACAATGAAGCTAGATTAGCTTCTTCATACGAGACAATAAAAAATATGTGTTATCGCCATATAGTTATACCTGCTTATCAGGACCGAACGCTTATCTAACGATAAATTTTCATTGCCAATGCTGTGGGCAAACAATTTGATTTAATAATTTCATTCATAAAGAGGCACAGTAGCGTAACTGCATTTTTTTTGACTTGAGTTATTGTATTTTTATAGTCCAAAAATGTTAATCTACAAGAGCACAGTGACCAAAAATTGTTAACATAATTTTTACACAAATAGTTAAATTCATTTTCGCCTAAGTTAAACGCTAATTTTTATTTCCCTCTTTATTGAAAATCATATTTTATGTTATTAGGCCACTCTGCCTCTGTCGTAACGTATTTTTTATTCTACATTATTCACCAGTTTCGAGTCCCTCTTACTATTTTCAAAACATCATTACAATTGAAAGCTTTTGACTCCCAGTGTCGTCGAGAAAAAGCTTTGGCTCGTAGCGAAAACGCTAATAGCCGCGCTATTTCAACACTCGAACAACGCTTGAATTTATACTAATATTATAAAGTTGAAGATTTTGTTTGTTTGATCGTACTAATCAAAGGAACTTTTCGAATTGAAAAATCCTGTCGGTTAGAGCATTTATCGAGGAAAGCTTTATGCTATAAAACATTACAAGAAAAAACTGAGTGAAATGTGGAATAAATGGGGAAAATTATTTGGTATATTATTAGAAGTATATATGATATTTCTTTTAAATTATATCCATATTTTAAGATATAACTTGCAAGAACGACGGGACGCGGACGACGTCGTGAGTAACAGCTAAACTTTATAAAGGAGAAATATTCTACCCGAACGAAGTCGCGGGCTCAGGTAGTACTTCAAATGGCGAAAGAACATTTGCCAGGTCAGCTAGTAATTTACGTAGCTCAGGAGTTTGTTTTCAAAAATAAAGATGATGGCCAAAGTGATACTACACGGACAAAGTCGCGGGCACAACCAGTTCAATAACAAATCGAGATCGCAGCCTTACAAAGTGAGCAGGGAAATCAATGCTAAATGAGCCATTACTCTATTCACAGAGTTTTTGCCAGATTTCTTTTCTTGAATAATGATCCTATTAACGTCTCTTAAATTAATTTAATATCCCTCTTTACTGCTTTCGTCCGTAACAAAACCTCTCGCGGAATTGCTGTGTCGCGAATTATTCATGTCATACTTTCAGTCATTTAATATTCACTTTTAAATATGTGAGCATGTTAAGAACTTTAGATATTATTGCGTGATGCTTGTTACTTAAAAATGGAGGTAACCACGGTAGCTCAATTGGTTAGAGCAACAGCACGGAACGTTGTGAATGCCGATTTAAGTCCCACTATCGACGATTATAATGTATACAATGGAATGGTAACATTTTACGTCTTATAATCAACGGGTCGATGGTTCGAACCCCACCGGGTCCAAAATTTTTGCATTCAATTTATAATTTTTCTGAAAAATGTTGCATTTCGTCTAGAAATCTGGATATTAAAGACGTGGTATGAATATGGAAGTTTCGTCCGAGTATCAAACCATCGTCCGCATATGAAATAGTCTGTGGGTCTCCGAATATCCAAAGCCAAAATAATTAGATAACAGCGCAACAAATGTTAAAGTTTTCAAATGTCTGATAACATTTTCAAACATCCAATCAATGGTCCGTTAGTAACTACTTGAAAATACATAATATTCGAAAACAACGTGGCTTTCCAATTTGTGCTATACAATGTTAACATTTGCGTGCATACTACGTCTAAACTGCACTCAAATTGTGGACGAAAATTGGGTTATATGTGTATAGAGTGTTATTGGTGGCTGAAGTTGATAATCAAATTAGGAGCCTTAAGTTAGCGAAGCGGGCAGCGCGTGCGACAACCACCCCCTGTGATAAGAATCACTAATGCTCTTCAAGTATGACTGTGCTGGTGTCAGGTTTGTCTCATCTACGTGATTCTTTTTATAAGTCGACACATTATTTCACTGATCTCAAAGATATGCCTTAGAATACAGCTTATACTTTGAGCGGACTCGTTGTTCTTTTTATCACTTAAATAAAACACTTCAACGGTTTAAAACGCTATATATATTAGTTAAACTTATTTGAAAGTTATTTTAACTACTCCACTTTTTGTCTTGTTTCGTTTGTATAATAAAATTACCCCTATTCCCTCGTTCTGGCGAAGTAAATTTAGCAGACACAATACTGTCGCGGATATTTTTCTAAATCTTAAAGAAGAATAATTCGTTAAATAAAACACTTTAACTGTTTAAAACGCGAAATATATTAGTGAAACTTTGTGAAGTGAAATTAATACAATTTGTTTTAAACCGTTAAAGTATTCTACTAAAATGTGTACTACTCACGTAAACTACATAACAGCATTTAAGAATACTTTCTCTTTCATACATATTTTTCGGTTTCTTAAACTATTTTTATAGCCTTCCGTTTTATTTGATAAATGGTCTAATCAACACAAAAATTATTTTCAATTCGAGTAGTTCCGGAATATAGCTCATTCAAACAAATAAACTCTTCAACTTTATATTAAAGATTTATTGTGAAGTCCGCGTAAACTCCAGACGTAATCAATAAACAGACAGGCTTTCCGAACATTTCGCATAGTGTAGATAAGAACGCACAATGCGAGCAACACATGCAAGAGACAACATACGTCTGAATTTATTTCGTCCCTCGTAAGCATTCGTTTATATCGCACACAATAGACCCGGCACTCAAAATTCACATTCACCGGTGCAGTGGGATTTTTCTCAGATTCACCTTAATTGAATTCGCTTTCGGACAGTTTTATTTACGTTTCCTTTGATGGCGCCGGCTCCCGCGTTTTAGATAAATAACCAATTATCTCAATTCGAATTAATTCCCTCCGAGAGCTTTGTGCATTCCCACATTCGTGCCTATAATTCTGAAAGCAATTGCAATCTGATAAATGTCATTGCCCGTGAGATATTTTCGCATTTTGCATCTATTAAATTGTTCGTTCGAGCGGTGTGTTTGTGTTATCGGTGTGTTTTATACATTTTAATATATAAACGGATTTGCAGTTGTGAGTAATGAGAAGCTTTTATGAAATAATATTATAACGCTAAAGAGATCGTTTGTTGCAACACGATAATAACAAAAATCACTGGTTCGAATAGGAGCGAAGAAACACACGGAGATGTGGAGAAAACGTTTCAAGATATAAGAATTATTGTAATTTAAATAATGTTAAAAAAAAATCCATGACAGTGTCATCTACATCTATCTTTTAATGTTACCTCACAAGAAATGTTTTTATAGGAACCAAATTTCGTCGAAATACTTCAAGGGGAATAGACGTTGGCCAGATTAGGCAGTTAATATATAAGTTTTTTTAAACGTCGCGTTTAGAACCGATAAAACTGTTTGATTTATATGTGTACTACTTGCGTAAACTACAGCCGTTGCTATGATTAATTTAATTAAGCGTGGTCTAAAAAAATTATGTATTTTGGCGAGAAATGTAAATCCGAGTTTAAGTGAATGTAAATTTTTGTGCAGACTTACGGGCGAGCGACTGCCCAAGTCGAATAAGTTTTTATTAATTTATTTTCGATTTTTAAATTATATAGGTGCCTTCATGTGCAATAACCCAATTTGTGAAAAAGTATTAATGTTTTCAAACGTTAAGCGTGGTCTTCAAATATTATGGAGTATTTAATGGCTGTGGACATGTAGATCCGAGTTTAAGTGAATGTAAATATTGTGCAAAGATTTACGGGCGATCGCGTCAAAACCCTAATAAGCGATGGTATTATATTGACAGGGCGTACCCACTAACCCAATTTGTACAATAGTACTAAGTAAACAAAGCTCGGTTAAGTATTGTCAGTTTAGGCGAGTAGTACACATCTAAATAAAACACTTTAAACGTCTCCCCATGACCACTGCTGCTGCAAAACATCCAAAACGTCGACATGTAGTTAAAATAATTTTCAAATAAAAACTTATTTGAAAATCGCGAAATATATTAGGTAACACACCTAATATATTTCGCGTTTGAAACCGTTAAAGTATAACCGTAAGTACAGACAGTATTTATCACTTCATGGTTTAAAACACAACATATTTTACATAACAAAGAATTATAAGTCATGACTCAAAATCCACAATTTATTTATCGTTTGCCCTTTGATTTCTTTAGTCACATTACACCACGAATCTTATCACTTTCGTAACTCACTTAGTCAGTATTAAAAGCCGTACGTAAAACTTCTGCTGTGTTGCCATAGCAACGCGTACAATGAAGGTATAGGTCTCGATTTATTATCCGATCATAAATCACATGAATACTTAAATTACGGTGTTCAGATGTAGGACGTAGGCTTTATTTGCTCGTATATTGTTTGAGCTGTTCAATATATTCAAGTTAAGCAGCCTTACGTTTATTGCTGAACGGAGAATTGATACCGTTTTCATTTCATACACCTAAAAAAAAAAAAAAAAAAAAAAAAAAAAAAAAAAAAAGGGGGGGGGGGGGGGGGGGGGGGGGGGGGGGGGAAACACCACCCCCCCAAAAAACCCCCCCCCGGGGGGGGGGGGGGGGGGGGGGGGGGGGGGGGGGGGGCCCCCCGCCCGCCGCCCGGGGCGGGGCCCCCCCCCCCCCCCCCCCCGGGGGGGGGGGGGGGGGGGGGGGGGGGGGGGGGGGGGGGGGGGCGGGGGGGGGGGGGGGGGGGCCCCCCCCCCCCCCCCCCCCCCCCCGGGGGGAAGAAAAAAAACCCCCCCCCAAAAAAAAAAAAAAAAGAAAAAAAAAAAAACCCCCCCCCCCCCCCCCCCCCCCCCCAAAAGGGGGGGGGGGGGGCCCCCCCCCCCCCCGCCCCCCCCCCCCCCCCCCCCCCCCCCCCCCCCCCCCCCCCCCCCCCCCCCCCCCCCCAAAAACCCCCCCCAAAAAAAGAACCCCCAAAAAAGGGGAAAAAAAAAAAAAAAAAAAAAAAAAAGGGGCCCCGGGGGGGGGGCCCCAAAAAAACCCCCCAAAACCCCCCAGGGGCCGGGGGGGGCGGGGGACCCCCCCAACCCCAAAAAAGGAAAAGGGGAAAGGGGAACCCCAAAAAAAAAAAAGGGAGGGGGGGGATAACCCAAAGTAAATTTACAAAAAAGGGAGGGAAAAAAAAAAACCAAAAAGGGGAAAGCGGGACACAGAAAATAATCTCATAAATGACTTGACATCAGAATATAAATAAATTACCCTTTTCGAAGCCTACGACACGGATTCACCTACGCAATATTTTTCGTAGAGCCGCTACGCCGCTGTGAGCAAAATACATACGTATATAAGTATATACCTAACTTAGTAGCTCGGAAAGATTTGTGGAATGTACTGTAGTCTTACCAAGTTTTGCTTAGTAGATATTTTAGACGCGTAGTTTTGATCCTTGAACAATTTCAACCTCTAAACTTTGTGCACTCTTAGTACACAGCCCATTTCTATATAGTGTACAAATATTATTAAATTATTCTTCCTTTGTTTTATCAAATAGTTTACAATAAAATCTATTAAAAATACAAACTGAATTATAATGTAGTGATCTTTAAACTGAGAAAACACAGTTCTCTGTATTGTTTATTTTTGTCGTTTTAAAAACCTACTGATCAATTATTTAATATATTTATGCAAGTATATTAAAGTAAAGGTCAATGACCTTATAATGAGAGAAAAAAAAGATTGTAGATTTTTTTCAATTTAAAGTGCTACTAAAGGCATTTTGAAACGAACTAAACGTTCACAGTGAAATATGAACGCGTTGAACTACTAAAGTAGCACAATCATGCTTTGCAGCAATTTACCTGCGTAACCAACAAAGTTATTACAACAATATAACTTTCGCTCTTTGCATAAACGATGCCATTTATCAAAACGTTAATGTGTGTTTACATTTAGTGTAAACGATTTTGCGTTTCGCTTAAATTTAGTATCATTTTTAACTAAGGCGGAAGAAAGTTCCATCTTTAGGAAAGTTTTTTGATTCTTTTATTACGATTGTCTATACAAATAGTGACAAACCTTGAATTGCGCAATTAAGTAGACAGGTCAATTGTGAAGGGTGGAATTCTTATCAACAGTTAAATTTTCCCTATCTCCACCTCGTTTTATGGCGCTCACAAATGGAGGTCTTGATCATTTTAGTTTTATGACCCGATTTTATACTTAGTGTCCATTACTGAGATACCTCTGAGATTTGATCAAAGGATATTTCTTATGTTCAAGAAGTGTACAACGACATTAATTGCGCCTAACTTTTGAATTTTCTTTAAATAGATAGTTTTGAATACTTTTCGAGGTTAAAGCAAAAATAATAACATCAGAATATTCTAATTAATGAAATTTTGGACACTATATTTACAAACGCGATAGGCATTAATGCTGTCTGTATGTTACAATTATTTTAACATACGTAGGTTACTAACTTACTTAAAATTACTATTACTTACACAAAATCGTTTCAATCAAGTTGTATTCAGCATAATTTACTTGCATTCTTAGTTTAGTTTATAGTAAGCTTGAGTGTAAGTAAACCAGTAAACAGTCAACTTTACTGGTTTATCTTACCAGATTCACAATGATTACCGCCAGCACGATAACGACAGTGAGGTGAAATAATAATTGTAACTTATGCTTGTTATCAGCGGTGTGGACGCCCGGGGCGCCACCACCACAGCGCGCGGGCGAAAGTGGGCCCACATCAGCCACTCCGCCTGTGCCGCCACCACCACCCATTTGGACCCCCAGCAGTGCCACGGCATCACCCCAGACGCCGCGAAAAACCTTCCGCCCTGTCCACTTTGAGGAGTCGCCGCCTGCCCGTCGGAAATTTGAAGTGAGTTGTGTTTAATGATCGCGCTATAAATAGAATTATAGCCATATCACCCAAATAAATTAATGATGGGATAGTACAAAATTTATTAAATTATTTTATGTCTATAGTTTAATTTCTGTAAGTAAAAAAATCATGAGTAAGGCTACACTAATATATTAATCAGAAGACTTTGTACGTTTATTTGTTTGCTTCCTTTTTAAATGGCCTAAAAAAATGTCCGCGGCACTACATTATGTCTATTTTTTAAGAACTACTTGCAAGAACAAAGGGACGCGACCGACGTCGTAGGTAACAGCTTAGATTTATAAAGATAAACAAGAGGTTTGCAAAAACTAAATTCGATGCCCAAATTAACGATTCTTCGCAAACGACGTACAATATATATATATATACACAATCACAATATTATAAATACTTAGATAAACGGCAAAACAAAACAGTGAATGTTTAAAGCTAAACTTCGTAAGCGTCTCCTCTTTATAAAAACAAGTGTTTTAAACAAGGAAATTGAATTTGAAAAGTTGAGAAACGTCATTGCGAATATCTTTGCTTAGATATCACAAATAAGAAAGTTCAAAGTAAACTCATAAACTTTGCAAGAAGTAGGAAATAAGACCATTAAAAGACTTTATGCTTTTACAGTAAAGAGTCTCTGTGCATCTTTGTTAAGAGCGGCCGGGATTTCTTTAAAAGCATATTAATGATGTCCTATATACAATTATATTTCTGCACCTTTGAAAGAAGTCCTGGGTTTAAATCGTAGGAAAACATCGTGCCCAACCATAACATGTTTGGATGGGTGCAAAAGTTTGATGACTGATTTACCTGTAAATGTAAATGTGAAAGGGGATTTCCTACAGAATCTTTAAAGTACCTATTACATTTATTTAAAAAAACTTTACTTTGTAGCCGACACACGCTTAACATTATATAATGTTGGGTCTCCATACAAATGAGGTACAAAGTACAAATAGCTTTTTTTTTTTTTTTTTTTTAAAAATAAAATATTAGTATTTTTGTAACATAAATATTTTTAGAATTTTTAATAAACTGTGTATGCATATGTATCAGCTGATGTTTATACACTACAATGGTCGAGTGTAATAAAAATCAAGTATTAATTTAAATAAACCACTTTTAGGGATATGTTTCTGTTAATCTAATACGGGTTTCGTCTTTTAAAGTGGTATTTTTACTTAGAAGTAACTACCCCTTTAAATTAATATCATTTCCATGTACTACCCCATTTTGTATATCCATGGTAAATAGTAATATGAAAATTCAAATATCGTACTACTTCCCAATTTAAATTGCTCTGCAGGCCTACACAGGCCAAACTCTTTCCAAGAATCACTGCAATATCTCAGCCAGTCTGTTATATTTCGTATATTCTACAATATTGTGCAACTCTCGCAAATCAATTTATACGGAGAGGTGTTCAATAAGTCTGTATGCATCCAATTTGTCCGAAGATGCGAGTAATAGTGCGGTGACACTGCCACAGGGGTCTGACGAGCCAGTTAGGTCGCCATTATGCCTTGAATAATTACCATTCTATTCTACTTCTTTATAAACTTGGCTTAAGGCAATAAAGTTACATTCGTGAGCACATACAACTGACGCGTCACAACTATAGTTAACAAACTCCTTCGAAATGGCTAGACTGATTTTTATGCAATTTTATAGTAGTAGTTTAGTAGTACAGTAGAATAATAGTAGTTACTATCTATTTTTCATACCCCTAAATGATGCATGTTATCCGCCACAATTTTTTTTATAATGTGGCTTAAAAAATACATACAATCCAACCCTTATTTTTATTAGTTGTTTTGGTAATTCAATATCTGATCAATTCCTTTTGGTAAGTTCTCCTCCCCTGACATCTACTGGCGTCAATAAATTATAATACTTAATTGTCTAAAATACTAAAACATGCACTGTAGTTTAGTAGTTTTATATGCACTAGCCAAGGAGTTTATTTGCAGTTTATCACAGTTACATATTACATCAATCAAATAAAAATTTGGTAACACAAAAGTCCGACAATATTACAGCAATACGAAAGAATATAATTGAAGCGGTTTAAAACACGATATTTCATTTAAATAAAACACATTAACGGTTTAAAACGCGTTATATATTATTTAAACTTGTTTGAAAATTCTTTTTAATTATTTTTTTAATATATTGATATTTCATATTATTTGCTACATTTGTTCTACTACTATAAATTTTACATATGTTTGCAGAATACGGAACAGAACGGATGTACCAGCGGTTCAGAGAGTGACAGCCGGCTTCGAACCTCACACAGCGCTCCCCTTACAGGGCTGAACTCGCTGGGTGCTAGCAGACTGCCGAAAGCCCAGAACCCGACTGTTACCTTACTTCAAAAAGCACGAGGTATGTATTAGGAATTTCAAGAGGTTGACAGTGTATTTGTAATTTTAAAAAGAATACTGGTAACCATTCATGTAGAACAATTTGCGGTAAAAATAAAAAATCTATTTTAAATAAAAAAAAATAGGACTCGGGCAGGACATTTCTACAGTCGTAAATTTTTTCAATTTATATTTTTTTAAATTTATGTTGCCACCATGTGACGTGAAGAATGTTAAAGGTTTCAAATTGCAATATGTTTATTTTTCTACTTGTGAAGATATAATAATAAAAATTATAAAAAAAAAGTATGTAAACATAACTACATTAAATATTTTACTCCAAATCAATAGATCAAATATAATATGGATTCCACAGATAAAAATTTGAATTTTTTGAAATACAGAAATGTTAAGTGAACATAACTACTTTTTATTCGTTTACTATAAAACAATAAACTCAAAATCTAACAGTGGATTTCACAGATTGAATGTTTACAAACGCCACGTAAATAACTTACCGCTTCAGTCAGTGATCAAGTTCGAAATTTTCATCTTTTAATGGATCCGGTGTGGATGAACAAAAGGCTCAGCCGACGCCCAATTTAATTACTTGATGCATTCTCTGAAAGGCATAAAAATCTTATTTCGTCTGACTAAAACATCAAAGGGATTCTTGAAGCATACTACAACAATCACTTTGTAATTTATTCGCAAGCAAAGTTCCTAATGGAAGTTAATTTGCCTCAAACTTGTAATTTGAGACACTCGGTCGTTTAGCGACTAATATAGAAAAGCGATAAGCAAAATTATTGCTCTCTATCGGTCTAATGGCTTTCAACTTGCCGTAATCTGTGGATATTTTCTAATTAGTTGGGAATTATTGTCATTCACCTTTAATGGGATTACAGGAAGGCTAAGTTCACCGCGCTGAGGATAACTAACTGTAAATGCGTCTGCGTCCGAATTAGTACTCTTGAAATGTAGGAAATACTTTACTCACTTACTTGGAAATGATTTTTAAAAAACCTATCGTAAACTATATTGTATTAATCGATTATCGCCTACTCATGTATTAAAACGAATAATCAATGTAACTTATTTTTAACTAAGAACCGATGTTTCGAATGTTTTGCATCCGCTATGGTTTTAAACTGTTTAAACGTTTTTTATTTAGGTGATAGAAGAAATGTGCGTTTTTTATTTGCACGTTTAATTCGTGTCTAAAGGACTTAACAAGACTTATCATTTATTAATAAAGTTTCTGAATAGATATTATTAATTCTGAATCCCAAGAAACATATCTAGTGCTTCAGCGGGCCAATGACAAGGGTTAAGTTATAATTAAAGTTTCATAGAATGGCACCATGCTGTTACCATCGCTGTGAGTGAAAACTATTCAAATGGCTACCCCATTAGACAAACATTACGCTGGGATTTCCTCGGGGATATTACAAAGTTTAATAGAGTTTTCACTGAAGAAAAACATATTTACTTTGACTTCACTGACCTAACTCGTTTTAAAATTTATGTTTCGAAATAGCTTCAAAATTTCTATTAACTATATTGCGCGGTACATGTATCAATAAGTTGAAAAAATTTTACGATGAAGTGTGGAGCTCGGTAGCTCAATTGGTTAGAGCAACAGCAAGGAACGGTGACTATGCCGGTTCAAGTCCTGCCGAGTCGATTTTTTTTTTCAATTTATTTTCGTTTTTAATCCTTTAACTATATAAAATGTTATAAAATTGGTCTTAGTTATGATTATCTATTTCCTATCCCAATGAACTTGATTTCACACTCACAGACAAAGATACGAGTATACTAAGGTTTACTCCAAAGATGTTATTCTTTTATGTTGTAGACAAAATGTTATTATTACTCGTTTTCCAGAAGGACAATTGTCACGCACAATAAGCCACCAGCCACAAGAAAGTGACTCTCGTCTACCACGAGACAGGCCATCACCACCATTCGGAGATCCTAGTAAGTAACATCATGAGTTTTTGGAATTTGAATAAAAGATTAAAACTTATAAGTCGAATCTACGATAACTAATAACAAAGCTTGTTTGTGTCGTCCAAGATCATCAAAATTAAAAAAAAAAACCTTTGCTCAATCATATTTTTTTATTCCTATAACACTGGCTGACTTCTTACGTACATTTAATTATCTGTGGCTGCTGAATACAGATTATGTGTATAAATCGTAATGACTAAAGTGTCAGGATTCATAACTATCTTAGTTACAATATTTAGCTCGTGTTCCTGTGACTATTATACACATTAAGAGATGTACAAATATATAGAGTATATAAAAGTAAAGTAAAGTAAGTGAGTATATTTAAATAATTTCAGTTCACGCTCTGCGCCGTGGCTACGCGAGTGAAGGCGAGGGAGAGAGGCGAGAGCAAGACAGCGCACGGAAGATGGCAGATGCGCAGAAAAAAGTCGAAGGAATCGGACCAATTACAAAAGACGGCATGCCTGTTACACTAAGATCGGTAATAAATTTTATTATTGTTAATGGAATTAATAATTACTAATATACTTATTATCCACTATCATTATAGACACAGTGCGATGATAACTTTAAAATGAAATGCAACATACAATTGACGTATGACGTTTCGATTTTTAAATTAAAATAACATACAATTATGTTTTTAGTTACGTTATAAATAAAATATTAATATTTTGTGCTAGCTGTGTCAGCGACGTCGTCCGCGTAGAATATTTATTTTGAACGTCCAAATTTGTTTTTGCAAACCGTTTCTTCATCTTTAAGCAAATAGAAGCTGTTACCCTCGTCGTCGGTCGCGCCGCGTCGTTTGTGAAAGTTATCAATTACCTCTAAAAGATAGACATAGAAACTCTTAGAGATGAATAATCTTCCCATTTTTTCACATTTCCAGCTGTTTATTCGCTTCTATTAGTTGGACGTGATTTTACGTTGATTTTAGATTTTATAGCATTATACCTTCCTCAATAAATGCTCTATCCATTACAAAAAGAATTCTTTAGTTTGAACCAGTAGTTCCTTAAATTAGTGCGTTCAAACAAACAAACAAACTCTTCAGTTTTATATATTAGTATAGATTTTGTATTTAAAGTACCGATTTCTTTTTTCAGGAAGTCAAGGACCCTTCAAGGTGGTACAAAAAAATGTACGACACAATACACAAAAATAAATACGACAGTGAGTTAAACTTTAATCTCGATTATTTAATTTTTCCTTTTGTTAATAAAAATACACATCGATCGTAAATTTTCTTTTTCAGACGATTATGTGACAATACGTTACAAAAGCCGTCGAGGTGATTATTTTTTATTTTCCAAATTTATTTCATCGGTGGCTGTATATCTCAAACCTCACTAAGCTTGTATATATTATTAGTGCTTTTATTTTATTTATTAATTTTAAGACTTATAATAGTAAAAAAAATGTAATAAATCTATTTTCTGTTACGTAATTATAACCAATAATCTTATTTTTTTTATTTAAGATATAGTAACTATGTTATAAGAACGCCTTTGTACCTGAATGCTGTTGCCTAGCATTGCGTTAAGCGCGAGGTTCTAGGTTAGAAACCCGCAGGAATAATATTTTGCATAGGTTAAACAGGACACAAAAGTCTGATCAACTTACTATAAATAAAACCGATCAGCGTAACGAACACAAAATGTGTTCGCCTTATATGCAAGAAACTTTATTAACAATTATTAATTTAAATAAAACACTTTAACGGTTTAAAACGTGATCCGTGGCCACGTCTGCTGCAAAGCATCCGAAACGTCGGGCCGAAGTTGAAAATCATTTTCAAATAAATTTAACTGATATATCGCGTTTTAAACCGTTAAAGTGTTTTATTTAAAGGTGTACAACGCGTGTAAACTATAGACAGTATTTAACAATTATTAAATCTAACTCTTAATGTTTTTATGTAACCATAATAATAGCCGCCAAGTATCAAATTTCAAATTATTTAAAATAAAGAGTTTCATAGAAGTTGTAATATTGTTAGCATACTAAAACTTTAAAGACCTTAAGTGTTATAACCATTTTGTTACTTTGTAGACGAGCCACAAAGAGTGAGCAGTAGTAGATCCCAATATGCCTATTTCGATCCTCGATCGGGTTACCTCAGTGAACCAGAAGGTGGTCTCAGTAGGCTCACCTCGGGAACATGGAGCGACGCGTACGACAGTGACGTCACCACCGGTCAGAGACGACGTACGGCTTCCGTTCAAGAGGAGAGGAGGAACGATGTCTCTTCTTCGTATCTATCGAATAATAAGTAAGGACACACACAAGTTTATTTTTTAAACCCATTAATTTATTTATGTAAGGAACGTACACTTCAACTTGAGTAAAATAACGACTATTTAACTTTCAAATAGTTTCCTTTTGCCCGTGTGAAAAATGTGAAAAACAAGTTTGTAAACTTTATTATTTTTTACATGTACATGTAAAAAATATGCACATGATGGCATTATATAAATTAAAAATTAATTTTTAAATTGAAAAAAATTTACGACACTGCCGAGATTTGAACCGGCATCCTCAACGTTCCTTACTGTTTCTCTCACACGCTGTGAATGCCGGTTGGTTATCAAGCTTAGCTTTACTGACCGCTAAAAAAATCCGCTGTAATTTTCTGTCCTATCTCTCGAACGGTACTCGGTTCTAAGATTTTTTTTTAATTCCATATATTGTTATAGATAAAAACGATAATAAAATATATTTTTAATATGTTTTTAAGGTATAGCACATTGGCATCGACGAGAGCCAGCCAAGAAGTATACAAATCTCAGCCCGGAAAAATCGAGAACTATACCCCCGGGAAATCGTCAGTGGTAGACAAGGAAGCCAAACAGGTACACTACAGTCAGCCTAGAAGTACCTCCGTCACAAGTGTTGGTGTTTCTTTCATCCTACATATGTAAAAAAGGGTCAGCTATATGTACTTACTGGAACAAGAGAAAGTCGCTATCTTCGGGGTATATTAAACAATTCATTTACGGTCATTGGTGTCTGAGTTATTTATTTATATATTGTATAAAACTAAATTAAAAAGTCATCTCAGGGGTATATAACATTTAACCATTAATCGTTGATATGTAATCCACATAACATTATACGAAATAAATGTACAAATCTAATATTTAACATTAGTTTATTGATGGTATCATTCCTAACGCTCGTGATCTAGAAATTAGAGACCCACAGGTGTTTTTTTCTTTTCTAGTGGTGGGACGAGGTCATGGACATTTTTGATGGGGTACGAATCTTTTCCATTATATATGTGTATTTGTGCTAATCACCATTCTTTACCCTAACATTCCAATTCTTTCCATACAAATTTTAACTGCACGAGTTTTCTATCTAATAAAAATTACACGTCATCGTTGTATATAAAATTGTGAGGTGTTTTAGGAATTTTGCATTGTAATATATTTTTAACGCTCGTGTTTGTGTTCACTTTGCTTAACAGCTCATCAATAAGCTACTGTTATAATTCATTAATAAGTTTTGTTAAATGCAACTTCCCTTGGTGTGGCGGCGGTGGCGCACTAACAGTGGTTAGACGACAACTCCCCTCTCCCCCCCTATTCGACATTGCTCGCTCGCGCGATACAAAAAAATGTAAGGGTACTATAATTGCATGGTAGCATGGTGTGGCACTGTGATATCGATGGTATAATCATTGTATGCTGTAAAATTCAACCCAAAAACTCCTTTCAGCATGATTCATATTTTATTATGTTAATAAAACGCTTTTAGAAGTTAAATAAAACTTTTTATCCCTTTAAAACAAAATATATTAGTTAAAATAAATTGTAAGTAAGTTTAACTAATATATTTCGCGTTTTAAACTGTTAAAGTGTTTTATTTAAATGTGTACTACTGCGCAAACTAAAGTTGTAATTTACTAACTTCCATCCCAGATGCAGCAGCAACCGCGGTCTTAAACCATTAAAAGGATTTTACGTAATGCGTTATTACAAATTCAATTTGATTAATGGGTTGACAATTCTTCGTCGTCTTTAAAGTCTTGTTAATTTATATTTAAGTGATGTGGAATAAATTGAAAATCTATATTTGATGTAATAACGATTAGTTGTAGCGTAAGTTATTTTTTATTAATAGAGAGCATATTATAACTTAAAAACAAGATTTGAAGGAAGTTAACAAAGATTTTTAAACAGTCAAGAACTGAAGAAAATATTTTTTTACTTGTGATAATATTAGTTGCAATAGTGGCTTTAATCTATGCAGCATGTCTAGCAAACATTGTAGAACAATATAGACACAAAATGTTAAATTTGTAAAAATATTTTTACTTTGAAATTATTGAATTATAAGCTGAGAGAAAATTCTTATTTTTATATAGCATGTTTATCATTCTGTTATTACATTGTAATTATTTACAAAATTGCAAAGCACATACGGTTTTTATTTCTATAGGTTTACAAACTCTTGTCATTTCTTTTCAGCAAAACATATCAAGTACTACATCACTGCCACCGAAGGAGAAAAGGGATATCACCTCGACAATTTTGTCCAAATCGAATATGGCTAGGTAATTAATTCCAACAACTTGTGGCTGCATGTAGTTTTAAAGGTGTTATTTTTAAAGACGGTTCTTACGATCCTAAAATACAAAAGACATTAATTAGAATATAAAATTATGATATTTATTCTCTTGCTTTCAGTTACAATTTGATAACCAAATGTTGACCTTTTTAGAACTTATATTATATATTTTTAAATATGGTCTCTAATTCTCCTTCCTTCCTCTTCCTTTTCTTCTTTGTAAAGAATTTCTATAAAGTTAGATTAACATTTTAATGTCATTGAAAAGCTAGTTCACACAGTAGTGATCGTTAAATCTTCTGCGATAGACACGTTTCAAGAACAATTGAACAATTTAAAATCAAGCAGTCGCGTTAAATATATTATTTTCCAGGGCTTTAAAAGAATCTGGTTACGAATCGGATTCAACATTAGTCTTTAAACGTCGTGAAGATACGGAGGCGCCGTTATCGCCAGCGGAGCGCCGAGCGGCCTACAGAGACCTGCAAGCTGGGGGCGAACCCCCGTTGAGAGGTTTCAGATCCCCCGCACCGCCCAGGACTGGTAAGACCTATAATACAATATCCTATTCGATCTTAAATTAAAGACAAAATTTAACGTTGGTTCAATGTTGTAAATTGGGAAATTAAAATAGTGTTTTATTGTGTCAAATTGTCGTTAACTCTAAACATGTCGTGACTAATTCTATTTCAAACATGTTTTTAAAACTACATTAAGTACTAATTAAAGAACTTCCAAAATGATTAGTTTATGAGTAAATTTTAGCAAATTCCATATCCTACCTTTGATTAAATATTTACTGTAAGGCGCATGAATATAGTTGGTGGCGGTTTACGCTTATTATTATGGGATAAACCTAACATAAACTTTTTACAAAATACTGACGCGTTGTTTCTACTTATTATGGGTACAGTCAAGGCCAATAAATTGTGGTGGACACGTAGATTGCTATGTGGGCTATTGTCAAACAAGGTCGAATTGTAATTGCCATTATGATTGATGATCTCTTAATAACATACATTGTCACTTAGTCTATAACAAAGCATAAGGTAAGAGCACGTAAAATTCGTCTGCATGTCTAAAATTAATGGCGATTCGGGCAAGTGGTATGGCTGCAGAAAAAGGTAATCGCATGTCTTATTTATTTCATAATATTTTTGCTGTTGTTCAACTCCAAAATTAAACTACACAAATACTTTTGAAACACAACGTTTTGTACCCGTTTTCAGCACATTCTGTAGTCTCACGGTTAGATATCAAAGCTTTCACCTTATTTATTTAACAGGGCACGACACTCTTAACGAACTAAAGAAGACGTAATTAACGAATACATGGATGTTTCACAGAGGAATCTGAAATTGAATATATTCCAATAAGTGCGACGTTAACGAAAATCAGAGTCCATAAAAGGTCACCGAGTGTACACGAAGTCGTATGCTATCCGGTTACAAATATTGAAACTAACTTTTATGGCAAATCCGTAAAACATTCGAGAGATGCAGAAATGCCACCTCCTCCACCTCGAAGAATTTCATCTAGAAGTAGCCGAACACTTCAACTTATGACCTGCGAAAAAATGAAAAGTACGTCGCCGAAGCGAGTTTCAACAAATGTAGATCTGATGAAAGAGAAAATTACCAATAAGTTAAATAGACAAAATACACATGTTATACTTAAGAAACCGTGTTCAAGTACCATAATAAATAATCAAAGAAGAAATACTTCTACCTCAGCTCCTCCAGCTTTAAACAGATATGTTAGTAAGAATTTACCTGCATCAACAGCAAAATTAAAAACTGATATTGGGCGCAAACCTGTAGGTACAAGTAGCTTCAGTTCACCAAGAAAAACTATAGCACCTACAGAATATGCTGTGCCATCACGTAGCAAATATAGAGATGGTTCTTCTTCTGTAGTAATAGAAGGTGGTGTGGGAAGGAAGACTCCTATTACGAATATATTGGACAAAATGACTCCCCTTGACAAACTATGGGGCTCCCAAAAACGCAATGAACAAATAGACTTAACAAAATTGAAATATAAGCAATGGGATAAGAATAAAACTGGTCAATCAAAATCAACAATTATTAAACCGTCAGCCAGCTCAAGTAGACCAGTTTTAATAGGTGTGCCACACAAGAGTAGAGATATGATTCGTACTTCTGAAAAAGTTCAAAAACTAAAATCAATTACTCACGCTCAATCAACGCCTTGCTTATCAAATAAAAGAGACGACCGACAAAGTAAAAATGACATGAACACACGAGCTAATGTTTCAAAATCTTCTTACAACATTTGCTCCAATTCAAAAAAAAGTCCAAATATAAAAATTGCTGTAGTAAATAATTTGAAAAAGAAGAAATCAATAGAAACTCTTGTAGTAAAACCAAAAGTGGGACAAACTGAAAGTTCTAAAAATAAAACAAAATATCAAAAGTCTTTGAAGGGCAGGAATAAAAATGATGAATGTAATGTAGATAAAAAAGATTATGTGTCGGAATTTCATGGTCAATTTGGGGATGATTTAAGAAATAATAAATTGGTTGGTAAAACTATAAATTGTAAAGAAATTAAATATACACGTGAAGCTATTATTTCTGATTCTTTTTTCCAACATCTTTTTTTAAAAAGCGCTGTATCTCCAAACCTAGCAATTTTGGATGAAAGTAATAAAAGCGCTGTAAAGGAAAAGACAAAATTCTTTCAATCTAATCCTAACCCCGATAATTATCATACACCAAATGCGTTAAATACATATTTAATACATCGGAAGCCGGTCTCTCTATCAAGATTTATAATGTGGGACAGAAACCCTAGTCCGTTAGGAATTCAAAATCTTAGATCAATATCATGGCCTGGTAGAATGGATGGAAACATAAAAAAGTTTGAAAGTTTAGTTCAACGTGGAAACGAATTTGGATCTACGACTTCGTTATCGTCAGTGAGAAGTAAAAGTGAACCACCGTCAAATAAATTATACTTTTCTCAAACATCAAGACCAAAATCTCCTGTAGTTGTTTTTTATAAAAAGAATAATGATGATCGTTTAAAAACTATTTCTGTCTACAGACCTCCTCCTAAAATTATATGTAATCAGTCACAATCAATTCCTATTGGTGTCGGTAATTCTACAATATCAGAAAGAAATGGTTTGGAAATTGCTCGATCTAGTTCACCGATAGCCTTAAAATACAACAAACAGGAACATCAATTTAATGATAGCATTGGCAATTCAGAAATTCCATCAACAATTTATTTCTCGCAAACATCAAGACCGGTTTCTCCAAAAGTAGTAAGACATAACACTTCTACCACAAACAGAAGTCACTCAACTTCCCCTGTTTCTATTAGATCACCATCCTATCGTAGAATATATAACGTTAAGTCACAACACAGACCTGTTGTGGGAGCTTTAAGGCCGCGAAGCGTAGACAGCTCAGAGAAAACACCCATCATTCCTCCGCTTATATCAAAGTCAAAAAGCGATTTGATCTCACAGTGTAATGACCCAGAATACGAAGAATATATTAGTGACATACAAAACTTAAAGAGGAGATCTGAAAGATTTCGTGAGCTTAATAGATATTATTCTTACTTAGAGCGAGTTGGTGAACTTGAAAAAGCTACCTCTATAAATGATTTACACCACAGGAAAAGAGATGAAGAAATAATTGACTTTGATCGATGGAAAAAAATTCGTTCTATTGAAAGAGCAGAAGAAGAGCTGAACAATTTATACGAGAAGTTGAAGACTGCCCAAAATGAAAAAGATTTCCTTTTCTATCCTAGAGACGTAAAAGATTTTAGATGGAATTGCGATAAAGAAAGAGGTCTAAAAATAAAAGAAAAATCAGTAGAAGATCTTAAAGATGATTTTTTGCAAAAATCTTCCTGTTCCCATGAAGTAAAACAGACACGTAACAAAGATACCTATAAACCTCTTTGGAGAGGAACAAGCGTTGCTGAAACAGCGTTTGATATAAATAGGAAAAATAAAACGGATCATTCAACAATGCAGACTACCGTTAGTAAAATCATTTCAAGTCAACATAGAGATTTATCGCTTGGAGACCTAAGAAAAAAGATAGGTATTGGTAATCGTCTGTGGAGCAGTTTATCACTGGACCAAGTAAACGCTCTTAAAAATCAACTTAATGCTATTTATAGTAAAGAATTAGACTTAAAAAATAAAAAAGATCTTGATACATTTTCAGTGGAAGTAAAAGCAATCGATAAGAACTATAATTCTAATTTACACGTTCGGTCAAATTCTTTAACAACAAACCATACTAATACTTCCGATGTGAAAAAAATTAGTAAATCCGATTCAATAGCTGCAATCTGTCCTACACCCACCGAAAAAGACTTCAAAAATAATGTTAACAAAATACAAATGACGCTTAGTGAAAATGATAAAAGAAGAATTTCCCAAACAATAAGTAAAGAAGTGATAAAGCGAATTAAAGGAGACACAAAAAATACAACAGACAGCCTAATTAACCGTACAGATAACGATTGTACTGGTGACATTCCAAGTGTTGATAATAGTAGGCACATCGTTTACATCTCTGACAAAGATGAGCCCCCGTCTTCAGCTAGTGAAAATGACACTGGTGGTTCAGATGTATCACATACAACTGTTATCTACGTTGCGCCTAAGCGGGAAGTTCAAAAAAAGGTCGAATATTTTGAGTCAGTCAGAAATAATGCCAGTAAAAGTACAGTCCCATGCAATACAAATGAATATGACACGCAGAAAAGTACCATCATTGGAGAGACTGCAAATCGTCAGATATCGCAGTCTCAATCATGCACAGACATTAAAGAACTTTTTGGGGAAAGCGAAAAGAATAAATTTCTATCGTTGCCATCGAAACCCGAGCTATATTCGAGATCGCCTTCGCCTTACTCGGAAGTATACTTAAACGATCGACGTACGCCCGACACGCTACGGTTCTCCAGCGAGGAGACAATCTGGCGGAGTCGAAGTCCGTCGCCCGATCCGGAACGATACTGGCGCGCTTACCTAAAGCTGGCGCGGGCTGGGGAAGTTCGTCGTCTCGCACGGCGTTTCGAGTCACCCACCGTGGCGGGCGCTCTATTACGTCGCCATCGTAGCGACCCCGAAATTAGTTGCACGGAGCTAAAAAACTGCCTGTGTACTGATAGATCGACTAGCCACAAAGAAAGATGCAAAACTTCATACACCGTAGCGCGCGTTCCACTTAGATCTACCAATCGCTTTATGCCTCATATAGATATAATATCGAAGCTAGCCGCTTTGAGAAGACGCACGGCACCCCGATCGCGATCAGCCGAAGAAGCTTTGGAATGTCGCCCGGGCGAAGTAGACCGTATACGAAAACGATTCGAAGTAATGTCCCTTCTTGGACAAATATACTCTTCCGCTCCCGATGTGAGCGAGCTAAAGGACATTGCGCCTTATTTAGAAGGATCTTGGATAGCCCATAGATATCCGAAAGTCAGTGACAACAACAGATCTGTTATTGATCCAAAAACTTACGTTCGAGGTCGGTTGTCACCGGTAAAGAGAGAGGTTAAAATACCAGTAGCCAGAGACCCGTTGAAATTGAGTTCTATTCTTAAAAGCGATACTATGGAGGGACAAAAATTTGACCCGTCCGTTCACCGACCAGTAAGCCGCTATGAACCACCCCGAACCCCACCTAGACCGCCGCCAGCCGAGTGGCCTTACAAGCTAGCACCCCTTGTCACGCCATCGCGACATACCGTCACATTTCAAGGTTAATATTTTTTGTCATTTTCAAGTATTTATTTAATATTGGAGTTAGGCAACACGATGCTTTGATTATTTTGTTATGACTTTTACTTAATAAATACATATCATCATTTAAAATAAATACATATAGGCAAACAGATACTCTACACTATTACTTTGCATATTGTAAAAACACACGTACTGCTTACAATACAATATTTCATACATAGTTTATCATTTATCGTTGTCTATAAAGATTGTCATACTATCATATTTCATTATATTATTCTAATAGAATCTGACTCTGCTCCGGAGCCGCCAAGAAGAATGCAGCACGGCAGCATCTCGGATTCAGGTAAGAAGTAGTGTTCCTTAAATAGAAATCATAAGATCATAGAATATGTACCCTGTTTTTAGTCAAGTACTTATAAATTTTAGTAATATATATTTTTTATATACTTATGCAATACTTAAGACTATACTAAAGCTGAAAATCTAATGAGAATTAGATTTTTAGAAATCAGTAACAATAAAAAATATGAAAAAAATATTACGCTAACTACTTTGATTACTTAATAGACCGCCGAGTTTTAAACTTTTTTCTCGACTTCCGGCTTTTATAACTATGTTGTAAGAGTCCCGTTGTAATTATATCTCTAATATCCACTATAAATGAAACAATAGTCTTTGTTCAACTGCACTGTATTCAGTAGACATTAGACCATACATATGTGCGTATTTAGCCAGTGTATTACTGTATTCGCTCTTAAGCGCCTTCAAAACATCTTAAGATCATTAAAGGTCGGCAAGATATTTGCGTCACTTATATCAAGCTTAAGGTCGTCGGCGCAGTTTTTTCGATTGTAAATAGTGCTTCACGCTTCCTGATCGGGGCCGGTTCACTTCTGTGTCAATAATAATTGCAAAATGCTTTCAATACATATGATAGATAAGCCTTATCTTATCTAGGTATTCGCTGATAACCACTATATACCTGTACTGACTTTAGTTTTGTGAGATCCATAATAATCTGTTGGACTGTGACAAAGTGTAACAATGAAACAGTGTTATTAAAATGAGTCAAAGTGATCAAAATGTCGATAGCGTGTATGTGCCCAACGACGATGGATTTTATAGTGATGTCCCAATTTCGGGTTCATTATCTAAGTCACTGTTAGCATTGAACAAATATGTCAAAAAGAATTTACTCTATGACGAAAGCGAAGATCAGGTTGATGAAATACCGCATAATGACGGAGCATACTTTTCCAAAGAAAGTAGCCCAAACGATTCCGTAGTGAAGAGTGACACAGACAGTGTTAATAGTAGCGAATTGTGCACGCAGAGTAGCGGTTCGGCTTTAATTGCAAACGTAATTGCCGAGCCAGAAACTGATAGAGACGATCCCACGAAACAAACAGATGACTACAAATTTAGACAACTTCTCGAGAACCCCGGAACTGCTAGTCGACGGGACTCAATCCGCTCCAATGAATCACAAATAAGAGATACTTTATCAAATGATTTATTAAACTATTCCACTGGAAACGAACCGTCTATAGGACTAGAATCTAATAGCGAAATTAATAATAACACTGTTGTATTACGAAGAAAATCCAATAGAAACGACGCGGCTACAAATCAACAAAGAAATTCAGTAAATGATGTTAATTGGGTCAGTAGGATGAATAATTATCCAGACGTGTATGCACCGCTACCATTTAGTAAGTTCTTAAGTAATTATAGTTAGTCAATTTTAAAGTAGTCATTTCTTTCTATCGACAGTTGTCTGGGAAAGTATTTTTACTGAAGACGATATATATAACATTCTTATCCTGTACTATCTATTATCTGTTAATCTTTACCTGCTAGCAAGTAATCTATTAAACTTTAGTAACATATTTCAAACATAATATTTTTTTTAATATCAATTAAGTTCTAGGAGAACTAAGTTTTAATAAGAGGTTATAATATATTCGGTACCTTATTGACGTTCGAAATGTACGACTGTAGTTAAAATTGTAAATAAGGTAATTAATATATTTCGTGTTTTAAACCATAAACAGTATTTTATTAAAATGTATACTACTCGCTTGCTTTACTGCTTGGGTTATTATGAGAAACCTCGTATCTGCTAACAAACATTACGTTTTAAATGACTAAATACTATGCGGAAATATTTTCCAAAAAAACAAACTTTCAACTATTATAAAAGGCTATTAAATATTTTTTTAAGGATATTAAAATCCAAATTATCATCAAAATAAATTAACATTTAACAAAATATGAACGGTACTTTCAAAAAGAAATTAAATACAGTACATAATATTATACTCGCTACATTTTGAAAACTCCCTAAGATTAAGAAGGTATTATTCTACGCGTATTAAAGATCATCTTTCAATCCGTTAATTGTAATAAATTCTAAAAGCGTAATATTATCTTGATAAAGTTTAAGCGGGAGACGATGAAAGTGATTTCGTGTAATCACCGCGCTCGGCGTCAGACGTCAGTTATCGCGGTGACAGACCGACTGGACGGACATTTAATTGTGCTTCGCGTCAAGTAAACTAACTGTAATGGGAATATTGAAACAGATCAAGAAAATTACTTCGAATGGTTCGTTAACATTTCTTATACATCGTCAACGTCAAAAAATGTTAGTTTATTTTTTATATAAAATTATGTTGTTTATCACATTACCACTTTTATTTAATTTCTTGAATTACCTTATAAATACTATTTTTTATTGAAAAGGGCTTTTAGATATTCAAATACTTTGGTTATACCAGACCCGTTCAAAATAAGGGCAAACTCGCTGACAAATTTCGTAATTTAAGTCACAAGACAAGTTGTTTTGCAACGAAATTCTTTGTAAATTAGTTTCTCAATTAATACCTACTGATTAGGTAATTCCGATGTCAGTCGATTTGATTCCCTTGATGTGGTAAAAAGCAAAAATGTTCATCTAATATAGTATTAAAGCTATATATATTGCACTAGGTACGTTAATAATGAATTTAAACGTTTGTTAAATAATAAGTTTCATTAAGTTTACATTATTGAAGTAGTGACAATAGAGCTTTGGTATTAGAAATTTAAAGTAAGTATAAAAAACACGCTGAAATAATTTCATTGGTAAGTTGTTTCTGATTCAGAAGCATCTGTGAATCTACAATTGATACGTCAAAGTATACTGTCTATAGTTTACGCGAGTTGTACACAAAGTAGTTAAATAAAACACTTTAACGATTTAAAACGCGATATATTAGTTAAACTTATTTGAAAATTATTTTTAACTTCGGCCCGACGTTTCGGATGCTTTGCAGCAGTGTGTCCCTTTGTCAACCGGGAAAGCCCGTTTTATTTAAACGTTAAAGTATATTAGTTTTTCATTCAGAAACTGGGCATTCCATTTTGTTTCATTAATTATATATACTTAGTATATCCCAATTATATATTTAAACGTAAAACGCATTTCAGCTCTCGGGTTAATATAACATTATATCAAAATCAAGAAAGACGACGACTTTTTATATGACAGTAGCTACTTAATTATTTATCGTACACCATTGTATGTTTACGAATGCAAATGATGTGTGGCTTTTACAATTTCCATACACGTTAATATGTAGCGGAGGCGAGAAACTCGTGTTTATGTAAGTTGTATTGAGCACGTGCTAGAAATACTTATTTAGAGAAAGTTGAACAACGGAGAGACTAAGGGCTTTTCTTTTCCTTTGAGAAAACTTGTAATGACCTTACTCGTTTTTCTAATTGGAGAAATCCGTTTAGAGTTTATAGGAGTGGATTTTTATATTATTTACACTTTCACAGTACTATGTCATTATTGAAGTTATTTCAAAGACGTAAATAAGTTGAAAGAATACTTATAGGGCGCTCAAGCCATATAACTTGAATCGTCTTATTGCAGAGTACAAGGGTTTTACTTGTGTTATTTAATATGAACACTGATACTATAACATTCTCGTATTTAAATTAAATTAAGTAAAACTCGCCAAATGTATATAACTACCAATCAGACTGTACATGTACATGAGGTACTTGTAATTATTCATATAAAGCACTTTTAACGGTTTGAAATACGAAACCTATTAGTGAACCTTTTATTTTAAGTTATTTAAACTGCAATGAAATATTTTAAATGCTTTTTAAAAGCTATGTGTCACGATAATTCTTATAAATAATTTTGTTTGTCAACGTTTTTTTTTTCAAATTCGAATACTACAAAATTTCGAATTTCGAACTAGGATTCCTTACTAGTGCCGTTCAAAAAAAAGAACTTTTTTGCGATAATTTTCAAAATTTTGATTAATTCATTTTTTGTCATTTTGAAAGTTTTCATTATTTTTGTTAAAGTCAAAACAAGTTATCAAAAACCACGAAGAGGTTTTCTAAAGTTTTTCAATAGTACCGACGCTGACAACTCCGTAAACAAAAACTGTTTAGTTATATAATATTTTTATGAGGCACGAGGTAAAATTTGAAGCGGTACACGCCTTTCGTTCCGACCTACTTCCGATGTTCCTCGCGGTTGACTATAAACCGGTTGCACTCGCGGTACTAAATTACGTGTCGTCACATAACATCGAAATACTATATTGATTGCGATTACAGCATCGGTCTTCTATTCCCACATGGCCATACTTTCACTCTTCTTAACATCGTATTGGATTTCAATGTGCACAAATTTGTACATAACATAATCGAAATTTTATATGTCCAACAAATAATGTATGTAGAACTCTACTAAAAGAAAGTTGTTCACGTTTTATTTAGTAGCTAATAATGACTAACGAACAACTATTTCTTTTAGAAGTAATAAAAACATTTTATACTGTCATCGTTCAATGGTCAAAAGCATTACCAAGCATTGCTTTAAGCTTAAGAGGTCCAGGGTTTATATCAGGAAAACAATAATATGTTCAGTCAGACTGGTCACAGAGAATTGTCTACTGGCGTAAAAATAAAATTGACTAGTGAAGTTACTCAAAAACTTATGTAAAGTGAAAATTTGTTGTTACTTATATATATATTTGTACCACAAAGGTATTTATACAATTAAAAAGATTGTTCTTATCGACTATATTTGTCTGCGACCGCTTAGGCATTATTATATAAAGAATAAAACTTCCGCTATATAAGTAATTACTTAATTCACCAAACTTAGTAGGTCTAATTTTTTATTTATCGCGTTAACTTACCGTAATATAATTATATAACTCTTGATTTAATTTCTTTGAATAGATTTTCTATTATGTATTTGAATTTAAATAAAACACTTACCATTTCAAACGCGAAATATTAAACTTATATGAAACTTATTTGTGCTACGGCCCGCGGTTTCGAATGTTTTAAGGTGAAGACTACCTTACATACATACATTACTTTCATCTCTTGGAGTTCCTCATGCGCAAAGAGCACTAATTATTAGTTCGAAAACTTCAGTTTGTATCAATAAACACAAAAACTCGAAATAAGTACTTTAGTCTTGTTCTCTCTAAACGCCTTAAAATCTCGCAGATTATAATTTTGCCTTACATCGCGTGTTTTCTTTCAGAATCTCCAAACCGTCGCTATGTCGAGAGCGACGTGAACATCCACTACCGTTGTCCAGTGCGACACGATCCATTACCGTTAGTGCCTGAACGAGAGTTGGCCCGTCAACAAGCTGAGCATATGAAAAGGTTATATAGAGAACAGAAACGGAACAAATACCTACAAGTGAGTACAGAATACATACGTTCGCTAGAGAATAGTTTTAAAAAAATATGATTACACAATAGTAAAACGTACAGGAATTAATAAAAAAATAGTAATTATCTAGAACTACTAACATGAAATACACTACTTAAGTTATTTAATAAATAAGAAATAATTGTTAATATTAGAAAAATATAAGTGATATTAAAAATATAACAAATTAACCAAAAATGGTAAAAATCATCAAATTGCAACAGCGTTTTATTTGTTGGTTAATATTAACTCTTCCGCCTCTGTAGTAAAATGGTTGAACGCATTGTCTAGCATTGCGTTAAGCACGAAAGGTCCCGAGTTTGAGTCCCGGGGAAACAAATTGATTTAATCGGTTAGGGCACAGAAGTCTATTCAACTCCTTACCTGTAAATAAAACCGCTTAGTGAAACAGAACAGAAACCTTTTCGCCCCATGCCCCACGGTTAAAAACGGGATTTCCCTTTTATATTTACTAATTAGATAAAATATTTACTATTTACGTTTTATTAACCGCAAGTTTACTTATTTGTATCAAATAATTAACCAGCGGTTAACTAATGTAGATCAATATAACGATAAAAGACATAACTACCTTCTTTCCACGAATAATCCACTATCGATTGTCGTGATCAAGAGAGAGAACGGAAAATTGCGATTATCGTGCCAGTCAACTGTGTTCCGATAATATATAATCTACTTAAGAACACTCACGCTATATAGTTTGATCAATATTTGAACTAAGACCTGAATGTACGCACTTAGGAAGTTACTAGAAATTAAAGATTTACAAATGATATAATACTAATCACTATAAGTAACATAAGAACCATTTCTACGTTTACAACGCAACCTAAACTGGTTTAAAACATAGATTTAATTTTTGTGTGTAACCACGCAACTAATATCATAGTCGCGGTCTCTGAACATTCATTTTGAATAAGCTAATTACGTTTTGATGATTACCTTTATTGTAAATATTTTTTGCTCCGATAGTTTTCTATATATCTTGACAAGAGGTTATCGTTTGTATAGATTAGATGTGTAATCAGGATCCCGTTGTGTGCATTCTGCGTGACAAATCGTTAGTCACGTATGCAAATAGTAACGCGTCAAATTGTTTATTTGCAATTAATTATAAAGTATTGTAAATGCAATGGTCTTATAGATATACATAAATACAATATATAAATAACTTTCTCCCTATGAAGGGCAGATAGGTTATTTACAAGTAGGTGTACTGTGCTCTGTTTGACCGAAATTTTTATATGTTCCGGGAACATGTAAAAATTTCGGTCCATCTGTCGCGCTTAACGCATTGCGTCTTATAGAAATTAAATCCCGTTTCACCCAGGGGAGCATGGCGCGAATACATTTCTGTGCATCTGTGTCCTACCGAAACAATTTGTTTCCCTGGGATTCGAACACGGGACCTCTCGCGCTTAACGTAATGCTATAGAACACATTTAACCATTTAGCTGGCGGTCATTGCGTCTTTTACCCTAATTAGACCTTTGTGTACTTGTCCCGTATTTAATTTAATTATAACAAATCTACTTACATGTAACGTTTTTATTTATATAAATTACGCGATACTATATTTGTGTATACAGTGTCACGGTGGAAAGTGCCTAACACACATCATTTAGGCCGTGAAAGCGTAACATAGTTCTGTCATTGTACATTTAAAGAGCCTCGGAGTTACAACAATATTCTGTAATTTGGTACAATTTATTACTACAGAAAATAATAATTAATAATAATAGCACCTCAATAGTTGTATGCTATACCTGACATTGCTTTACCCACAAGGCGTTTAAATCCCAGCAAAATATATATATATAATTTAATAAAGCTGAAGTGTTTGTGTGTTTGTTTAAACGCGCTTATCTTAAGAACCACTGATTCAAATTGAAAATGTAACTACTTCCGAAGTCGAAGTAAAATAGTTTAATCTTGGCCGTCAATTTTTTTTTTGCAAACCTCCCCATTTTTATAAATTATACCTATTACCCACAATGCGCATCGTCCGCGTTCCGGCGCGTTTTTTTGCGAGTTAATGAAAGACATATACTGTCGCGGTACTTTTTCCCCATTTTTTCCACATTTCCATTTCATTGTTTCTGCGTTCATATTGGTCCCAGCGTGATATAACTTAAAGACTTCCTCGATAATTTAATCGACACAAAAAAAATTCTTGAAGAGTTGAGTTGCGAACAAACAAACAAACAAACTCTTCACCTAATTATATTAGTATAGATTAAAAAATCACTATACAAATACGTAATACCAATAACATTGTAACCTTGAAACCAAACGAACCTTGAATATAAAAATCGGACCTACCTAATAGGTCCACATTCCATGACTATTGTTAACATAAAAATGTATTATGATATATAACATAGCAAGCATTTTTTAGATTATCATAAATATATTAACAAGTCAATATCTACTTTGATTTTATGGGATGAGATTGTAATAAAACATTTAACGGTTAAAAACTCGAAATATATTAGATAACTTAGTTGTAATTTAATTACGGCCAGTGGTTTAGGGTGCATTGCAGGTCACGGTAAAGTTGAGTATCACGGTCTTGGTTATATTAATATATTTTGCCTTTTAAACCGTTAAAAGTATTTTATTCAATAGAAGACTTTCGGCCTTATAGTTCGTAACAGTGGATACTTACGGCCTAACGTTCACGGGAGCCCTAGTTAAGTTAAATTAAAAATAATTTATTTCGCCTTTTACACTATTTAAAGTGCTTTATTTAAACTTGTCGACTTTTTGGCTGTATTGTAACAGTGGGTAAATGAAATAAGTTAATACAATAGGGTTACATTTTCAGGAAAATGACTATCGCGCCGTCGACATAGAAGCATTTGATGCGTCCATAAAGGTTACGTGTATTAACTGAGTGTTACTGTTTGAAATTCTGAGCGCGCTATGTTTAACATTGTCGGCTATACTCATTGGCATTACTATCAAAATTCTAAAACTCCATTCAAAAGCATGTATAATAAGCTTCGCGTTTTAAACCGTTAAAAGTGTGTTTTTAATATGTCTATTACTTGCGTAAACTACAGACAGTACTTAACTGATTAAAAGAGTTAAAGATTATATTATGATCCATTATTTCTAATCTTTTAATTAATATTATTATTGCTCGGTAAAATTGGGCCTCCACGTCTACATATTTACTATATATCATTGACTCAAAAGAGAGTATAAAATTTCAGGAGCTTCAAGATATGCAAAGTAGGCGACATCAAGATAATTTCATGCCATCGCAGAAGACGGTTGTTCCTCTAAATCGTTATGACGAAGCCGAGAGGGTCATAGCTAGAGCTCTGTACACATTCAATGGTCAAACGGCCAGGGAGCTGAGCTTCAGGAAAGGAGACATCATTAATGTGAGAAGACAGATAGATAACAATTGGTATGAAGGGGAAATTCATGGTAGAATTGGACTATTCCCATACAATTATGTTGAGGTAAGCAGTGCAATAGAACCAAACATGTGTCATTTTAACATAACAGTTTAAAAATATAAAAGCAATGTCTAATTCGAATGGAATGCCCAGTTTAGGCCACAAGCGGTTACTACTTTTGATTGAATGTTTTTATAATTATTATTATTACAATAAACGTTACTGTAACCAAAGAACAATTAAATTGGAAATTTAACAAGACAATAGGAAAAACATTAATCATTATTCGTTGACAATTTTGATCTGAGACTCGTACCATTTCATTTGTGGACTCCATTTTGTAGGTTTTAAAGCACTAATAAAATTAATTCTCTAATCTAATTTCCAATACTCTTATGGATAATTTAACTTTCCAGTTATTAAAAGGCGACGTGGCACAGTCACCAAAGAAACCGACGATCATCGAAGGCCGTGCAAGAGCGAAATTCGATTTCACTGCACAAACTAACCTCGAACTTCCGCTGAAGAAGGGAGAACTAGTGGTACTTACAAGACGCATAGACCACAACTGGTGGGAGGGTAGGATCGGGAATAAAACTGGAATATTCCCGGATAGCTATGTGACGATTCTACAGGAACCTAGTCAAAGTAAACCTGGTAAGTTACGTTACGTTACGTTAAGTTTTAAGAAGTAATATCTGCTGCACAAATACCTACATGTATTTATTTTAGTTAAAATATTGATTTATCTTACAACCGTTAGCTAATATTCTGGATTCCGAGTTGACAATGCTTATCTATAACTATTTAACATTTTCAGGAACCAATACCAACAATTGCATGCAAACAAAAGTAAATAAAAATATTGTTAATTCAGAGCCGCAACTAATCCTGTCGACGGATAAGCCAGTAGCGTCCCCCGCTGCCCATGGCTTGGTAAACGGAGATAAACGCAGTTTGGGTTCACACAGCTACACCCCACAGCAAAATAGTGCCGCCCTAGCCAACGCCCCACCTGCTACCGAACCACTTATAGGTAATTCCAGTGTTCTTAACATAACTTATTCGTTCCTTCCTCTCGATTGATAACAACAAATGCGAAGGAATACTTCTTCATCTTTATATATATAAATATGCTGTCACGATGTTTGTCCGCTATGGAAATTTGGATATTAAATGGATGGTAGGAATATCAAAATTCCTGAAATGGCGGTGAAGTTTAATCGCCTTTCGGTTTAAGTCTGTAGATTTACGAATATCCCAAGCAAAAAAAGGTCTACAGAACATCTTCTCTACCCAAGAGTAATGCTCCTCATGCTTCTCAATTCTCCTCTATCATAAAAACAATCGACGACATTGATAGAACTCAAACCCATGGCCAATTTATGAATAAAATAACATCCCATTAATTATTTATAATATATTATCTGCAAAAAAACTATATATTTTCCTTCTATGGCTGCAGACATTATGAAGGGGACATTGAGATTTAGTCCGGGTAAAATTGTTGTAAATATTCCAAACACTAGTACAACATTAATCAAGATTTTTTTTTAAATTTTGATTTTGATATTACAAATTATTGTTCAATTGAAAAACAGGTTATCCAGTAAAAAGTACGCCAACGGAACGTAGCTACAACAACGCTGTCAATCTGAACAACACTGAACCTCTTTACGTCGATACTAACGCTGAGGCTGTGCCGTAAGTACCACTATTATACTATCCTCAGCTAGAACCCAGACGGTACTCAAACTCAGTATAGACAATAACTGAGTTACTCTAAGAATATAATTGTCCCGTATACTTTTTAAAAAGTATACGGGACAATTATTGAACTCCTGGAAAAGTCATTTTCACATCATTTACTTTGCAAACTCGTCAGCCTTATGCATTATAGCTGTTACCCACGACGTCGTCCGCATCCTTTCGTTCTTGAAAGTTAATCTTGATAAATAGATGTATTCTGTCGTGGCCGTTTTTGTTTCATTTAAAGAAGAATCATTTTTTTCGTACATATTTTCTGGGTATCTTAAACCGATCTCGCAGCGTACGCAACGGATACCCTTAAAGAAAAATAATTTTCCCTGTTTTCCTCATATCCCTCTGTTTCTTCACTCCAATTAGTAGCAGCCTGAATTTTTAAGCCTTCCTCTTTAAGCGTTCTAACCAACAAAGTAGTAATTTTATAAATCGAATCAGTAGTTCCAAGATTAATACTTTCAAACGAACCAACAAACAATATTAATATACGTTATTACGTATTTGGCCTTTGTTCAAATTATACTAAAGAATGCTTTATATCTTTGCTTAACTTAATTTCAATATTCAAGTTATTTTCAATGTTGTTTACTCAGTTTTTTTTAAGTCTACATATTAACGTGTTTTTAGATATCGTGCGATGTACAAATACCGACCTCAGAACCCCGACGAGCTCGAACTGAACGAGGGTGACACTGTGTACGTGCTGGAAAAATGTGATGATGGCTGGTACGTCGGCTCAAGCCAGCGAACAGGACGGTTCGGCACTTTCCCAGGTATTATTCAATTACAATTTGGAAAAATAGACATTTTTATATACTTCTCACTTCTTTTACAAACCTTTTGTTTATAAATATATATGTACTAGATGTATCAGCGGATTCGTCCGCGTAAAATATTTATTTTGGGCTTCAAAATTTGTTTCTGCAAACCCCCTCTTCATCTTTACAGATAATTAGTTTATCTGAAAAGATAGACATATACTGTCGGATATTTTTTTAGATCATTTTAAGAGGAATCATTCTTTCATACATTATTTTGCCTACAAACAAACGAACTCTTCAGATTTATTTAATATAGATGGATTGGTTATTGGATACTTGGGAATCCACAAACAGACTTTTTATCATAACGATAGTTAGTGACCTGCGTTAAATCTCCAGATTTTCCAGTCGAAATCCAATATGTTTCAGAAAAAAAGATTGGGTCCGGTGGGCACCAAACCAGTGACAATAATAATGCGTGCGTGTGCTTGTGTTAAAGATGGCTGACGTTTATAAATGAACACTTTTATTATGTTTAAAAACTTTTTCGTTTATTTTAAAAAACCTTCTCTAATTTTAGGTAACTACGTGGAGCGCATTTGATAGCGCCCAACGTCGCTGCTCCGGCGGCTGCGACGCGCTACTCTTTGTACGCGGAAACTGCGCTAAATGCGTATGCGCAGACACGTATACGCGGAATCGTTTCGTAATGAAGCGCGCTCTTGTAACAGCAAGCCCGTGTCGAATTGTTTTCGTTACTATTCGAATTAAGTGAAACGGCACTTTGACGCACAGTGTTATTTTGTTGTTACGAAATATTGTATGTACATTTAGAACGATGTGAATTGAACTAATAAGCTAAGTATTGTTACCAAATAAAACCATGACCTTTGTTGTTTACAAACTACATGATTATTATCCTCACTTAATTTATTTTAGGGTATATTTATCGTATTTTAATTTTATCCTTAACGCCAGCACAAATATTGAAGTTATACCAAATAATCGGAATCTACAATTAACCATTTTATCAATTTACACCCAAAGTTTTTTTGTTGCCCAAAGAGTTTTATAATTAAATTGTATAATTGTATAAAATAACAAGAGACATTTATATGATGTGTAAAAGATTAGATGTAGGTATTTATTAAATGATAATGAAGAAAGAATTATTGCGAGCTCATCTTTTAAAATCTCTTTTAAAAGACCGAAGCCAAAAGCGTGGTGTAACTACTAAATATCTTTAATACTAACATGTTTTATTTACTTACAATTAATAAACGCGCACACAAGATGCCTTTTAACCCATTTTAAAAACGAAAAATACCAAAAAATCCACAAAAGTCTAACTTTGGCTTTCACCCTTACAAAGTTCGGACGTTTTGTAAAATGTAAAATTAGCAAACTTACTATTTGAATTAAACTATATTTTCTTTAAACATATTGTTACTTTTATTATCTAAAATATAGGAACGTTAATTCAAAATTACTTATTTGCGTTTGTTACCATAAGGGCCCATATACACCAGGCGGTTTATAGCGAGGCAACGGCTGCTCGGCGTGCGCGTAACAGTAACTTTTCCGCTTTGTACTGACCGCACTGCACAAAATCGCTTGGTGCATATGAGCCCTTACACCATGCAATACTCATAGTGTTAGATAAGCATGTATTCGTTAGTTATAGGGCGAGTAACTTGGTAACGTTTGACAATACATACTAATTAACATATATGTGGATTATATAATAATTAATATAACTGTAATATAACATATAGATGTTTTAAAGTAAATGCTTATCGATTTCGACGGCATATTTATTCATTTAAAATCATGACCGTTAATTTAGCGACAATATTATAATCTGTAATATGATCTAGTCAAGGATTTTATAATTATATAATTGTATTTTTATATTTGAGTATATAGATTTATATATGTCTGTATCCGATAACCGGTTTCTCTATGTATTTCCAATTGTCAATCCACTATCTAAAATAAGCGTAATCGAAATCCCTCGTTAGCTCCCAGTTAGTACCTCTCGCCCTATGTAGAAGCTTGTAAGAATGTCTTTAGTTCTTAACCCGATAGTTGTCGTTCCGATGTTAATTTATTTCTAGTAGCACAAAATATGTTTTATTTGTTGTTGACACCTCTGTGTATCGTAATACTATTAACGGCTATTGTTTCGTATCGACACATTTAATAAACATAATCTTTCTATAATTACAATTGTTTTATTTACAATTATACTGTTAAAGGTGTAAGTTGAAGCTATTTTAATTCTTATTGATTCATCAACCTAAACAAAGGATGATTAATGTTTACGGTTGCCAAGCAACAGAGCACAAACAACAAACAAACAGCGCAATTTAATATATTACTTTTTACATAGTTCATTGTGAATGTGGGTGAATAAAAAACACGACTATTAGAAAAAAAATGACAATGATTGAGACTGATTGGAGGGAAATTCTTAATTACTCTCAGAAAGAACTGAAGCAAGCCGATAAAGAAAAGCTTTGTGAGAACTTATCGTGGATGGAAGCTGACGACATTGAGCTTAATTTTTCCGATTTAAAAACCTTGTTTAGGCTTTCTCAAGATATCTTAAAGTTTAAAAGTGAACAGGTAATTTTTCACAATTATTCAATACAGTAAACAATTAAAAATGGCTGTTCTAATAATCAAACTTAAGGTTATGGTCACGGTACTGTTTCTAGTTGACGCGAGTGTTATACATTAAATAAAACACTTTTAAGTTAACTCTTAGTTTTAAGTAAGTAAAAGTTAACTTATTTTTAACTACTATCAAATCTTACCTACTCTATTATATTTTGTTACAATTATTTTTCAATGTGTGTAAGGTAAACACCCTTCTTGGCCAAGTAGAAACCCTGAAAAGAAGATATGGCAAAGCTAAAGAAAAAATTATATCAATGGGTAAGTTGCAAAATTTGTAAGTTATTAATTTTATTTGTAATTCCTTAAGTAATACAATACATTATCTAGATTCACCCGCAAAGGAGTCAGATTTTCTGGAGACAATATCGCATCAAGAAGAAGTTATAAAAGCAAATAAAGAAATATTAGAGCAATTATATTCTGAAATTGCCGACTTAGAGAAACGAAAAAGTAAGGTGCTGCAAACAAGACGCTGATATAAATAGTGATTCTAGTCGTGATGCACTATCTCAAATGGACGCACTAGCGAAGCTTGAAAATGAAGTGTCACAAAAGAATAGACACATAAGAAAACTTTTAAGTGATGTAAAGGTAATGATTATATGGAAAACAATACATTTGATCAATTATTGTTAATTATAATTTAACGGTCTTCTTAGGTTCTCGAAGAAGAAAACAATGAATTGAAAGAGAAATTGGCCATATTCAAAGAAAAACTCAAAGAATCAACACAAATTATTGAAAATTTAACAGAGAACTTATTTGCTCTTAACAGCGAATGTGGACAATTAAAAAGTATGTATATACTTAAGAATTTGATTTTTATGTTTCAAGAAAACTAAAACAGCAACAGTGATATTCGAACCAATTTATTTTAGGTACTTTGGGAAAAAGTGAGGAAGAGAAAGCTCATTTGAAACTTTGTGCAGAAAATTTTAACCAAAGAGCTACGAACTGAAATTCATCAAACAAAAGAAAACACCCAACAAGATAATATAACACAAAAAATTAAATACTTGAAGGTATTTGGCCAATGTAACATTAACACTAACTAACATTGTCAATTGATATTTTGTACCACAACTTTTTAATTACAGGAAACCATACAAAGACAAAAGAATGAATTAAAAAAGCTATCTTCGGAGAATATTGGTCAAAAGGAGGAAATTGCACAGTTAAAAAATAATACGTCATATTTGAACCAAGTAAAATATTCCTTATATAAAAACATTTAAATTGAATGTTAAGAGAATGTATTCATATATTTATATATTACAGCACAGGGATCACGAATTAAAAATTAAAGAGTTACAAGATAAATTAGCTGAAGCATCTAGACGAATGCTAAAGACAGCGGAGGTTGTGAATGATTTAAAAATTGAAAACAATAATCTTAAAAAGAGTAATGCTCCACAAAAAAATAATTCTGAACCAAAAACTCAAATTAATAAAAAAAGAGATTAGTATTATACAAAATTATGAAAAGACAATTACAAATCTAACGTGTCTCCTTCACGGTGCAGAAGAGATGCTATCATTACGAGAAAAGCAGGTTTGGAATATAGGATTCAGAATAATATAAAAATTAAATATTGGTTACTTTGGAAAACTAGTTTTAAAGTATCACGTCATTTATAGCTTACAGAAGTAGCGGCACAATTGCAAGTTTTAAAAACAAATGACGGAATCAAGTCATTGATAGTTGATTTAAATAACAAAAAAATTCAAATGAAAACTAAAGACGAAGGAATTAAATCGCTCGTGGAAGAAGTGAATAAATTACACCAAACTTTAAATTATCTTCAACTTGAAAACGAGAGCATGAGGTAGGTAATATTCATGATTCATGAATAAGATAAAGTAATGTGTACCTATGTGTAATCAGCACATTTTTTTACTGTTACTTTTAGGCAGCGGTTGAAAATTCCTAAAAATAAAAAGATTGAAGCTACAGGAATTTTAAAGGACTACTATGACATGAAGCAAACACACTTTAAAGTGGCACGCAAAATAGAAGACAATGAGAAGAAATTATTGACAATTGAAGTTGAGAGTCGTATAAAAGATGAAAAAATAGCAAAGCTAACAAATTGTCTACAAAGTTTGGGTTACTCTGAGGAAAAAGGCGCCATTTTGAATAATGATTGTGATATTCTCTTAAATGTGGAGGGTAGTTTCGATAAGTACGCAATAGTAAAAATATAATACGCAATATCATAGTAATGTTTACACTCGAATTACTTTAAATTTCAAATTAAGCTTATAAAAAATTGAAATTTGTTTGAAGTTGAAAAAACGTTAACGTTTTTACGAGTAATAATTAATTATTACTTAATTTATTAGAGATAAGTGCATAAATAATTAATAATATTCCCTTTTGCATAAACATAGGCTAATATTTCTTTCACTTTAGAGAGGCAACGGTTGGTGCTGAAAAGCCCGCAATAGATTTCCATGATAAAAATGATTACAAATCAATCCTTGAAGAAAATGAAGGCTTACGATTAAGTCTTACAGAAATTTTGAGCTGTTTAAAAGACAATAGTACGTATCATTGTAAATCAACACAAATGAAATTAATTTTACATATTTGTAGTTTGATACAAATTAAATTTTAAAAATAGGTACCACATCTTCTGGGATCCTTAAGCTAGAATGTCCGAGCCTGGACTCAGTATTGCAATCAATGGAAGCTCGAAAAACAGCGGGATGGTTTGCCCCACATATGAAGACTATTGTAGAGCTAAGAAGTGCGATGGGAGGAAGAGATGCACTTTTAACTGCATTACATCAGTCAAGGTTAGTATTTCTTATTATTATTATTATTCTCTATCCAAGTATTGTATTTTTAACGTTCAAATAATGCTTAAATAATATCCTACAGAAAAGAAACTTATGAAGTTATGACCCAGTTATCGGAAGAAACAAAAAAAACTTTACATCTAGAAAAAGAATTAAAGCAACTACAAACTCAGGTCAAAAGTAAAGAGGATAACAACGACGAAAGCTGCTCATTTAGTTTTAGTGATGGTGAATTTGGATCTTGGATACAAACATTTGACTATAATAACGTCGATATATTAGACACAGGACAGTTGCGGGAAATAGTTACAAAAGGAGATATAATTTATGAAAAACATATAAAACTTTGTTTGAAATATTTTAAAGATAAGTTTAACTCACTTTATGATAAGTTAACTAAATTATCAATAAGCATTGTGGATGAGAGAAATAAATGGTTAGTTCAAGAAGAAAACTTTAAGGCAGAAATAGCGAAATTAAGTTAAAAATCGAACAGGACAATCATTACGATGAAGATATAAGTGAACCTTCTCCCGGACTTATTGATTTTAAAGAAAAATCAAATACTTCAAGCAATTTGGCAGCACAGATAAACTTTTTACAAGAAAATTACAAATATGTCAAAGCATTAAACGATAATTTAAAAAATGAAAATATGGATTGTAAAAAGGAAGCTTTGTTTGTGGCTTCCGATTATGAAAAGAAAATACAACAGTTAATGATGTCAGTTACTAATCTCACCGATAAATTACGCAGCTCCATCCCAATCGATTTATTTTGGAAGCAAAATAATATCTTAAATGAGTACATCTTGAAATATCGCACTTACGTTGAAAGCAATGTTTCCTCTCATATAAATACAACAAATCTTTTATCGCGTTTAAATGAAAACAAAACTGATATTATGAACAATTTCAAAAATTACTTACAAGGTATTAATAGATAGTATATAATATGATTATTATTTTATAGTAAATTATCTTATAGAACATTTTTAGAGAAATATATCGTTAGGAGATATATTTATAGTATTGATTTTTGAGTTATTTTTAAGGTCAATCTAAATTAAATGACAGTCATTTGTCAAATTTAGAAATTTCAATAGTCCAAAAGCAAGTAGTTGTATTAACAGGTGAGCTTGATGTCAAAGAAAAAGAAATACAAAAGTTAAAAACGTCTTTATTTGACCTTCAAAAATCTCAAAATGAACTAATGTAAGTATTATCCTTTTAAGTATAATTAAGATTTCAAAACAATAAAATAAATAATTTTCTCCTATTTTTTAGAAACAAATTGTCATTGACAATACCTAGAGAAGAAGTGATTTTTATGAAGGACAATCTTAAACAATTAACAGATGAAAATAAGGCAGTTAAAGACCGCTGCACGGATTTAATGTGTAAGCTTGACGTCGCATCTACTCAGGTATTACATATACAATCATTTTACATATACAACAATAGGCATGTATAATAAGGTTTCTCAATATAACTTTCCCAATTTATATGCAGTTACAAGCATTCAGTCAGAGACAATTAAGCGTGGAAACAGAAATCGACTTACTAAGACATCAAATTCTTGATTTACAATCAAGTCAAAATAAGGTTTCAGTGTCAAGGTACTAATCAAAATTAAATATTATCTATTCACTTTTTTATTGTCAATTCAAATGCTTTTTTTGGTCCCATTATAATATTTATATTTATGCCAAATATTTGTGCCTTTTTCTTACAGGTTAAGTACCGAATTACTAATAGCACACTTGCAAGCTACAGAAACTTTTCAAAGAATGGAATCTCTAAAATTAGCACTAAATAAAGAAAGACAGACGAGATTGGACACTGAAGATATGTTACAGAAGCAGCAGAAAATTTTTGATATCTATCTTAATCGTAATAACAACAAATTCAGGTCGAATTAACTACATTTGTGTAATTAACTATCCTTGTTCGTGTGATTATAAAAAGTTTAATGTTATTTCAGAAATATTTTTGAAGTTATGGAAATTTTGAGAGAGCAATATCAAGGTATTATACCTCTTATCTGTTTAGAAAGCTATTCAAATAATCTTGATGAAATGATAAATAAAAACAATGAAATCAGTCAAAAACTAAATGAAATTGACAATGATCGCAATATTTTAATGATGAAACATGCAGTTTTTGATCAAATCTTAAACTATTCAAAAACAAAATGCCCGGAGGAGCAAGATGGTTGTCCCCACCAAATAAGATTGAACATGTCGGTAAGAATATGTTTTTACTAAGTTCATGCTCACAACAATCACAATAACGCCATTTAACTACATATCACTACTATTTATTTTTTAAAGGAGAGAATGAAACAGGTTGAAACAAAGCATTACGTTAAGAAAATAGATACTATAGAACAATCACGAAAAATGTTAATTCAGCAATATCATAATTTAGAGAAGAGCTTTCTTTTCGTAAATCAAGCCTATAAAAAGACACAAAAACGATTATCTCACAATTCAGATGGTTCTGTAAACGTTGAAGATTTGCAATCGGATACCGACTCAAATGAAGGTATTTTTTAGCCTTTTTTATAAATATAATATATTTCATATTATTGACAAAAACCTTACTTTGTCGCAGGTAATGAAACATATACGTTGTCCCAAGAGAATCAGATCAAAGCGTCAGCTCCTCAAAAAGAACAAGATTTTTCAAAAACAATTGAACGAGAAAGATTTATTAAAACACATACCGTATTTACACAGACTGATGTTAGTGTAGATAAAAGGATGAATAAAGAAACTCAATCGGAAGAAGATCGGTCTATAAAAGATTTACAAAAACATTTAGATTTATTAAGAAAAGATAAAGCCCTACAGGACCAAAAATTTAATGAAATTCTACTCTCCTGCCACAAGCAAACTGAACACATACATCACTTAAATAGAATCGACATAGAATTAACAAGTGAAAATGTTGACCTGAAAAAAAAGGTTGAAAATTTAATGGATTTAAGTAAACAGAAAGATAACTTAAACGAGATTCTAAATAATACAAATGAGACACTAAAAAAAGAAATGATTGATTTAAAAAATAAACAAAATATTCAAACTCGTCGGGACAATGAAACTAGCGAAGAAGCGAAATCTTTATTGCTAACTATTAAAAAAACAGAAGTGGACAAAAACTTTGTCATTGACGAATACAAGAAACTCTTAAATGACGAACGAGAAGAGTTTGCGAAATCTATATACGAATATCAGACAAAAATTGCTACCTTACAGTCTCAGTTAGATAAGTATGTTTTCTTCAAACTCTAGACATAGATTACCTAGTATTAGGAATAATCAGCTATAAGATACTTCAGAATTTTTGATAACAATCTTATCATTTTACGTAATCTAATTATCTTAACCATTTTCATTAGCAGGGCCGGAAGCAATATTGACGCATCAACTTCAGAAGAAGTAAACAGTAAAACGCATGAAAAGTTAATAACAAAGATTACAGAGTACGAAGACAAGTGTTTTAAGTTAAAACACGATTTGGAGACATGCGAATCTGATTTGTTAGTATAGAAATGTGATGTGAAATATTGTGTGTGAAAATGTTGTTACTTATACTCGACTATAATTTGTAGGCAAGCTAGCAGAAGCGAATTAGATCGTTGGAAGAACTTAGCTTCTGAACGACTGACAAAAATGGAACAACTAAGCACTCAACTTAAGGAGAGACATAATCAAGAAGTAAGTATATATTATATTTTTTCTGATAGAGGAGGACAGATACGCATGGGCTTCACTTGTTGGTAGGTGAAATACCCCAACCGTAACATCTAAACTAAAACATTAACGCGATTAAATTTCACGGCTTTTTATCTGTGGACGGTGGTTTGTAACTCGGACGGAAATTCGATATTCCTTCCGCCCTTTTAATATTCAAATTTCCCGACAAAGTTCAATATGTTTCAGTAAAATTATACATTGATTAAAAAAAATGATTGAAGCCAAACATTCCTCCCATTACACCAACGAGCCCGTATAAAAATCTGAGACATTGTGTTATTTAAATGTACTTAGTTCAAATTAGGTGTAAACTTCCCTACTTGTATTTATTACACTTACATAGATGATATGCTACAGGTAGAGTCTTATAAAGCCGAAAATGAACACTGGCTTGTACAACTCAACGAAACTCAACGTGAGCACGCCGATTTAAGATCAAGACTGACGGAACAGAAAGCTTTGCATATCAAACAGTTGAACGAAAAAGATGCACATATTGAACACTTGCGTTCTATAATAAATAATTTAAAGGTAAAATCATAACAATCTCCGTTGTTTAATAAAAGCTACCTTTTATTTACTTCTTAAAGCAACAGTCATGAGGACCTTATTATTGTTTATATTATAAACTTCTGATCTTACTCATGAATATTTTTGATTATTTACCATTGTAGGTAATTTATTCGGCTGTTTTTAGTAGTAGTGTTTGATTTTATACAATCTTTCCCCATAGACTCAAATAATGAACATGCAAACGATGCTAACTATAAATGATCCAAGCTTTGACCTGTCCGCGATAGTGGAAGTAGAGGAAGGAAGTGATGCTATTTCTCATCAGGATTCAGATAGGCTTGAGATAAAATTTGAGTCAACAGGCGATCTCAACGATTTTACAGATGACATCGGCAAGTTTCCCAGTAGTTCGACCGCTATTTGGTAAGATCTCAGGTGATAGTAAGCGCTAGAAATTTTGCATAGTAATTCACTAGAAAGATCATTCTTGGATATATATGTTTATGTGTAAGTGTACACCAATACAACGCTAAAAGAAGACATTTGCTGCATAGTTTTATTTTTCACCTTTCCACAAGCTTCATTTTTTATGGCTAGAGAGAACAGATATGCTTGGTTGAAGTTGTCACTTGGACGAAAGTGACATATCCCAGCCACATAATATCTAATCAAGATGCGCTGCCGACTTTTTGTTAATGTGTTAAAATTTTCAGGCAAGAACCTTTGATAGAGAGACTTCGAAGAGAAAAGCAACAGATAAGTAAACAAAATGCAATATTACGTAAACAAATCAAAGCTCTGGCTGGCCGTGAGAGACGAGCTCGGCTTGATGCACAAAACTTAAAAAATCAAGTATTTAGAATGTATGTTTTTAACTGATATATTTGTTTTATTTGCTCCACTCAAGTTCTAATAAACTATTTTACCTTGTAGTAGCACATCGGGTCACAAAGTACCGTCAGTTGAGTCGGCAGCTCTTCAAAACAAAATCGCGTCTTTACAAGCGCAACTGACGAGTGCCCGTAGAGACGCTCATTCTACTGTTGCACTTTGGGATAAGTGGAAGAGGTAAGTTATTACTAAAATTGATTAAGGCAATAATTACTATCGTTAAGTTAGAAGAACGTTACTCTAACTTCTGGTAGGAAGACTAATTTTGATAAACATTTTACATTTCAAACAGCCATATTAAATAAACTAACATAACCTGGCTTGATGAATTAAAAAAATATTATTAAAAATTACAGTCCATATAATGAGTCCAGAATAAAAACTACAATACTAAGTATGCGTGTTTTAGGGCACAACAATCGTCCGAACATTGGCAAGCAAAATATGAAGAGAAGTGTCAAGAAGTGATAACACTGGAATCTAGCTTGAATCTCACCAAATCAGCTATCCAACGATTAGAAAAAGAAAAACGAACGCTCCTTATTCGACTTCCAGAAACCAAAAGTAAGTTAACTAAAAACAACTACAATAAAGATTTTATTCAATAATTGGATCATCAAAAACGTCATTTTATGTCTATATTGCATTGCTATAATCTATATAGCTAGCATCTTTTTTGTATTTGCAAATAAATGATATTCTGTATTATTAATACCTTACCAATATACTGTTATAACCATCCGTAACTGGTCGGGTTTTTTAAATCCGAATTAAATGTCGAATATCCGAAATTCGCGTTTTTTATTAAAAAAAATGTATAGTAGTACAGCCATGACTTGATACTTATAGGTGCAAGGAATTCAACCATAGAGAAACATGACGCGGAATTATCAGAGAAATCTTCATTGGTTAAACACGATTATTGCGATTCTCCACCGCCCTTATCCACCAAATCTCTGCTCGAGCGCATTGAAGCTCAACAACGAAGAATCGTCGCTCTGGAGTTTGCTGAAAAAGTAATTTACCTTAGAATTATCTTTTTTATTTGGAAGACTACTTCTTCCTTTGCGTATGAAGGGTAGTCTCCTGTATTTTGATAAATTATAAGACACTTAATTCTGCAAGTCTGCCTTGGTCACCTATTTAGCGGCATCATTATGTAACTATTTTTAAAATATTTAATTAATATATACATATACTTATTTTTTTAAGGGCAACGAACCTCTGGTGTCCGAATACGAAAAGTCATTGGCTGAAGTAATATCTCTTAAGGGGCAAGTTATAAAGCTCGAATCTGCATTACTCGAAGCGCAAATTAAGAGTCCACTACAATCTAGTCACGATAAAAATCACCCCGATCTCGAATATTGGAAAAGGTATAATAAACTTTCAATATTATTATTATTAAAATTACATGTCAACCTTAGTAATATTTGTATTACAGCACATGATTTTAAAAAATGAGAAAATTTCATGACCCGAATTCTGCTGTATCATCGTTTTTTTTAATATGTAAATATATAACTTTTCAATCTATTAGATATAATTAACACTCTTAGACATTCATTACTTATTTAAATAATTTACATATATTTGTAAAATTTACAATATGCAGTGCCTGTCGTCAGCGAATTCTCCGTCCTATTCTAGTGGTTCCGCTTTATTTTACATTGTTAAGATTCTCACAAAACCACTAACCAAAACACTTTGCTTAAAATTTTCAGCTACTGTGAAATGCTAAAAGAAGAAAATATGCAGTTGACTCTAAGGGTTACCTCTTTGGAAAGTTCACCTTCACCAATGCCCCAACAACGAGTCAATGATTTGGAGCAGACAGTCCTTACACTAAGAGGTAATTTATTATTACAATTTCAACCTAAGGTTGTTATATTTCTTTTAATATTAAAAGCATTTTATAAATTATATTATACATATATATGCAAATTAACTGTTGTTATTTAATTGTATCTGAATATAAATAATTTGAAAAATACTTCAGGTTTGGTAAGTAAGCTACAGGCTGAAAAGTCATCTAATACAGGTCACAGAAAACCTGACTCTCGACCTACCAGTGGACGAAGTAGCGCGGACAAAGTAAGTGTCGCTGGTCACTATTGAAATAAAACAAAGATTTCTTTTCCAACAAATATTGACATATTTCTGTACATATGGTTTACAGACCCGAAATGCCAGCATAGACATGTACAAGATAGAAATTTCAAACCTAAAGCGAAGTATACAAGATAAAGACTTACTCTTAGAGAAGTCTAAGGAAATGCTAAAGATCGCTGCGGAAAGAGAAGAAGATTTATTAAGAGAGGTAATCATGTTAGCATTGCTTTTTAAATTTTGTTATCTACATTACTACGAAGGGATTATTATAAATTCTATGGCTTAGCACACGTTGGAAGCGAGAACTCGAATCGAATCCCGGGAGTATTGGTTGAAACTTTTTTGGTGATGGCAAAGAAAAAAAAGCTAGGTTTTGTCTTATCTTTTTAACAATGCATGTCGCTGGAATACCTTTTATCGCTTATAAACATTCTTTTAAGAAAAAAATCTTTAACAGTTTCAAATGCGATATATATTAGTTAAACTTATTTAAAAAATATTTTAACTACAACTCGACGCTCCGGATGCTTTGCAGCAGTCATGGTCACGGGTAGACAGGGTCAGGTAAATGTGTACTACTCGCGTAACTACAGACAGTGTTCGATAAACATTCTTGTTAATTTATACTGTTACGCAATACTCTATGAATCTAACGACAGACTTGGTTTGAAACTGTCTTCTGTACTATAAACGTTACTTTGTTGGCGTCATATTGGTCGGTGGTTTTGTCGCTGAAAATTGTCTCTAGTTCGTAAATAAACAGGCACAGAACCTTAATTTTCTGAAGATGAACAGATTATAGTAGGGGAAGTGTAACAAAGTTAACCATGTGGTCAAGCTGCGACATTGCTCTACTTATAAAAACAGATAATGGTAAAAAAGTTCATTGCCAAGTCTGTGACAATGTTATTGACCTAAGGGTCAATACAAAATTATTTATGTGTATGAGTACACATCAATAATTTTGTATTCATTTAATTATTATTACACAGATATAAAGTAAAGTTATTAACGTAACAAAACGTAGTAAACGGGCTCGTTGGTTCAATGGTAGCCATATATGGCTAATAATCTACGGGTCGTGAGTTCGAACCCCACCGGGTCCAACATGTTTCAAATTTTTCAATTTATAATTTTTCTGAAAGACGTTGAACTTCGTTTGGAAATCTGGATATTAAATTTGTGGTAGCAATATCGAAATTCCGTCCGGGTCACAAACCAACAGTGTGAAAGCCCGTTTTCCCCTCGTGAGGCATGGGGCGAACATAATACTGTGTCCGTTTCACTGATCCGTTTAAGGGGCAAGTAGTTGGTCAGACTTCTGTGCCCTGCCTGACTGAAACAATTTTGTTTCTCTGGGATTCTAACCCAGGACCTCTCGCGCTTAACGCAATGCTAGGTAGTACGTTTAACCATGGCTACAAAGGGTCTCTATCATTAAAAAAAAACTAAATGTATTGTCGGCTTTGACCGCTTACAATTCAATATAAATATTTCTATAATTCTTTGGCATCCTTATCATAATTATAATTTTTCTCCTCTTTCAGAATACGATGTTACGACGTCGTCTGGAGCAACTAAAGGAACACAAGCGTGAATTGTTTTCAGCGTAAATTAATTCATTTTCAACACTAAAAGTACATAATCATTCATACTTTTTTAGAGAGTCAATAAAACAAATATGGCAGTCAATTTTTTATTGAATAAGAAACAAACTCATCGCAGTAAATGAAAATAATCTTGATCTAAACTCGGAAAATAAACATAATGGTCGTTTGTGACTTAATTAAATGCAAAATAACTTTGGAAATTGTTATTGTATAAATTAGCAAATCATATGGACCAACAATGAAATACTTTCAAGGCTATAATAATAAACCTTAACCGCTCCAAAACATAACAATTACTTCATGTATAAGAATATAAAACATTTACATGCAAAGACAAAGTAGGTAATACTTATATAACAAGATTTTTATAACACCCCAAATTGTGCATACAGAATGATGTAAAAAAAGTCCGCGACGCTATATGTCTATCTTTCAAGATTAACTTGCAAGACGGAAAGGGACGCGACCGACGTCGTGGGTAACAAGTTTATAAGGATAAAGGGGTTTGCAAAAACTAATTTGGATGCCCAAAATAATGATTCTTAGCGGACGAAGTCGCAGCAACAGATAGTATTAAAATAAATACGGGCAGACAAACTTTCATTCTTGTTTAAATACTGCATTCACAGCCATTTGAAACCTACCACCTATTACTATAAAATATTTTTTAATAATGTTATACAAAGTTATCAAAGGATCATATCCAACATTTACACATTAACTTAATACAGATCATTTAGTACAGACACTTAAGTACCTTGATAATAAATTAATACTGGAGTTCATAATTTGTCTAGATTGAGGCCATTTAATGGACAAGTCTACTTTCCACTTTTCTTAATGAGATTCAGCTGAAATAAAAAACAGAATGAATTTACGAGTTACATTTATGATTAATGAAGGAATGAAATAGCCAGGCTATCCTGGTATGTAAGGCAGCACCATCTTGTCATTTCATTTTGCTTATGAAAAAAGAATAGAGATAGAAGATGTATAGTATGGAATCTAAAAATTAACTGACTATAAATTCAAGATCAAAAGACGAAAGGAGATTCAAGAAGGCGTTCTCGATTTTGACGTGCTATATTATACTTTTGTTTTTTTTTTTACCTGAACGCTCTGTTCCTCTCTGTATTTAGCTCGGAGCCATCTAGCTAAAGGTGGGGTGAACAGCTGAGGGTCGGGGTGCAGCTTGCCTGCTCGCTCCCAGGGCTGCATTTGACGCCACACAAGAGATATTATTGAGCCCACAACAAGAACCCATACGAAGCCAATCTGCAAAATATTATATTGGCATAATATATTATAAAGCGCTTGCAAGTTTTAGACTTAAGATTATATATATTTTTTACTTGCTGCCTCGGTGGCTATAGAACCATTACCTTTCAGTCAGCGAGACGGACACACATATGTGTTCGCCTTACTTTATTACTTTCATACATGTGTTAATAAGGAGAATAAACTATTTTCTCCATATAAGATTGACACATATTTAAGTGTTATCTCACTTGATAAAAAGTATAAAGAACTTTGGTTACTTAACGGTTTAAAACGCGCAATAAATATTACTCACGTTAACTACAGACAGTGCTTAAAACATTTGGTTTTAAGATTAACATTCGCTATAGGTGCTAGACGCTTAGGACTTCGATAGGCTAGTAAGCCTAGGTATCATTTTAATATTATACTAAATAAATATAACTAACCGGACTTGACCACATATAGGAGATTCGGTAAAGGTAGAAATAGTCATCGGGATGAACAGCTGGTGTCGGTGCCAGGGTGACGTTCATCGCACAACTTGTAACGCTTATTGGGAGCTTCACCAGCGGTGGACGAGGGCCGCCGAAGTTCATCCAAAGCGTGAGAGACATGCCACTCAATAAAGCAACTGATACACCCTGAAAGATCAAATAACTTTAACCATCTTTTTTGATGAAAATTTGAGTACGGGTTCGTCTTAGAAATATTCAACTATTTATGCCCAATTGGTCTGGCGATAAGTAACAGAGGATTGAAATAGATTATTTTATTACACAAACTAAAAATTAAAAGCAGTGCCGTGTTTTTATCTGTGATTACTGGTTTTTGCGCCAGACGAAATTTTGATATTCCTACCACCCATTAAACGTCCGCTTTTACAGACAGTCTAACATATTCTAGAAAAAAATAAATGACTTCTTAGGATGTTACATTGATACTATAACGTCAGACAGCCCGTGTATGTTTATGAACAATGTGACCCACCACTTCTTGTGGTAAATAATTTTCTCTTTATTAACTATCTTAAATAATGGTACTTACATAATCTACTCTATGCGCCTTGGTCACGCCCACTTCCACCAGAAATAGTAATATTTTAATTTCGCCATAACTTCAAAACCACGTCCATTTAACTTTTAAATACCAAATATTACAACTTCTGTGATGAAAATTATTTTAATAAGGATTAATAGCATGAGTAAAATAAATGCGTTTAAATGTAGTCCAAAAAAAATTAAGATTTTAAAATAAAAAAATGGTTGTTGTGCCTCACTCGACATAGATAGCTATAGTGTGTGGGACTTTTTTGTAGATATTTATTAGATCTCCAATTAATTAGAACATTTATGCTTCTATCTTTTATAGTTTAGGAGGTACGCAAAATAAGTAACTTTTTGGTGATTTTTTAACTTTGTGTCCGAAAAACCCAAATATTTTAAGGAACCCTATTTTTTTCCAAAATAAAATTTTGCCTATGATCGTGGATAATGTAGCTTTGAATGGTGAAAGAATTTTTAAAAACGGTCCAGTAGTTTTTGAGCCTATTCATTACAACAAACAAAAAATTTTCCTTTATAATATTAGTATAAGGAGAACAAAATTGTAAATCAAAGCATATGCCGTATTATTACCATCTCTGTAGCATACGTTGTGAACATCCCCAAAGTAAAGACACCGAAGAGTGGACCACCCACAGCGCTGAATATTGTGAAAGCGGCTTGAAGTACTCCCCCCAAGTATTCCGCCAAGAAGGCCAGAGCTAGGAACAACAAACCATAACCACACGCCGCTATTTTAGTCACCCAGGGTACGTATAGCTCGTTGATGTTACACCACCTGGAACGAGAAAAATAAAGTTAAATACAAATTATAGTTAATATAGTCACTTGAATTATGGAGTATATTTAGAAATTTAGAAACTAACGTAATTTAGAAAACAGACTTATGACTGACGCTGAAAAGACATCAACTTTCATATAATCAATTAAATAAAATTGTATACTAAATTTACTAATAATTCAGCATAATTAATTTTCCTTGAAGAACCGAGGGATCGAACAAAGACAGTTTGAAGGAAAATAATGATTTATTAAGCTAATGTGATGTATACTTCAAAACAAGGAAATATTCTCTCTGTGCTTGAGAATAAGGAAATATCCCCATCCTATTTTTAGAAGTTCTCTTCTCCACCTTCAAAATACTTAGTATTTATTAGTCAAAGGCAAGCAAAAGTCTTTTTTTACGAGATTTTAGCAAGTTATTCAACTGCATTTAATTAATTCTAATTATTTATATTAATTATGTACATTCCTATAATAGAACAATAGACTACAGAAACATTGATTTAAATAACAGAGGTACAGCGACCCACAAATCATACTTAACTTCTGTTGCTAAGATGTTTTCTTCCGACATACTTAAGTGTTCTTTACATGAATCAAGATAGATAAGTACTATAAATATTATTCTCAAAATGGCTTCTATTCGTGGACAACACGCGGTTGAGGTTTATATAAAACTAGCTGTTTCAGCGACTTCGTCCGCATAGAATAGTTAGTTTGGGCATCCAAATTTATGTTTATAAATTTAAACTGCTATCCGATATCGACGTCGGCCTCGTCCCGTCGTTTTTGCAAGTTAATCTTCAAAGATAGACATATAGTGTCACGGACATTTCTTTAGATCATTTAAAAAAGGAATCATTCTTTCATACATATTTTTTGGGTATCCTAAACAGTTTTCGATTCTTTTCAATTATTTAGTAGTTTCACTTAGATTACCTGCTAACATAATCAGTTAGTGTGACAGCAGCAAGGGCATTGCAGGAGGCGGATATAGTTGATAGAGATGCACTGAAGATACCAGCTACGAACAGACCAGCGAGACCAGGCACCGATCGCATCGCATCCACCACGTAGTACGGCATCAGCTGATCTATCTGTGCCACAAGACACGGCAATATTGAAATCAATTTTATTCATTTGCTATTTACTTAACTCGTCGTTTCGACTTGAAACATTAAAGGTATATTTCAGTTGCCCCTACAAACTATAATATTTATAATATTATCTTCAAATTAGTATACAGCCTGTGGTAATGTTCTTATCGTCAAAATTAAAATATGACATACAGTACATACACAACTTTTTTAATAAACATAAAAAAATTGTGCTAGTGTAGGTATGTACTGTATTTAACATTGTCATTTATGAAAAAGATATTCATAACTATTCGATGTAAGCAACCCAATTTTCACTTAGTGTATTTGTACTAGAAAGTATAAAATCTATAATAACGGTTCAAGAATATTCCAGAACCGTTAGATTTCTGTTATGTTTGTACTCGTTCCTATGAAAATAACACATCCACTTTATAGAGCCAATTTGTTGCATTATTTTTACAAACGTCTTAGTAGGTATAAATACTTAAGTATTTCACGAAAATGACGTTTATCAGTTTGAGTCATCAATAAAATCTATTGCGCAATCATCAATAAGTCTCGATTCAGACCAATTTTGTGCCAATCAAATAACGAATTTGCACTTCAGACATTAGTTTCAGTTATCTAAATCTAGTTATGAGTAATTGAAATATTTAACTCGTTTGTATCTAAGATAGTCTAGTTATACAAATTACAATGATTTAACTCAAACATAAATAACTTTTGAATTGCTTACCATCGCGGGTTCGATTACAGATGCAAAAAGTTGCACAAAATGACCTTACATATATTCTTTGATATATTTTTTAAAATGGTTTTTCATCAGTCGCTATTAGAAAAACTTAATAAATATTCGAATAACTAATTAACCTTCCACAAGAAGCAATTGAAAGTCACGGATTCGTCCGATGACCTAGATAGGCTTTTACTAACCGCGACTATTTGTCCAGAGGCGTACGGATCACAGTCCTTATACACTGCGTAGATGGCCAGTCCACTGACGCAAGTAACTATACTGAGGACAGATAGCACGGGCCAGCTCCACCACATGCATTGTTGAGAACGGGATAACGTGCTGACTGTTAATAGTCGTTGTACCTGAAATACACGAATATTGCATGTATATTATAGGGTACATTTTTAGTTTAAAAGTATATATACACATACAGAACATAGCGTTCTCTATTACTAGGACTTGAGAAGGTGGAAGTGGTGAGGTGTCTGGAGCGTCTGGAATTAGTAGACCTCTTACTAGAATGACTATATTTGTCAAGTACTAGTGTACGCGAGTAGTGACATTTAAAAAAACACTTTAACGGTTTAAAACGCGATATATTTTAGTTAATTGTTTGAAAATATTTTTAACTAGGCCCGACGTTTCGGATGCTTTGCAGCAGCCACTACCAGTGGCTGGTTAACGGCCAGTTACCACGCCGTTACCGTTAAACCGTTAGTGTTTTATTACAATATAATTGTCAAATGAATTAAATGTTTTTTATTATAGACCAAGACTTTCACTCGATGAAAATAAAATACCCTAGCCATATAACTACTCAGAAGATGCCTATCGATTTATATTGGCTTTGATATTTTTAATCCACAACTGAAATTAAAACAAATGATATCTATTTCTGTAGACTTTGTAAGACGAAGTCAAATGTTTGAAAAAAATATAAATTGTTTAGTAAAGTTTTTTGGAATTTAAATATATTGTACATAAGATAATTAAAAAAAATTTTTTGTTTGTCCGGTAGTATAGATTAAATATTAAAATTCTTACATTACATACATTCCCCCTCCGCTATAAGTCCATCCAAAATTCCCGAAATAGTAATATACCTACTTAACAATATATTTTAAAACGAAAAATATATTCGTTTAATTCTTTTTAATTTATCAGAGAAAAGTGGTTTATTAAAAGAGGTATTTGTGATAAAAATTACTTACAAAAGAGGACAAATGATGGAGTATGACAAATTACACTTACCTGTGTATGATTGACGGCATATAAGGACAGATACATAATGAAGCCGCCAATAATTAAAGACCACCAAGTGTGCCTTTCCGTTGGGTCCAATGTCACACTGTAAAAACATACAAGAGTTCTTGAATTTCAAATTGAACAGGATATTTGAATATTTGTTCAGTGCAGTGAAAGTAGATCTGACTTGACCTAGATCTTAAAAATTCGATATTGTCATCTGAGAAAACTCTTTTGGTCAGTTCAGTAGATTTAGGCCTCTACAATCATACAGATCAAGCAGTAGAAAAACGGTATAATGATGAAGATCATGTTATATTACACACTTACTGCGAAAAATCTAATCGCCCGCCTTCCTTGGCTATAGCGAATATGTTTCCAAAGCCACCGACTTGTATCGAAGCGAATATCAGAACGCTAACCACAGATGCGAACATGAGAAAAGACTGCAGCAGATCCGTGAAGAGGACCGCTTTCATACCACCGATCGTGGAGTAAAACGTGCATACCAATCCCACGACCAATATGGAAATCACACGGTCCATACCAGTCACCGATTCTAGGACAATGGAGGGTGCATATAACACGATTCCGTTGTACAAAATCATTTGTAAGGTGTAAGTCAACGATGCCAACATCCGTATCCGCGGACCGAACCTCATCTCCAAGTATTCGTATGTGCTCGTCTTCTGTAGGCCGAAGAATACTGGCAAGTAATATCTTGACGCTACAGGAGTGGCGAGGAAGTAGGATATGTTTATAACTACAAACTGCATCCCGTAGTAGTAATTCTCAGCTGATATCCCCAATAGCGTTATTGCTGATACAAATGATGCCATCAACGAAACGGCTACAGGCAGTATTGACATATTTCGATTCGCCATTAGATATTCCTGTAAAAATATATTTTGTTACTAATCGGCTAGAGTTCCAAATTTCTGTTAGTTATTAGTTCTCTTATATATGGCATCACATTTTTATATACATCATTAATTCTAATGGAAAACCATTTTAAGTAAGGGCAGATTAACTTAGATAGTTACATGAAAAGGAAATCCCGTTTCGAGTGCTGATTTATTTTATATATTGGCAAGTCGTTGATCAGACCTCCCTGCCCCGACTAAACACGCCACTTTTAAACTCAAAACACAATTAAACTTCACGGCTATTTTACTGTGGACGGTGGTTCGTGACCCGAACGGAATTACGATATTCCTACCCATTTAATAGAAATTTCCAGACGAATTCCAACACGTGTCAAATAAAAAAAATTTTTGAAAAATTAGATTGGACAAGTTGGACTCGGTGGGGATCGAACACACGACCCGTTGATTATTAACCATACATTGCTACCTTTATACCGACGAGCTCGTCAAAGATATAAAAAAAATGTATTACATGTATATATCCCTAAGTTACCAAACGCTCTCTTAACGGAACATAAGTATTTAAATAATTTAACGCGATATATTAGAAAGAAATTGCGGAAGGAAATTAAAAATCATTTCCAAAACATCAAGAGTTTAACTAATATATTGCGTTTTAAACCGTTAAAGTATTTTATTTAAACATTTTCAAATAAATTTAACTAATACATCGCGTTTTAAACCGTTAAAGTGTTTTATTTAAATGTGTACTACTTGCGCAACATAAGTAATTATAAATTACCTCATTCGTTTTCTGCTTCCCACCACTGAACCGAAAATACAGGCCTATACCAATTGACAACAGCATGGTTATCGTCATGATGGCGTAATCCCACGGCCACAAACACCATATTCGACATTTTACCTGAAAAGTAACCACAACGCACCCTCCGATTAACCAATAAACCGTACAACTATGTTAGTTCAAACCCTATTACAAAAATAAGAACAATTTATTTAACTCCTTATTCTATACTATACGATATTCTACTCATTCACAGAATCCTTTCTTACACACTCAAAGTACAAAATAATTAACGTAATGCCATACAGGTTTTAAAACTCAGGCCCCACCAAAACCAGTATTTCTTTCCTGGAAATATGCGGACCTGAGTAAATAACCATAGGTTTGTTTATTGGTAGGGTTTAGTCTTTATTGTATAATACCTAGGTGCTCTATAATCTTTCTCTACAATCAATGATAGACTCTAGGACTACCTTGGAATCTTATAATATACATTTATATTAGAAGATAATTCTTATATAAAAAATACATATGAGTATATTATATTGTGTGAAAGCCTGTGGAGCATGGGGCGAACACATTTCTGTGTCCGTTTCACTGATCCGTTCTTTTAACGGGCACGTAGTTAATCAGACTTCTGTGCCCTGCCCGACCGAAACAATTTAATGTTACCCTGGGATTCGGACCCAGGACCTCTCGCGCTCAACGATATGCTAGGCAATGCGTTTGACCATTTGGCTACAGAGACGGTCGTGAATATATATTAAACATACAACATGAAATTTTATGTAACAAACATCAAACCCTAGAAATGTGTTGCTTGTTAAATTTGTGTTCGATGATCGTCGAAAAATGATCTAAAAAGGTTTAATTTAAACTACTAGCCTAACATAACTGTTCGGTTCTTTAAATTGTACGAAGACCCATCTAGACTTGCTACAGAATGTATGAAAATACAGCCTTATACAAATACGTCTGTGAATGCTAAAATTCAATTTATAATAGAATTCGTCAGTTCGGTTAGGTACAAAGATTGCTTTGTTAATACTGAGAACTGTCTGTTGCTTTTTATAATCGGTGTTTGATAATAATCATCCACGTTTCAACAGTCTGTCTGTCTCCATGCGGCTAATAACTGTAAAAACATGAAGCAGTTGCTTAGGTTTCCTTTTACTGGGACAGAAGTTATATTTGAAAGTGATTTTGAATAATACACTAGAAAGTATGTATATTATATATGCCCTTAAATTTTTTCTCGAAGTTAAAGTTCCTTTGTCAATAAAATATATAGGTATTACAAATATCGACATCGATTCGTTCTTATTTTAAGAATTGACTAAGTATGGTGTCATGCAAAGTTAATTTATCTTGATTTTCTTTTTACGCTAATGTTTGGAAATAGTTTCAAAGATGTCTAGGTATTTATTTTCAAAGCTATAATGAGTTTATATTAAATATTTCAAGAGAAACTACTGTTTATACGGAGAAAGCGGTGAAAACTTTACTTGTCTTTTACGGCAGAACAACGTTTATTTATCTATTATAATTTAAAGTACATTAAGAACGCATTTACTTTTTAATACCCACAAAATTTTATAAAACTTTCACACACTATGTTACGTATTTCACATTACTATTAATTACTTTCCAAATTATTACAAACAATAACTTTTTGTGTACAAAATAAATGATTAATTAATACAAATAAATTATAATCACCTTTTTAACTTATTACATCAACAGTAAACGAAAATATGTTTGACACAATTCAAAATATCCCGCCATCGTACTGTCAGTGCCAAGCTATGAATTCTAAATGTTATTTTTTATAAATATTATGAAATAAGTCTGAACAAAAAGTAATTTCATTTAGACACTTACGTTCTTACACAAAAAACTCGTCCAAAATATTCTGGTATCGCGTGATCGCCAATTCAGAATAGGGGCAAAGGTCACTGTATGGAACGTAGTCTATAGTTTACCACAGCGCGTACACAAACGCACGTCATATCTTCCCCTAACCAAATCAATTTCTGATTGCATGCAGACGTGTAGACGTATGTTCTGGGGAAACACGTGTTCGCGTCGCCAATCACGAAGCGGCACAGACCTGACGCGACGCGATTTAGGTTAGAGTTGTATAACCTTAGTCTTATGTCATTCATGCAGACTAAATAATATTTTAACAATCGAACTCGGTACAATACTGTATATGGTATACTAATTCGTTTTCGTTATCGTGTCTGGTTTCGTCAAATCCTATTTCGAAATTCGAATAAACCACTGTACACTTCAAAAACATACCTTATTGTAAAGCTACATAAACCTCGATCATACTTACGAATTTTCATTAGAGTTCATACTTCGTACTTTGCCCGATTCATAAGGCAAAGGAATTATCTCAAATGAAATTATTTTCTATTCCTTGTATTTAACGCCATATTTATAACTGGAATCTTAGTACGATTTATTTAACTAGATTCTTATGTAGTCCTGAGAGAGACCATCTGTTTTATTGATGTTCTCTGGTATATACAATTTGTTTTTGATTGAAACTATCGTATATGTAAATCGATAGGAAAAAAAAAAATATCAGTTTTCCTATGTTCTTTAATTGCGCACAAAAATAAATTAATAGTAATAACTTAAAATAACCTATAACCCTTACTAACTTATTTCTGAGAAACTTTTTTTTAACAATAACATTAAATCTTAGTCTTCATTTTATATGTATAAAACTTGTCTCTAAAATAAATATGATATATTTTTTTTATTTATACAATACCTACTCAAGGTAATACTTTCATGGCAGTATTGAAATATCTATAGCTGATATCATTCAGCGAAATTCTCTCATCAGTTTGTCATACATATAACTAAGTTGGTACAAAACTATTTTTAACATAGAAATAACCTTACTTAAATTGTGAAACAAATACATATTGATATACAACATTGCTTTAAATAACTACGATATTAAGTAAATTTATTATTGTCAGTTTTTATAAATACACAATGATTATATTATTTTGTATAGTATAGGAAGATTTTTCCGTTTAAGTACTGTCAAATCAATCATAAGTACATTTATCTACACATAAAAAGGAATATTATGTCGATAAGTAGTATTGTATATTTTGAGTCAATATAAAAAATTGAGCTATGTTTAAACATCCACTTTTTGATATCTCTGAAACTCTATTTCATCTCTTCTCTCTTCAATAACTCGCACTGAAATAATAAAATTGAGTGTAATCCTTGATACTTACGGTCTTAGGCCATTCCAAGATATCAAAAATTAAGAACACAGATTAAACAAATAAAAAAATCCATGTTATTTTATCCCTTAAATACATAAAATAAATTGACAAATAAAATAGTAATTATACGTACCTTACGCTAATTCTGTGTCCCAGGTGTGGAAATATATAAAATGTGGTGATTAATTTAATGCAAGGCTTGGACCCATCTAGAAAATAAACTATCTAGTAAGCGCTATGAGCTAAAAAGCCAAGAAAAGAAGCATAGTCTAGAAAAAATTGTAGACCCCCTGATATTCGATATTAATTAACCCAAAAAGAAAATCTTTGCTAAAACTAATTATGTTAAAGGCTGCAAATCAATAGTGCACGAAATCATGCCATGTGCAAGAAAGTTTCCCTAAAAAGCTAGTCTTATTAAAGCTTTAAAGACCAATAAAGCACTGGTGAACATGAAGTGATTCTTCTATTTGTTAGGACTAAGAAGGCTAGGATCAAAAATCTAAAACGCATTCAATATAGCTAAGCTAGCTTAAATCAAACTGCGTACCTGTGCGCTTTCTTTTATTTGATACTTATTTCTGAGCCATCTCGCGAGTGGTGGGCTGAATAGCTTAGGGTCAGGATATAAGCGTCCAGCTTTCTCCCAAGCTTGTTTCTGACGCCACACTAAGGATATTATAGAACCCACTATAAATACCCAAAAGAATCCAATCTGAAAAAAAGTTAAAAAAATTCACACGACTCTTTTTTATTTACTTATCAAACAAATTTCGCACTGAAAGAATTTCCTAGTTTTCAAACGCGACCTTGAGATAAACCTGTCAGCGCTCTTTACCCAGTTGTAGATGAGAGCGCAAGGTTCAATTATATTATTCGACACAATGTGGCCTGAATATTGTCCTTTACGATAATATCACGTGAAACGCAACACTACATGTCTTTATAAATTTAAATAAAATTTTTGCTTACAGCATCATTGACAAGATTTAATACATATCATTGATTTGTTTGTAATAATTATTTCTGCTCCATCAATTAAAGAACGCAAAATTGTATGCTAGTTTCACTTTGCTCAAACTAAGAAATAAATCTTATTTTCTTACATTCTATTCACAAAAAACAGATAAAATAATCTCAGGTCTAGAAAGAAAATAGATTTGTAAGGGAGTTTTAATTCTTTCAAAATATTTAATAACAATAAATCCCTTACTTCTCGACCTTTTTTGTTGCCTTATTCTTAAGGACTTGATATGATTTTTTCTGAAGCTAACAGTCACGTTATAGATATAGAATATTAATCTAGTAGCGCTATTATTTAAAATCTTACCGGACTTGTCCACATATAGGATATTCTGTACAAATAAAAATATTCACTTGGATTAGAGGTTAAAGCCATTGGAATAGTCATATTGGAGCAACCATCGATGCTGAGGGGTAGTTTGATTGGTGCGGGCCGCGGACCGCCGAAGCTTATCCATAGCGTCATAGCTAAGCCGCTTATTAAAGATAAAGATGCACCCTAAAACACAAAGAAAATGTATTTCATAAGTTTTTTGTATATTGTTTAGGTAATAAATCCACTACTTTGCAAAAATTGACCAGCAAGTTTACACAAATTTCCTTATGTTACCAAAATGTTAAAAAAAAAAAAAAAAAAAAAAAGGAGGAAAAGACAAAATATTGTCGAAACGCGGATGCTAGACCAGATCCATGATGTAAGAAAAATTGTTTTTGGTACACTTTGGAATCGATGAAATAGACGGCAGAAAAATGGTGTAAAGTGTAAGAAAACATGAATACATATTATAAACATAAACTTTCGTTACATTGTAAACGGTTTTATAATCTATATACAAGTTGGAATGATTATATTTACCATTTCAGTAGCATATGTGGTAAACATTCCCAAAGTAAAAACACCCAAGAGTGGTCCACCAACGGCTCCGAATATCGTCAGAGCTGCTTGAAGTACGCCACCCAAATACTGTGCTAGGAAAGCCAAAACTAGAAACAGCAGCCCATACCCAAACGCTGCCAATTTCGTTAACCACGACAAATAGCTCTCACGGATTTTGAACCACCTATAAGATATAATACTTGTAAGAGTAATCCATTTTATATCGGATATTACTCAAACTACCTTTAGGTATACAGTCAGCGACTTATCGTTTAAAGTGTTGGTACTTATGTGTGAGTCCAATTAACGATAATTAGTAATTGTAATTAGTTTAAAGAAAACAATTATTTCTTAAAGAAACACAGTTAACAAAGGCAAAACTTAGATCGTATCTATATTTTGTTTATGCCATCAGTAGCGTAGGTGGTCTAAGGGCCCCGACACATACAGAAAGAAATGGGCCCTCATCCCCTCTTTTTGCGTAGTTTAACTTTTATGGACCTCCAAAATTCCAGATAGGACCAGAACGGTTCATTTAAAAACGATATATTTTTCCTTTTATGCTTATGTCTATTCAAAGATGAGGTTAGAGGACATCAAAACATAAACGCCATTCTATGGATTATAAGGCACAAAAATCAAATGACAAATTTATTCGAGTTGCAAAACAGTCAACTTATTTTGCATGATGTTTTTAGGAGATACCTGCTAACATAATCGCTAAGTGTGACAGCTGCAAGAGCATTGCAGGAGGCAGATATAGTAGATAGAGAAGCACTGAAGATACCAGCCACGAACAAGCCAGCGAGGCCTGGTACTGAGCGCATTGCATCCACCACGTAGTAAGGCATCAGCTGATCTATCTATGGAGGAAAATATTTTTTAATTATGGTTATCACGTGTGCTTCTTAGAATCTTATAAGTAAGTTTTACTAGAAATAATCTAAGAAATTATAAAGGAATAAGATGCCAGTTCACAGTAGATTTACTTGTTTAAATCGTAAATTAATATTGCTAGTATCTTTTTTCTTTATGTGTTTTTTAGTTTTCTGTGGAATAAGCTGTACACAGTGAGTTAGAATAAAATCTTTTCAGCACACTTGTTACACTTGGGAATTACTTATTACTATTAGTGTTAAAATAACCTGGGCTCGTTGGTGTAATGGTAGCAATGTATGGCTAATAATCAACGGGTCGTGGATACGATCCCCACCGGATCCAATATTTTTCTAATTAATTTATAATTTTCTGAAGCCAGTTGGACTATGTCTGGAAATCTAATCTAGGGGGTAGGAATATCGAAATTAAGTCTGGGTCACGAACCACCGTCCACAGATGAAAAACCCGTAAAGTATAATCGCGCTTCGGTCTGTTTATGGATTTTCAAATATCTGAAGTCATAATAGGTCGATAGCACATCTTGTTTAGATATAATTTGGCTGGGCCATTTTAACTATGAGGCTATGACCAAGCTACCCCATGCTTGTCTTTCCTCCTGTATTTAAAAAGAAAACTACTAGAACTCTTTCTTTCAATTCAATTTAATTTCCACTCGAATATCGTACCTCGAGTTAGAACTTACCGCAGAAATTTTATGACTGCTGAACGGGTCGCAGTCCTTGTAAACGGCGTACATAGCCAATCCACTTAAACAAGTGACAAAACTAAGCAGAACAGTCACGGGCCAACTCCACCAAAGACATGCTTGAGACCGCGATAAAGTGCTCACAGTCATAAGTCGCTGTACCTACAATGAAACGGAAAATAATACTCAATGGAAATCTTTATAGATCATCTTAATCAGATCGATAATTTTATAAATAACAATATGACCTTAATCGATTTAACGGTTTAAAGCGCGATAGATATTTGTGATTCGAATGCTTTACAACAACAGGCAAAAAGTAATTTAATTAGTATATTTTTCGTTTTAAATCGTTAATACTGTTTCTATTTAACAGCTGTCTTAGAAGTATAATGATTAATCCCAATGTTTATTGACCCTTGTTCTTTTTTCAGTTTATAAAAACAGTAGAATAACAAAGTAGAAATTCTTACTTGCGTATGATTAACTGCGTACAGCGATAGATATGTGAATAGACCTCCAATACATAGTGACCATATGGTATGTCTTTCTGTTGGGTCGATACTAAAGCTAAAATGCAAATTCATTAAATATAACATTTATAACATATACTACTATATTTACTGTATCTTATCTCACAAAATACGAGCGGCAATTGTGAGATTATGAGATGATATATAACCTCGAATAAGTAACCTTATTGTTGCGAGAGTAGTGGCGACCTATTTCAAATATTATATTCGATATTAAATCATCGGTCATTTGAATAAATAGGAAGTGTTTCGTCTCCTATTTATCAGTCTGCATTGACTACAATTTGTAGTTCATGCTGACAAAGCAAAATAAATGTCGAAAAAAAATCTAACATATTTTCGGTTAAGTTTGGTTAAACACTGTCTATAGTTTACGCGAGTAGTACACATTTAAATAAAACACGTTAACGGTTTAGGACGCGATATATTGCCGTGGCCTTGGTCGTAGCCGTGGCCGGCTCGGCTGCTGCAAAGCATCCGAAACGTCGGGCCGAAGTTAAAAATAATTTTCAAATAAGTTTAACTAATGTATCGCGTTTTAAACCGTTAAAGTGTTTTATTTAAATAGGTATGGTTAGCCAATTCACTCGTGATCCCGTCAACATTGACTACTGTAGGGTATATTGATATACCAGGAGTCATAGTCAAGTTACTTACTTAGAGAAATCCAATCTCCCGCGTTCGTTAGCTATAGAAAATATATTATTTAATCCCCCAAGTTGTATAGCTGCAAATATCGGGATGCTCAATACAGCGGCAAACATCAAAAACATCTGCAGCAAGTCCGTGAATAGTACAGCTTTCATTCCTCCCAACGCGGAGTAGAAGGTGCAAGCTAAACCGACTACTAGAATCGAAATCAATCTGTCCAAGCCCGTAACAGCTTCTAAAGCAATCGCTGGGGCATATAAAACGATGCCATTGTAAAGAATCATTTGCAGGGTGTAAGTAAGAGACGCCAGCATTCGTATATTCGGGCCGAAACGTAATTCCAAGTACTCGTATGTACTTGTCTTCTGCAGGCCAAAAAATACGGGCAGGTAGAGATGTGACGCAATGGGGGTCGCCAGTCCATACGCTCCATTTACAATGAAGAATATCATGCCGTAATAGTAGTTCTCTGAAGATACTCCCATTAGTGTTATCGCTGACATGAACGACGCGACTAAGGATACGGCTACTGGCAATATCGACATGTTGCGGTCCGCCAGAAGGTACTCCTGAAAAATTAAAGGTGGTTTGATTGACGAGAACGCGAAGTGCAGGGAAACAGTGGCTTGGTTAGAGCTCACGTCGTGGGTTTGATGCTACTGTCATGGAATTCTATGAACTAAAACAAATTATCACGAGTAGAAAGGTGTATTAGTAAAGTATTAGTATTAGTAGTACATTATTAGTAAAGTTATCAATTTTCTGATTAATGTTAAAACTTATAAATTATAATATAAAACAATATATAACTATTTTGTGTGCTGAATAAAATCTGAGGACTCCAAATAATGTAGTAAATATGCAAGTGATAGTTAAAAAGTTGCAAGTTTTTTTATTACCTTTGTATAATTCGATTACTTACATCGTTAGTCTTTTGTTTCCCACCGCTGAACCGGAAGTACAGGCCGATCATAACAGATACCAACATTGTCGCAACCATGATGATATAGTCCCATACTCCAAACACGGATAGAACCATTTTCCTACAAAATATGTGTTAAAAAATTATCAAATAAATCCACTTAATGTATACTGTACTTAAAACTGTTCCATATAATTAGAAATAATTAAATTTACCTTGATAATGAACTAGGTATTATTTATAAACACTAACTCACTAACGATTAGACAAGGGAAGTAATACACAACTGTCGTTTCTTCTTAAGTTTTCATCGTTTACAGGTAAGAACTACTTTATCTAATCATATCAGTAGAAACTAGACTTTAGTGTAACAAAGTACAGAATATAAAATATTTTACTAGTAACTGACATTACAATACGTACTAATAACGACAGTATCTTAACAATAAAATTTATCCCCACTACAGATAACATACGTATATTGACTTTACTAAGAGTTATATAAAGTTAAGATTATTCTTTGTACAGAGATCATTCATTTTTTTAATGTCGATGATGTCTCGCGAAAAACAAGGTTACGATGCTCATAGTAAAATTTAAATTTTATCGTATTTAAGAAGCAATTAACAGTACCTACTATAGTAGTGTCTGAAAAAAAGGAAGAATGTTTAAAGTTCTTGTTTTTTATAAGCAAACGATTTTCTACGTATTTATAATGCGTTAATGAAACTTATTTTACAGGAGGGAAAATAAAAACAATTAACTTAATTAAAGTAATTACAAACAAAAAACCAAAGACTTCAAGAAACAATTCAGATTGCTGGAGTTCTAATAAGAAAATATAATTTACAGTATTTAAAAAGTGTATATATATTAATATTTTTTAAAACTAGTTATATAATTCCGTGTGTATAAAAATTTAAAAATAAATAAATTTATTGATTCAAATGGGTCTGTCTAAATTCAAATCGCGCTTCATAAAGATTTGTATTTTATTATACACGAGACACAGTAACAATACTGAAAACCTTGATGAAACACCTGAAAGTTTATTGGAAACGCCAATAAAACTGTCTTAAAAGAATTTCATGGTGTCATTTGTCCCAAACATTGCCAGACTAGTGACGACTAAAATATTTCTATTGGCATAATATATTTTTTAAGAATTAAGGTCAATAACAACAATAATCACTACAAAGCATAAAAATGAAAAACCTTCAAAGAAATTATTAATATTCTTTCTTCTGAAATAAAACAATTTTTAATAGTCTAAATGCTAACTAAATTAATCAAGTAATATTTGACTAGGACGAGGATGTGTCGGACTTTTGAGCCGCCATGGCCACGAGGGACACAACTTCGTAGAACTATCTTGATACCATAATATATTGATGATAAGGAAATACTAGCGGACAGAAAAAGTTTTTCCCTTTATCTTGGGTTGTTTATCATACTTTTTTCAATATGGTGAGATACGGAGAGTTCGACTTATTCAATTGATCGGAAGTGCGCTATTTTTCGGGCACAAGACATATGCATATTGTGTAGGTATATAAAAGAAAAATATATCAATCGATATTTAGGTATTTTTTTATATTCACTTGACGACACACACCTGAATAAGCTACAGTCCTATTAAATTAATAATAAATTATAATAAAAATAAAAATTTGTTTCGCGAACACGTACAGAATAAAAGGACATCTTTTTATTCCACTCATAACGGATATTTTGTCTTTCCTTTCCATTCCCTCCTATTTCCAAAAAACCAAAGAAGAATCCTTCATTGTTCTCTTAAAAAAAACAAATTTTCCTAAAAATTTCCCCCTAACCCCTAACAACCTCCTTTTCGCAATAAAAAGTAGTCCTATGTCCTTTCTCAGGGTCCAGGTATATTTCAAACTTCATTCGAATCCATTCAGTAGTTTTGGCGTGAAAGAGTAACAGACAGACAAAGTTACTTTCGCATTTATAATAATATTAGTAAGGATTATTTTAGGTTTGGCACTACTAATATAAACCTAAAGGCGCTGTTAGAAGTTTATCCATGAAATAAAAATAATTTAGCTTTATAATGTTCTTGGTTTAGACTTTGAATGTTAATGACTTACAATCTGTTAAACTTCATTAAAATTTTCACGGTGTAAGCATTAAAATATAGTCAACGCTTCATAAAATTATCCTTGTCTAATTGCTACTCGTGTTTATGAAATAAAACAAATGTAAGAATCAACTAATTATTAGTAAGATTTCAAATATGTACATAACTAGGACAAATTAATAAAAATTTGTTACTCACAATTTTAAGTGCACTACAAGTCCCAGTCAATTAAAATGTCTTCAATGGTCGAAGAAATATTAGCCAATGCAAAGTCATTAATAAATAATTAGATAGTATTTATTAGACCCTTTCTAAAATGGTTTGGTTTCCATCATGTTAAAAAAATTGTCATATTATGTGCAATTGTATTCCTCTTATTTTTGCACTTAACAATATTATACCAGACGCAAATATATAAAAAAGCAACTAATATGTGCGCACGCCTAACACGCCGCCGGCATACTGACGAAACAGAATTTACTTCTGTAGTTTTCAAGGCAAGAAATGAATTAAACTGGAGTTTAGTACAAAAAACCATTTTGACTTTGAGGTTATTATACTATGTTTCGTACTGCTCGTATGATGCAAAACTCAACCAACCAGCAATCAGCGTTCGATAAAATTACCCATCAAGCGTTTAGCGCTTGAGTTTTATCAGAGTGGTATGACAGCTGTAAAGTATTTCATATTATTTTTTTTCCAGAAAATATCAAGATCAACAATGTTTATGCTATCGATCATAAGAAGATTAATGTAGTGTAATTGAAAAGCTAACTGTAGAGCCATAATTTTTTAACATCGCATTAATTGGTTTCCCATACATAAAGATGCATAAAAGTAAATAGTATAAGTATATTGCTTTTATATTAAGGGTTGGCAATTCATTGCTTTTAGTTTTAACTTCAATTCGAAGAGAAGGAAATTGTAATGTTTATAATTTATGAAAATTGGCAACACAGTTTGACATTCAGCGCTTTAAACGCTAAAAGAAATAAATGCTACATTGACATCTATAACATTACAATGACGTAACTTTATTCATCAATGTGTGAAAATCTATGTAATATCTAAGTACGTCATTCGTTTTGGTAGACTACAAAAAATTTGATATGCTAATGGGATGACGACAAAATCAATTGTATTATGATAAAATAAAGATCAATATTTTGATTTGTTGCTAACACTGCCCTCTTACGGATTATTGGAATACTATCAAGTTTTTTGTTTTTCATGCAAGATTCAGAATCTGTAAAATGTAACGAGGTATGTCGCTTTACAAACAATATAATTATTCTATAGTCTAGAATAAAGCAAAGTGAGGCAAGTCGCCGTGAAAAGATAACAATTGATTGATGAATAATACCATATAGATATAAAAATACAGACAGCAATTTGAACTGGCAACCATTATTTCTCTCCTTATCCATTTTAAATAAATTTGGTATACACGACGCACGTTAAACATCTAATTCCAAAACTTACAGAACTTCGTAGCCAGTCTCTTTCTTGTTACCTATTAGGTTTAAGGCAAATATCTTGCATGTTTTAAAATTCTTTTCTAGCTTCATGAAAGGATGGCTTTTTTATGACAGACAATATAGATAATTTGATAGAAGGTAAAATACGCCAGCCTTATAACATTTGAACAAGATATGATGTAGACCTATTTTGTTTTTGGATATTGCTTATAAGGATAAGACTACACGTTTGTTTTTTTTATTACTAGTAAACCACCAACTAAGACAACGGGGTCTCTCCTTCCTCGTTAAGACGGGTCCTGGTTGTTATTAATTACTACTAATTATTATAATACTATTAGTTTATGACGTTACCCTTGTACATCATTAGCTGAAAAATTCAATTTGTTTATTTGTATATTATTAGAACCAATATAAGAATTAAATTCATCAATTAGTTAACATCACAGTTATATTGACGTGTTTTTTGAAATTTTTACAACGCCAGTAGGAATCAAGTAAAGGAAAATTAACTTATCGGATATCTAATATCTTTAAAATGTAATTATAGTACCTTTCACCACGTTGGATAACTACTAATTTGGCTACGCCCTTTAATGATAGAATCAGTTTCTATTAATATTTGATTGTCAGTGCTTAAAATTTCCAGCGATTTGATTTTGAATAGTAGTGAAGGCTTATTCTTATTTAGCTTATGTAACCTTTTTTATCAATTATTATTAATAATCTCGATTTGTAAGGTTGCCAGAAATAAATTGCTTTTCAGCAATAAGACTGCTGTTTCTTGATATACATTTTTGTTACTTCTTTTCTTAATCTTATTTCTGTAACATTTATGTGGTGACTATAAATGTATGTAGTCTGTTTTTTTGTTGGACATTTCAGTGCTTTATTTATAGTATAGCATAACTGTAAAAAAAAACATCATATATGTTTTATTCATATTTAAAATATAATATAAATTTGATAAGTTTCCATCTACATTAACATTGAATATTTATGAGATACGTAAATTAGAGTTTTGTCAACCAAATGCATCTGATAAACAAATACCTATTTTTATACCTTATTTTACCTCCGTTTTTATAAAAAATAGAACCCTTTTTGTGCAGGACGATTTAAAACAATAAACTAAGGAATACAAAACTCATAATTATCACGAACGATAGTATCATTAACAAACAATATACGTAGTTTTTGTTTTATCAATCGATTGTACATACGATGCACATTGCCAATGGTTCTTTCATGAAGTTTTCAGTTACTATTAAACTTTGAAAATATAAAATGCTCCTCACCTTGTACATATAATGATTATTATTATATGAATAAAACGCGCGCGCTTAATAATTACGCTCTCAAAATTAGTGATTATTATTACGCTATATTTATTGCGGTTAAAACACCAAATTGAATTGTGATTTGAAGCACTATTCATACAGCCTCGTGTGGATAATGGATTTGGATAGGCCGAAGCGTTATTTTGCTTTACATTATCTTTTGCTTAGATTCCTCGGTCTTGGCTGGTGGCACCATCCCGATGAAGGAGACACTAGGAATTTTCCAGGGCCATACCTGTACTATTCGGTAGTCACAGAACTTGTCTGGGTCGCCGGTTTCGTGGGGTTGGAAACCATTGATCCTTTTGTTGGCGAGAAAGATCTAGATCGCTTCATGTTTAGCCTTTCTTTCGTCATAACACATAATCTCACACTCATAAAACTGTACATTTTCTTCTTTAAAAATAGAGAAATTCAAGAAATCGTTCGCACTTTGGAAATTGATGTACACCAGTATTATCAGAATAACGAACGAAATAGAAGAACCATTAGAATCACGAGAATTTTGTCTGGTGCATTCCTGTTCTTCGGGTGGATTACAATAGGAAACAGTAATGTGTACGGTATCATTCAAGACATTCGTTGGAAATCTGAGATTGCGAACAACAATGGCAGCGTGGAAAACCCACCTAGAACTCTACCACAACCGATTTACATACCGTGGCCGTATCAGTCAGATCGCTCTTATATTTCCACATTTCTCCTGGAAACAATAGGTTTGCTATGGACTGGTCATATAGTAATGACAATAGACACGTTTATCGGTTCAGTTATATTGCATATGAGTAATCAGTTCGCAATATTACAAGAAGCCCTAGTAACTGTCTATGAACGAACGCTAGCCAGCTTTCCAGGCCTCTACGAAGAAAGAGTAACTAGCAATTATTTGGAAGAATTGAAAATAAACAGAAGCAAAGATTTCGAAAACGTTTTAGAGAAGGCCATATTGAATTGTATTCGTCAACATCAGTTATTGATTTCGTAAGTTTTATTGCTCAATATAATTTTACGTAAAATATTCCATGTGTATAAGTTATAAGAGGTAAAAAGTACTAGCAAATAAGAGTTTATTTACCTCGATCTCTAACTACTTCTAAGTTCACAGACTTTGTTTTGGCACCAGTGATGAGACCTATTACAATTTAATCATGTCAAAAATGGTAAATTGTCCCTTATTATGGTAATGTCAGCTATAAAATCGTTTTAGCTTCGCCAAATTCTGCAGCTCACAATTTATAAAGAACACGCTTGACATTTCTTTTAGAATACTTAATTTGCAGCCGTTCTGTATTGTCTTTGTCATATGCAATTACAAAAAACATGATTATAATAGTACGACTAGCTATAACCGTGACTTTGTCCACGTGGAATAGTTATTTAGAGCATCAAAGTTTATTTTTGCAAACAACCTCCTAAGCTTTATACATTGTAGCTGTCACTTACGACCGCGACGTCCGCGTCGTCCAAGTCCCGTCGTTCTTACGACTTATTCTTAAAGGATGGACGTATACTGTTGACATGGACATTGTTCTCGATCTTTTAAAGAAATTATTCTTCTATACAATTTTTTTTGTTACTTGATCCGTTTTCGCAGCACCCGCAACTTCCCCGTTTTTTTCCACATTTCTGACAGCTTCTTTGCTCCTATGCAGTTTTAAATCTTCTCCGATATAATATGGTCTAACCAACACAAAAAGAATTTTTTGTATCGAAACAAACAATCGCATCAGCTTTATAATGTAAGTATAGACCAGAAAGATTTGATATATCATTGAGAATTGTAATAAATTTTTAAAGATAGAGAACGTAAAGCGCAAAAAATATCAATTTTGAATAAAAGTAATAAGGGGCGGGCTTCTAGGAGAATACGACAAGGTGCAATATCCTCGGATTACCGCCCAAATATTGTCAAATAGATGGTTTTTTCTCACGGTTGAATCAACATAATCGGTACTTCATATTCACTTCTAGTTCGAAATGAAAGAGTAGGGGGCATAGTTTGCAATAAATCTTTAGATCTTCGTAGTCGACTTTTACTGTTTCTCGGAATTATCATATTTATTTAATAATATATCCGCGCCAACACCGAACAAAGGATTCTGTGACCAATAATTAGCTGTTTTCCTTTTGTAAAATACTTTTGCTTTTTATTTACAATGATATTAATGGTTATGATAGACACAGAATAGTAAAGACTAGGTATATTAGTCTGCTATTACTTGTTAACATTAACTCAATCCTAACTGACAACAATATTAAACTTGGGAAAATAATATCGTCGATACAGTCAACTATAAATATTTATCGATATGATTGCTCGATATGCATACCTATAAATTACATATACATACCCTTTTCTTTACTTATTAAAAACTATATAATATTTACATACAAAAAATCTTATTATATCTATCTATCTATACTAATATATAAAGCTGAACAGTTAGTTTGTTTGAACGCGCTAATCTTAGGAAGTACGGTTTCGAATTGAAAATATCCTTTTGTGTTAATTGCATTTATCGAGGAAGGCTATAGGCTATAAAATATCGCTGTGACTTATAAAACGGCGGGAAATGTCGAAAAAAACGGGAAAAAGTTGTTTATCCTTGTGAGTTTCCATTGCGTACGCTGCGAAAACGGTCCAACATACCCAAAAAATATGTATGAAGGAATGATTTGTCTTTAAATTATCTAGAAAAAAGTCTGAGATACTATATGTCTATCTAGTAATATTCATTTGCATGATCGACAGCGCGTGGTGGATCGTTACCCAGCTTAAATTTATAGAGTTGAACAGGAGTTTGAAAAATTGATACCTAAAATAACTATTCTACGCGTACGAAGTTGCTGACTCAGCTAGTAAAATATATATCTGTTTAAAAACTATGCACTATTTCTAGTCTACATATACTATAGTCTACATGTAGATTTAGTATATAGATGTATGTCATCAATTTATAGACTAATCTCTCATTTTGCCTAGAGATCCACGTTAAATCAAATAAAGTAGGGTTCTCACATAATAACTCCCTAATTAGCTGCTCCCGCGTCAAACAGTCATTTCCCTTACAGATGTGTAGAGAAATTTGCCAAGACGTATTCCTATGGCTTTATGACTCAACTTGTATCCAGTATGGCAGCCATTTGCGTTGTAATGGTCCAAGTATCGGTAAGATTCTTAACACGTACTAATATAGTCAATATTTACATCGTGTAAATATTGTCTTTTTAGGAAATTTTATTGCAATTTAGCAAAGCTGGCAGTGCTTTATATTTATATAATATATAATGACTATATTAGTCAGTCAAATATATTTACAGAAAAATGGTTTATAATTAAAAGTTGCTATAAGCCGTGTTACTATAATTGGTCGTCAGCTCGTTGGTGTAATGAAAGCAATGTATGTATTATTAGCCAAGTAATCAACGCGCCCTGGGTTTGATCCCCACCGGCTCCAACATTTCTATTCAATGTATAATTTTCCTGAAACAAGTTACAATTTAGAGCACAATTTCTATAAATATAGCAATAACCGTCAAGTAAAAATATATTTGATTCGAAAATTTCATCCTGAATTGTCGTTGATTTTTTTTACAGCAAGATGCATCCAGTTTTAAATCAATTCGATTGGTGACTTCGTTAGCTTTTTTCGCTGCAATGATCGTACAATTAGCCATACAGTGTTTTACTGCGAACGAATTAACTCATCAAGTAAGTATAAAAAAAGCTTACATAGAAAGCGTTTAGTTTTAAAAAAGCGTTTATCCTTTAGTAATTAAGATTAATTTTAAATAAATCTAAAACTTTTTCTTAAAATTAAAGAAGAAGTTTAAATCTACACTATAAACGTCTATCCAATACCGCAATAAAATTTCAAATCCACACAACAGATGCTTATACTTTGCAAACTCAAAGAGCTTTTTAAAACAACCAAAACTCATTCAGATTTGATTGGAATGCTTCTCAGAAGATGAATTCTTTGAAGGGGATCCTTTCTGGTTTTATTTTATACCAATATCCAAACACTACATACCGATGTCTTTCTTTTGTAAAAAGATGCCAATTCAAGTAGGTTTTTATTATAACCTTTCTTATTGCAACGATATTTGGAAATAAATTTATTTGTATGAATGAAATCACTACTTCCTCTTCGTGGGTCATAGACAACGAGTGTTTCTAGCTCAGCCCGACCGAAACTATGCTGAGAAGCATTGAAACCTGGTTAATAGAGATCTCAAGGGACCAAGACATATGTAGTAATTATTGAAGATATCCAATCGTGTTTTCCAATTAAGTGAATTAAAATTTTAGTTCTCTTATGAGGCCGCCGCGTTTGTTTGTAAACAAACTTGACATAATACCTAATATTATATTTGTCTTACTTATACACGTAAAGAGCTACAGCTTAATTACAGAAGTAAACGCTGAAAATATCTTAGAACCCAAATCTCATTAAATCAGGTACAAAACGATCCATTAATAGAGGTAACTTAATGAAAAAGAACGGGTTACTCGTTGTAACTCTCAATTATAGAGGTTTCTCTTTTATCCAGGTTCCACTTAACCAGGTTTCACTGTAAAATTTTTCTTTTGGAATAGGTTCTCGGCACCGGTATCGCTTGACACAATACGTTGAGTAAATACTGTCTATACTTTACGCGAGTACACGTTTAATTAAAACACTTTAACGGTTTATTATTTTTATTAGTTAACTAATATATCGCGTTTTAAACCGTTAAGTTGTTTTATTTAAATATGTTTAGTATTGAGAGACGTAGGTGATTTGATGCACAGGAGTTTAATTGCAGGCAAGCCTAATATCAGAAGCTGTTATGCAGTGTAAATGGGAGTTAATGCCACCACGTCTTCGGCGTTTACTTGTGATGATGATGATGAGAGCCCAACGACCTTTGCACCTCACCGCTGCTGGTTTCGCTAATATGGACAACAATTGTTTTTTAGCCGTGAGTATAATATGATGAGACGTCTGTTTGTTCTTTCATTGATCAATTTGGTTTACTAATAATGTTTCTTAGAATTCAAAAAGGAAATATTTTCAGATATCTTATAACGTTATAAAATTTTCAAACTATATATTGAATGGATATTCTAATATCAACAAACACGTATTACGCATAACGCAGCCACTGAGACGTGCTGAAAAAAATGAAAAAAAAAAAGAAAGATTTATTAAAACCTTGTGTTCAATAAATTGTGTAAGGCTTTCACGGCCATCGTTTAACATATCATTGTTCAATTCTTCGATTCTAATGAATTCTTCGAGTAGTCGTGGAGCTACAGTCTCCTAATGATGCCGTCCGCTTGTGATGGCGAAACGTCGTGAACCTCTTCTCGCTCACAGCGGCCGAACAGCCCGAAAAACAATTAATAAAACCTTATGTTAATTTGTTTATTCCTTTTACATTATACCTTTTATCGTTCCATAGCAACGATTAAACCATAACACTACCTTTAAAAACTTAAACGTTCAATTGCTTCTCAATTAATTCCCGTTCAATTAGGTTATTTAAGGTCAAACGTATCTGCTAAGGACGTGGGTTTAAAATTTTCATATTATGTCTCTTTGTAGATAAATAAAGTGTTAACTCTAATAGGAATCATTGATTCTGGAGCGATATTTTTTTTCAGATCATGAAAGCTGCGTATTCTTATTACGCAGTTTTAAGTCAAAAGCAAGGACAAAAATAAAACAGATGTGGATACAGGATACTACTTAGTATACAGAGTGCAATATACAATATATGTGGCTGCTAGAAGGCGAGTGGCTTAATAATAAACACATGATTTTCAGGAGGAAACTGAATATGCACAATTAACTTAGGCCAAAATGAATTTGTACTATTATAAATAAATTGCGATTAGGTTACTCTGCCTCTAGCCTCTCGCCATTGATGATGCTTCTACGTTATATAGTTCAGTTTCCTTCACGTTATATAGTTTCAAGTCACAATAAAACAACTAACGAATTATTTTCTTATTTATTACAAGTTAACGTACCAACTTGTACATTATATAAATACACTAATCTAAACTATCACAGTTTTTATTTACATCTTATAAATAAACAATGTAGATGTAGTATCATTTTGTGTTGAAAAAAATTGTTGAATAAATACGCTATTTACATTAATTTTTCTATAATGTCATCAATATAATGGGATATTTATAGTTTTTGTGTGTTGCAGATTATGATCGAGTGGGTTCGAGTCCTGCCCGAGTACGTTTTTAAACCTCCTAAAAATATTTGTTCAAGCAATATAACTTCTCATTTGCATTAACTAATAATTCATAGATTATTAGTAGCCGAGTCTTGTTGGCTTCTTATTAACAGCGTTTGATGGGTGTTGTGATTATTTTAAAGTTCTAAGAGTTTCGGCTTCTGTGCATTACGAGATTCCCTTGAAGGTGATTGCACGTTCAACACGGTCATCTCTTCGCATCTGAGGAAAAAAATAGTATACAGTAATTTTCTTCTCATATATGAACTGTGATAACTCAAATCTACTAATTATAGCTACTTAATCATAAGGACCTCTTTATAGTTAATAGATGTACTTCTGTTTATTCCCAATGTCTTAGATTAAAAATCTATTATAATTAAAAAAAATGACTACACGGGCAGGAATTGACTCAGCGTTCCGTGCTATTGCTCTAACCAAATGAGCTACCGTGTCCAGGTAGAGGAACAGCACGGAACGCTATGGAAGCCGGTAGAGGCATCATGTGCAATAACTACTTGTTAATAATAAAAACATCGTTAAAACACCGCCACAGATTAAAGTAGTATGTATGTTATTAATATAAAAACGTTAATTCAAAATACTTACTTATCGTCAGTTGCGTTCGCTGCATTGTAGTACACATCAGGTAAATTGCTGTCATGCTGGCTCAGCAAGGAACTACCAGCACGAGGTGAATGGGGACCATGACTCGCGTACGGTGAGAAAGGCACCGCTGCACGAAGCGCTGCCAGCACTAACAGCAATCCGCCTAATGATCAACAATATCAAAAACATCATTAATGGAAGCCTCCATCATTAATATACCGGGGTCCCAAAAATTTACCACATAAGATTGCGTACCTAAAATAATGATCATACCGAATTTTTATTGCAAAAAGATTTTGTTTTAGCTTAGTATTTGATACTGCATACAAAGGTATTTCTAACTACTGTCCCCTTCGTGTTTCTAGTAATGGGACAGACACTCTGTATATACAACCACGTTAGTATGCACTAAAGAATAAGATCTATTGGATTGAGGATATTATTAGAAAGGTAATTTTATTAATATTTTAACTTTAAAGCAGTATAAATTAATAACACGAAGGCTAATACAGTTCCTATTACCAGTTATAAACCGAAAATGATATTATGATCTAATGTCACCGAAAAGTAGGAAGAATTCATATAAAATACGATGGGGAGACATCACATTACCCTGATACGTGATAAGAATCTGTCGCACGTGCTAAGAATTGTGGAGTGTTGAAAGTGTGCATGTATAATGTGTTAGGTAATAAAAATGAACCAGAATAATATTATTTTATTTAAAATATGCCGAAAGTGCTCAAAACAGTAATGTGGGGCATGGGGCTATGTCTACAGGCGTAAGTGATCAGACTAGTCGAAACGAAACAGTCTATTCGGGATTCTAACTCTGGACCTGTCGTGCTAGGCAACACACACAAAATTTAGGGAGGCCATATTTAATCATAATTTTATAAGAGCGAAAGTGTTTCGTGATATGCGTAAATTTTACTCACTTAATCATATAAAGTACCCACACTTTGTAAATCCAAATCAACAATATACTTACCATATTTGTCAACAGAATGTAAAGAAAACTTACGATACTGCAGACCAGACTTGAATCGTGAGAAAAGAAAATCGAAAGAAAGTATTTCAACTTGATTACTGCCGTAATAAGCATATTTAGATTTTACTCGAACATCGAGCTAGATACGACTTTTTCTCTAGGTTTCGAGAAAACCATTTAATTAGATGCATTATTTTTACTTATCAATTTGTTGATCAAACAATTAAAATTGTATCTTAGATCTTTAAAGGTAGAATGTAGGCAATAATTAAAAAACATTATGAACATTATACAACATTATGAATATATTTTAATAATTTATATAACCCCGTATACATTTTAAACCTAACATAATAAAAAAGAAAAAAAATCTAATTAAAAGAACTATCAAAGCACCTAGGATACAATACATACTTATTATTTTTTTATGGTTATTTGAGAATCTATACACGAAAACCGAAACGCGATTTCGATATTCTGCCATCCATTTAATATCCAGATTTCCAGACAAAGTCCAACATGTTTCGGAAAAATTATTAATTGACTAGAAAAATCGTGGACCCGGTGGGGTAGATCCCCACGATTCGTTGATTATTTGCCATACATTGCTACCATTACAACAAACCAGTCAAAATTTATGAAATTACCCGATGTCGTGGCCAGTAAGGTGAGATTAGCGAACAGTAGTGCTGTGGCTACACAAGCGTAGAAGGGAGCTCGAGCCCGTCCACACGACCATCTGAGGAAGTCCCAGCAACGTAGACCGAGGGTGTACTCGCCACGACGACCCAAGAGATCCACGAAGAGAGCTATCACCCACATGGTCTCGAGAATGAAAACTAACGCGGCACCAGCTCTGCAGAATAAAATGTCATTAATTAACGCTGTTATCAATTTAAATAAAACAATCTAACGGATTAAACCGCGATATATATTAGTTAAACTTATTTGGACTTTATTACATAATATTTAACTACGGCCCGATCTTTCGGATGCTTTGCAGGAACCGTGGTCACGAGAAGACTAAAAATAGAGGGTGTTTCTAATGGCAAAGTGAAAACCTGTATTTGCCATATACCATCTAATATAAAATCGCGTTTTAAACCGTTATACTGTTTTATTTAAATGTTTACTACTCGCGTAAACTACAGACATTGTTGCTTTCAAAAATCCTTCCTTTGAATACTTGTAAATCAACTACAAAATTATATTACCAGATATCTTTATGGTATTTATTATCTCTTTAGAGTTATAATTTCCTGCTACTATGTCGTAAATTATGTATAATATACATATATTATATATATATATATATATATATATATTTTTATACATACATATATATATTTTCCTTTTTTTTACTTGAAATATTTCGGTTTATCAATTTAATATTAGAAATTGAAGATTTGTTTGTTTGAACGCTCTAACTCAGGAACTACTGGTTTGTATTGAAAATATTTTATATTTTAAGACATATATTAAGAAGGTATAAAACCGCTAATAATAGCAGAAAAAACAGTGGAAATGTGAAAAAACTTAGTGTTTTTTAGTTTGTTGTAGGAGAGGGGCTCCGTTTTCGATATAAAATTAAAATAAATATAATTTAAGAGAGTCTATGTTTTTGGATGAATGGACAAGTAGGTATTTTTATGTAGTTCGAAGCAATATGGAATCCGCCTCTGTAGCCAAATGGTTAAACGTATTGCCTAGCATTGCGTTAAGCGCGAGAGGTCCTGGGTTTTAATCCCAGGAAAACACAAAATTGCTTCGGTCAGACAGGGCACAGGAGTCTGATCAACTACTTGCCTGTTAAAGAACGGATCAGTGAAACGAACACAGAAACGTGTTCGCCCCATGCCCCACGAGGGGGAAACGGGGTTTCACTTTTTTTCAAAGCATCTATATCTTACGTCTAAAACACAAACTACTATTGAACTTTTTAAATAGAATCTATGAATAGTAAAGGCACTTAAACTTGTTCTCGTATATTCCTTAAGACCCACGATATTTACCTCGATTTCTTTAGGTAAAGATTACTCCAGTCGCTACGTGTGAATATTATCAAAAACATACGATTATTCAAACTATTGCGGTGTGATTAAAGTGAGTCAATTACGCCATATCAAGTGCAATAAATAACTGGCCATGTATTTATTGGTATGGAATAAAACAGTTTAAGTACAATTTCAATCCTTATGAAAGAAGGTATACTGTTATAGCGATACTAGGCTGTGTCTGCAACTTCGTCCGCGTAGAACAGTTATTTAATGGGCTTTAGAATTTATTTTATCCTCACCTTTATAAGTTGTAGCTGTTACCTATGTCCTCATCCACGTGTAAGTTAATAAGCACTTTCGAGGACATTTTATCAGATTGTTTAAAGAGGAATTCTTTCATACTTATTTTATGTGTTTCTTGAAGCGTTATGGCAGCGCAACGGACGCCCTCAAAGACAAATATTTCTTTCCGTTTTTCCCACATTTCCCACTGTTTTTGGCTCCTATTGCAGTCGCTATGTTTATAACCTTAAGCTTCCTCGATAAATGATTTAACTAACTCAAAAAATTTCCAGTACCTAGTCCCGAGATTACAGCGTTTAAACCAACAAACTCTTCAGCTTTATATATTAGTATTGATAAGTATAGATAAAACTGATACTTACATCACTGCTGGTGCTATATCATACTCTAACACAGTTAACTCTGCGCCTGCGCCGCTCATAACTGTCAACAAAAAACTCTGCAATAACATGATTTTTAAATAAGATCTACATCCTAAAAGAATTTATTATTAAAATTGACAACACGGTAGGTAGGCCTTGTTCCTTCTACTTACCTTCGGATTGTGGGATCGAGTCCCACCTGTGTCATAATTGTTTTTTAAACTGAAATACTTCCAAACTTACAAAAACTTTCAAGAAATATAGTGATTCAAAATTTATACGTTAAAAAGTGTATTTAATTTAAGTTAGAAACATTTGAGTGTCCGTTTTACATCGCAAATATTCAAGCAATGTATGGAACATGAATAAAACCTTTGTCCGTCTCTCATCTGTTTAATGACGATAATAATTTATGTATTAATGGACAATGGGTACATGGATTCGAACATTTATCATCCTTAACTTCATTTAAAGTGTATTTTTTTTTATTCAAAATATGTATAATAAGTGATATTTTTTATCACAGTTCAGTACAAGTCATATATGTACAATTTATTTTGGATTTTGTTAGGTATATAATTTTGATAATATTCAAATATAAACGAAAGAATTTATATATATACATATCGTACAAAAATCATCCAACCCTATACAAACACTAACTTTTAAAATTTTAATTAATTCTGTCTCAATTTCACAACCATAATTAATGTTTGACTGATGCCTGTTAATTCATAATTATTAATAATTAATCTGTCAATAACGACATAAATTATAAATGAATTTTATTAAGTACTTTAATGGCAAAATAATCTCGCTTACCGACAGCTGTAACAATCCCCCATAGCCTTGCTAAAGGCTGAAGTAAATCCCATAGCCTTGTCTCTAAAGACTTCTTTGGTACAGAAACTCTTCTATTAATTATTCTTCCAGGTGTTTGACTCAGACTTGGCCCTTCTTGGGCTTGTGGTTTTAGTTCCACACTCATTCTATTAGAACTTCATAACTGTTCTAATTAAATTAACTCGTAGATACCATTACAATGTTCCTCTTCCTTATTTTTTCTCACTGAAACTGTTACTAATTTTACTCACAAGTGTGGACTAAACTTTTTCATTGAAGCACACAATTATAAATTAAATATTTGTTTATTGTAGGTACACGTATATTTTCATACTACGCTGTTTACTAAAATATACTGGCGCTATGCCCAATTCCTAATATAAGGGCGCACCTTGACCTCAATACTGTAAAATGTATAGGTACACTAGGAAATTAAAAAAATGGTCGACTATCAATTTACAAAAAAAAATACGTTTCCCGCGGTTTTTCCTTGAGACGTAAATACGGTTTGAAACGAGCCGCTGCGATGGCGAAGTAGCGATAACTGAATAAGGGTACAGAATCCGAGCCTTCGTAGATCTATCGGTGGGTACAAACAGTATTGAAACAAACAAACATAATATTTTATGATAACGTCAATTGGTGTTTGCATTTGCGTACTACACGAGATAAGTGTTTGCTGTAATTGTTACGTCAAAGAAATAAAAGTAAAAAGAAACGAAACAAAACTCCCGTGATCATAACGTAATTTATTATAAATATTAAACATAAGTACTCTACCCAGAGTTCAAAGTAGCGTAGTTTTTTTTCTTCTTTATTCTTCCATCTTAGGTAGATCGTTGGTTTTAGTCTTTCTAATATTAAGTTTGTTAAACCTAACAATTTATACATCCCTCGAATTAGTACCCCACTTTATAGTAGAGTCAAGAGCATTTGATTAAATAATTAATTACGGAAATAAACTAATGTAGGATTATTCTTGTATAAAAAGTTTGGCCTTTATTTTTTGTTACTCTATTTCGACACTAACTCGTTGAATGCTATAAATGTATATAAATATTTAAAAGGGAAATTAGAATGCTTTGAAAACCAAAGGCGAGTAATAAATACTAGATATACCATACACTCACTACTCTGTACTTTGCACCACTTCGTTTTTATAATCTGTTACGACATAATATTGTTTTGTTTATTGTTCATTGTCATTCTGTCAAAGTATAATTATTGTCAATGTGTTGTGGCTTGGATTGTGGTATTTTACTATTTTATGCTTATTTAAAAAGGACGATCAATTCAATACTGTGCGTTTTTTAAATTCAATAAATAAGGCCTCCTTCAATTTTATCTAAAATTGTGTAAGAAACTTAAAAATGCAGACTGGAAGTGGTGCAAAAAACCCGCCTTGGGCCCGATCAAATGTAAACTCAAACATAACCGGCATGAATCCGCAAATTATGGATCCCAACGCCATGATTTCGCAACAAGGTATGATGCCATTCCAGCAAACAGCAGCGGTATTTAATCCTGGTATGATGCAAACACAGGGTGGAATGGCTATGTCAATGGGTGCACAAATGCCGCTAAATCAAATGGCGCAAAGTCAAATGTACCCTGGAAATGTTGTTGCTTATCCGACACCTCGAGCTATGAACCCGAATATGTACCAAAATAATGCAAACCAAACACCACAAGGTAGTGAACAACGAGTCTTCACTGGTACAGTCACCAAAACCCACAATGACTTTGGATTTGTTGACCATGACGTTTTCTATCAAACATCAGTTTGTGCAAAGGGTGTTATACCAAAAGTAAATGACAGAGTACTAGTTGAAGCATCTTATAATCCTAACATGCCTTTTAAATGGAATGCAACGCGTGTGCAGGTACTACCAAAAAGTACACCTAATCATAATAAAGGGGGCAATTCGAAATCCAACAACACATATACTGCTGTTCCACCACCATCAAAGAAGTCTTCAATGCCACCAAGACGCATTGATGACAGAAGAGATGATAGGTCTTCAAGGAGAGATGACAGGGTGAATATTATTTTTACTTTTCATTTTTCTCTTTTATTAATAGCCTGTTTGTGTCCACTGCTGGACGTAGGTCTCTCCCAAAGCATGCCACTCGGCCCTCTCTTGGGCTCTATTTATCCGTTTGCTGCTGGCTACTTTTTCAGGTCATCTGTAGTGTAGGACACACTGTGTTTGCCTAATTGTGGTCTCCAATCTAATATATTATGTCGGCCATGGCCAGCCCATTGGCATTTTTACTGCTTCAATTATATTTTGTGCATCTTTTTTTACAGTTTTTTTATAATTTCTTAGTTCATAGTTCATTATTTTGTTAAGTTAATTCAACACTGCTAAATGCAATGATCTGATGCAATTTAAATATTATAGAAACGGTCCCGCACAAGGAGTCGTTCTCGATCACGAGACCGTCGCGACAGTCGCAACCGCCGAGACTCTCCCCCACGTAAACGTCCTGTAGTACACCAGCCATCACCAGTGAAGTATGTAGTAAGGGTGCCAAGAATACCACTTGATATGTAAGTAATCTAAAACCTTTCTTCTTCAGAAACCAAAAGTTACTTTAATATGAAAATGGATGTAAATGTTTAAAACAATTAATTTTCAGACATAGAGTTGATGTTCCAGGCTTGTCACAAAGGTACACAAACCTTTATATCCCATCTGACTTCTTTAATGCACAAGTAAAGTGGGGTGAAACTTTCCCTCCCCAGTCACCATTTTCTTTGAACAGTTCTTGCCAATACTATGTAATGGACAAAATGGTTGCTAATCCCCACGGCAATGATGCTGTATTGGAACCATCTGATGCAGATTATCGGTTTTCAGCAAAAGTAAGTTAAATAAATTTTTACCATTACATATTTAAATATATATAGTACACTATTATATGCATTCCAGATTTTATTGGATCCATGTTTGATTATATAAATAGTTCAATTACTATTTCAATTTTCAGGTAATGCTTATAAGTATGCCAACCTTAGAATCACTTTACCAAAAATGTGGACTCACTAAAGTAGATGATAAAGACAAGCGTACAAACAAATCTCCGTTACATCCTACCAGATTGATTAAGTTCTTGGTGGGCCAAAAAGGAAAAGGAAGTGAAAACTTTGCTATAGGTGGTCCATGGAGTCCTTCACTTGACGGAGAAAATCCAGAGTCAGATCCTGGAGTGTTAGTTAAAACGGCTATTCGAACTTGCAAAGCACTTACAGGCATTGATCTTTCATCTTGCACCCAATGGTATGTATTTTTGACAGACATAAAAAAGTTTCAGACAAATGCTTCCTCACTGTGCAAATCAAATATTTTACTTAATTGTGTACTTCACGATCCACTAAGGTTTCCGAATCTGACACTTCAATTACTTGTTTAAGAAATGTTTGATTTGCAAAGTAAAAGTGGTACAGCACACATTCAATATGTGAGAGTATGGAGGCGAACACAAATAAAGGTGCAACCTTTCGGAAGCAGAAGCGTATCTATAACGTTGTTTATTTTCGCGTAGAGGATGTGTGTCTATGCTGGGAGCGGACTGTGAGTATATTTTATTAAATGTAATTAACCGTACAGGTACCGAATCGTGGAGTTTTACTACTGGCGCGAGAGCGGCGGGAAATCAAGGCTAGAGTGTGTGGTGTTGTTCCTGCCCGACGTCTGGTCCGTGCAGGCTTCGTGTGTCGAGTGGACCAGCGTCACGGACCATTATAAAGCTGCTTCGGAAGCCGCCGTCAAGGCACTTGACAAAGAAGGGTCCAGCGATGATGCTCATGCGAAGCGGCCATCGGCAACACTGCAGTCGACGGCAGCGGAGGTCGACGCGGACAAATCACAAATTGTTTGTTCCCAGTTTTGTTTAGTTTTGCTTCCTGCTGCGTGTGCTATAAGGACTTCAGCCGCCTTTAACATCTTGACGCAATGGTGTCCTGACAACGACTAAACACTTTCTACTAATAGGTTGGAGACCTTTGTTAAAAGGCAAACAGGTTCCTGTATCGTAGTTTAGAAGGGTTATATAAGTAAAGATAGATATTATATTATTGGATGTATGGAGAAGTACTAATTGTAGTTACTTCTTTTACTTTTGAGAGAGAAAAGAATATAACAAGTGAAATGATGCTATATGTATTAAAGAACATCATGTTTCAGGAAAACAAGAATCTCGATGACACTACAATAACAATTGATGAAAATGATGATGATGAAGACGATAAACCTGAGCCGACTCATTACTCCAAAATTGATTTAAAGACAATTAAAGTGGACGCCCTGAGACATGAATTAAGAGCGCGAGGCGTGAGTGTAAAAGGTTAGACTTGTATTTTTCTTATTTATATATTTGAACAAGTCATTAAAATTACTGTACACTAATACTCTACACAACTAATATAAAATTAAAGTCACCATTTTACATATTATTTATAGAAATTCCACACAATTTCATAGTTATTAGATTTTTATGTACAATGGGTTGTATTTGCAAAGCCTAAAACTGTTCTAAGGCTAAAGCCTAGAATACTTAAAAAAAAATACTAGGTGATAGCATAGATATGCATAATAAAGGTATATATTTTATGTACAATTGCTTTTTTAATAGTAATAAAAAAAATGCTATTAAAATACCCAAATAACGTTTATGATTAATAAAAAAGGCATTTCAATATTATACAATTAAACTGACTTTTTTATACTTAACCTTTTTTTTTCAAATAAATTTATTTTTAATTTTGTAGGGCTGCGTGCACAGCTTATATCACGACTTTGTAAGTTGATTAAAGCGGAAGAAGAGAAAGACACAAAAGGAGAAGATATCATGGAGGTAGAAGACGATGACGAAAATGAAAAATCCGCAACAAAAGCTGATACCACATGTAATGAGAGTGCTAAGAAACATGAGAAGGAAATAGAAGAGAAAAACGATGACGTGGAAGATAAAAAAGAAAGAAAAGGTTGAAAGCAAAGATGAAAAGGAGGATGACAAGAAAGAGGATAAAGTAAAGAAAGATAAACCTAAAACAGAGAAGGAAATTGAAGAAGAAAGGAAGAAGGTATTTGTTAAATTTTACATTTATTACTTTCTTACTTAGTGAGTTAAATAATGTTAATTCATTATTTCTTTTGTCAGGTGGAAAAAGAGAAGCAAATACTGAAATCTCGCTATGAACTACCCAACAGTCCCCATATAATAGTTCACCCTTCAGCAACTGCGAAGGGTGGCAAGTTTGGATGCAGCACAGCCACTCTTTCACTGCTTCTAGATTATCGCATAACTGACAATAAGGAGCACAGTTTTGAGGTACATATCTACTCCTTACATACTTTGTCCTATTTTTGTATTTTATCCAAAAATTATGTATATACAAATAAAAGTATTAATATAGTTATTTTGCTAAACTGTGTTATCAAAACGCGTAGTAAAAAATGTGATCAAGTGATTATAATTTTTGTAAAGAACCACTTTCCTTTAGTTCTGATCTTCGTGATGTTACTTACAGTATAAACTTTGAACCGAAATCGTTACATCTAACATTTTTTGTTCTCATAGCTCTTCGTATTTGCGGAGCTCTTCAATGAAATGTTGATGCGAGACTTCGGTTTCTATATCTACAAAACCCTCTACACTTTACCAGAGAAAGCGGAAGAAATTAAAGAAGATAAGAAAGGCGACAGCGAGAGGAAGGATGAGAAAGAGGGGGCTGAAGAAAAGGAAAAGAAGGACGAAAGAGATAAAGATGAGAAAAGAAAGGAGGACAAAGATAGCAAAGAGGATAAGGACAAAAGAGATGACAAACGTGATGTGCGTCGTCGTGATCGTCGGGTAAGAAAGTCTGGTAATTTATGTAATTAAGGTGCTATAAATATAGGGATACAATCAACGGGCAACTGTCTTTTGTAATAAAAAAAATATTTTAGTTGTCACAAGGAAAAAGGAAGAATAAGATAAACGGTATTTCTTTGTGGGTACAACCACTATTTATTAAAATAGCTGATAAAACTTTGAGCATTGTAGAATGTCCTAAGGTGATCAATATTTATTATGTAAACTGTTATAAAGTCTTACAACCAGACTTTATAAACAGTTTACATAATATAAAATTTGCAACGATATGCATTTCTAGAAGTCACATTAAAGGCCAAATACGTAAAGATAAAAAAAATATTTCAGGACTCCCACAGTGACGACGAGCGTAGTAAATCTCCTCGGCGCCGGAGCCGTGGCGTGGAACTACCTGCTGATCCGTATCTCCTTCTCTCCCTCGTCTACTTCGATACTTCGCGCGGGGGCGTGGTCTCACGCAAAGACCTGCAGAGCCTGTTCATGAGCCTCGGTTTGCAACTCAGTAGATCTCAGATAAGAGCCGTTTTAGAAAAAGTGTGCGTCAGGGACAATTTTAGCTATAAGTGAGTATTTGATTAAGTGAGGCATCCTACAAGGTATATATAACTAAACCCTAAAATAGTGTGAAAGTATTGGGAGATTTTCTTAAGTAGTAAAAATGTATTTCTTAAAAGCATTGAGACTTCATCCATTATTTATTTGAGTTAGACATATTAAGATGATTAAATGATTCAATGTTTATATTTTAATTATAAAAACCTAAGATAAGAGTCCAGAATCTGATCAAGGGCAACATTGTTTACTTTTTTTCAGATCTCTAATTCAAACTATAAAGGACCTCGCTACAGGCGCTTGTGAGGGGGTTCAGGACCTACCTCTTGATACTACTGTCACTACTACTGAAGTACCACCCCACGTGAGCTATTTTTTTTTACTGTACACATTAAATATTTTTACAATTTTAGTTTACAGCATGTCCAATAACCGAAGTTTTTTTGGAATATCATTCATAATGATTGTTACAATTTGTCGCCTGTGTAATAAAACTTAATCATAATACATACAATGAACATAAAAATCTATTTCCTTATATAAAATGTTCTAATAAAAAAAGGTTTTACTATTTATTCAGTTTATCAACGAAAATTGTTCAGTTGTAATGTTTAGTTTTTCTTAATAATAATTTGAAATGTATATCTCAATGCCACCAATGTACCAGGAAACAACGCCAAATTACACTCAGTTTTTAAGGCTAATATGTGCTGTTAAGTGATTAAATTCTGTCTCTTAGCAGTTAAAACTGCTTAGTATCACACCTCAGTATGTAGTCCTCATCCTTTTATATTCAATGTCCACAGATAGCTGAATTGGAGTCCATTATTGCAGCGGGCAATCGCAATCTCTTACCAGTCTTCACAAAGAATAAATCAGAACACACGGCTACTACTGATACTAAGGATATCAGTGAAACGGGTGTGTTTTTATTACATATTGTTGCCTCATACCATACCGAAAATCAATGGACAGTATTTTCATTCTACTTAATCAATTTATGTTGTTGTAATTTAGGTCCATAAACCTTTTAATACCAATTTTATATAAAACACTTAAACTTAAAACAATTTACGTATATAAGTTTCAAATTGCAGCAGCCATGGTCAAAGGTATGCTGAAGATGGAGGTATCCTTAATCTCAAAGGCAAATCTCTTACGTTTGAGTCATTTCTTTCCTTGTAATTTGGTGAAATTAGCCGAGTCCAGGTTCCTGACCTGACTCTTAAATGAAATGAAAATTAAATTTTGTTTTAATTATGGAAAAATAAATTTAGGCGCTGATATTAAGTATCATCGTTTCCACTTTAGGTCTAGTATCATTCAAGTCACGTATAGTAGACGTGGGCGCTTTAGTGAACTCCGCCGCTAGATGGCAGGCGGAGAGGGCGCGTCTTCAAGCTGCGCTGGAACAAACCCAGGCAGCTCTAAAAGCGGCTCGCGCGGCGGCTGCATCGACACAGCAAGCAGAACGTGGTGCCAAAAGCCAACTAAGCGATCTCAGCGCTGACCTGGCTGCGGCAAGAGCCAGGATTGCCTCATTAATGGTGAGGTTTTGATACGGTCAGGTAAGAGACACTTTTTATCCCTTGCTCCCCTTCAACCAAAAATTAACGAAATTCATTTATTTACTGAAAAATATATACCTAGCGGTAACTGAAGTGAATTTTGATTGTATATGGTTATTTGCAGGCAAGCTCCAAGATTTTCCACTCAGCCCTGAAAAGCATTAAGAGTAAAGCGGATGCTGTCGTAAACATCAAATACGAAGATGATGACGTCGTCGAAGTTGTCAATGGGCCAACAAAGTGAGTAAAATGGTTCAAGCATCAAAGTAGAAGTCAGACTTTGATGTCTGGATGTTGTAAGATTGAATATTTCTAATAAACTAGCTATTCACTAGACTTCATCTGCATAGAATTGTTATTTTGGCCATCCTATTCTGTTTTTAGCAACCTCGTCTTCATCTTTATAAATTTAAACAGCATCGTTGTGTTTGCGAGTTAATCTTAAAAGATAGATAGAGAGCATATACCACCTCAAAAAGAATATTTCATTTCCCACCAGTAGTTCCTGAGGTTAACTCGTTTAAACAAACAGGCAAACTCTTCAGCTAATATATAGATATATCTTAGGTCTAAATTGTCCTTATAGAAAATCATCGTCTAAAACAGTTTTCTGTTTTCAGAGAAGAAAAAGACAGTGAATCAAAGTCTTCCCAAGGAACAACAAAAAATGTTGATACAAAAGACCATGATGTGAAAGAAGCAGATTCCAAGCCTAAAGAGGAGGCCAAAGACAAAGACATCATCAGCACAGAAAACATGGAAATTGACGATAAGGAATAACGGAATGTACTGCACGACGTCCTTTATTTTTAGTCACAAAATCGGCGTATAGTATTAAAACCAAATTTTGAAGGAAAGTACCTTTAGTTTGAAATTTTAAACCCAACTGTTTAGTTGCACATGAGGTGCTGTTTCTATTCATTTATTGAATTCGTACATTTTTTGGACTTAATAGGCCATTACAAATATTGCAATTTGTATACTAAAAGTATAAATTTATTACTGTTAGGCCAAATTTTAATGGACACATTTGACATTTCTTAAAATATAGCGATGAAAATTATTGCCTCTTTGATTTCCTATGGGCAAAGTCACCATGAAACTAATGTCAAACGTGTTCTTACTATGAGAACTGCCCCGAGTTTTGTTACTTATAGTCAAGACTGCAGAATTCCCTACACTATACATTATTGTACTGTAACACAACAGTAGATTAATATTTTGAACCCCCTCATATTGAGGATATCGTTTTATTTTAGTCGTAACTGCGAAGAGTTGCATAAGACATCACTACAATATATAAGTGAAGAAAAACAAGAATAAGTCAAGTTTTAACTTTATTATGTATTATATTACATTGTCGACTCATAGCTATAAGACAATAATACCTTTGAATAACGCAATACATTGTGTTTTATGATAAACATGTTATTTCATTATACATTAAACAGAATGTATATTAAAAATAAACAAACAGATACATGACTTACAGTAATTCTAAGTTTATTAATTATGCTAATAATAAATGCTTAACTATACTAACTGAAGTTATAGGCTACAAGATTATAAAATAAATTTAGCGTATCCTAAAGTCTACTTACCATTAAAAAATCATGATATAAGAAAATGGGGAGAGGAAATTTTTTAATTTATTTTTCTTTGTCTCATTGCAAAAGTTATCAAGCCAGTGTTTTATACTAAAATCCATTTTAATTAATTTCGTAGAAAATTAATATGCTACTGTTTTAGTTCTTTAAAATAGTTTAGTTTCCAATCCATAATTTTCGTTTTCAACAATGATGACATTAAATGCAATTTGATTGTAACAATAAATAATCAAACTTAACATTTTCAATACATTAGTCACGTTTATAGGTATTCTTGAGACAGAGCATATATGGCTAGACGCATGGCTCAACATAGTTTCCTGGGAACAGTCCCGTGACCCCGTCCATGACACCTTCCCACCAGCCGTCGTCGTTCTTCTTCAACACGTAGATGACAGAGCTCTCTTGGAACGATAGCTCGTCTTCCTTGTCCGCGTAGTAGTCGTAGATGGCGACAACTGCGACCGTAAAAATGCTCGTTATGTAAAACAATTACAAGCTCTAAAGCGGCCAATAGACGGTCAACGTTAATGTGGAATTTGGATTGCAATAAACTGAACTGCGTGGGGGGTGATACTGACGGTTGTACAATATTTCCGGCACAATTATTTCCTGTTCGCACAATATATTTTCACAATATATTTCAAAACCTTTCAATGTCGTCTACACATGATCAGTTTTATTGTACAACCCGGAAAATTGCACAATAATAATGATAGTCTATGAGCCGCTTAAGCAATTTCCAACGAATTGCTTTTTGTCATTGTATGTTTTTAAAGTTTTTTTTATCATTTACATAAAAAACTTTTAACGGTATAAATTAAAAATATATTTTAGATTGAAAAAACATAAAAGATATACTTAAGCATCTACAGCGTCCCGTGCTGTTTGCTCCATCGTTACACGGTAACATGGTAGCTCAATTGGTTGGTAAAATATGTAAAATTACGTTATTATTAGCGTTTAAAATCGTTTAAAGTTTTCATTAACGATTTTAAACGCGAAATATGTTTGTTAAACTTATATTAACTGAATTATTTAACTATAACCCGACGAAACAGTAGTGTTTCATTTAAATAACTACGGATTTCTTTTTTATCTGTTATATTCTTAAGTGCATTTTAATACTATTCTAAAACAAAACGCATACCTTTCTCTATGTAGTTCTTAGGAACCCAACCAGGCAAATCCTCTTCATCAGGCACAATAGCAGGTACTGCTCCGCTGTAAGCGCTTCCCATCTTATTCTGCAATTATACAAGATATTACTAGTAAGTAGAAAAATATAAGTTCCATAATTATGTAGTCATACTGGTGTGATAATTACGTGCATATGCTGTGGTCTCCCGAAGGCGTCGTGAACAAGCTCATCGTCCATAGGCGGAGGTGGCAGGGGAGGAGACACGGATCCGCCACGAACTGAACCCCCTCCACCAGATGAGGAAGACGCGCGCTACAAGTATACAATCATATCGTATTGTTACAATTTTGCGACTAGGTAATGGTTCACTAAATCACCATTAATTAATTGTGAAACAAAAACTGCTTGGACAGAGTTATCAATATCTGAACGATAAAAAATGCTTTTGACTAAATTAATAATTAAAGTGTTATTGACTTTGACCAATATTAAACCTTTTTAGGCAAGCACATATTTGTCTGATTTATTTAATGTCCAAATAGTAATAAAATATATAACTACAAAAGCTGTTTAAGTATTCCCGTTTGTTAAATATACTCAATAAAACATACATGACCAGGAAGGCTCATAGAATGCTGACTATGTTCACCGTCAGATCCAATCAATGGTGATGGTGGAGCTGTAAACAAATTATGCCATATAATGCCCATTTACATAATAACAAGTATTTTATTCAGCAGTGTAACATACGAGGCATGCTGGCATGGAGGTCTTGCTGCGAGTAATTAGTGGATTGGTGTTGATTAGGATGTACCATGCCAATCTGTGGAAAATATATAAGTTAATTATAATAAATTAACATTATATTAATATTGGGATTTTTTTATAAAACTTGTTGATTGAATATAAGGAATAGACATAGGCATGTGCAATAACCAAAGATAACAAGAAGTATTTCATATAATATATTGTATATGTATATTGTTGTATCCATTTTGTATTTTCTATTAGGAATAATTAGCCTTATGAGAATTCAGACATAGGCGGCACTTCTAAAAGATCACAAAAAGTCAAACTAAAGTCAATGTTTGCTTTTCGTGACATTTACCATATAGTGATTGTAATCACACGTGAAATATTGATAAAATGGACATTTCACCTGTGGTTGTGCTACAGGAAGAGTAGAGTATCCAGGCGGTCGTCGCGGATAATTAGGTGCGTAGTGCGAGGGCACCTGCGGTGGAGCGACGGCCGGGGGCGTGCGGTACTCGCGTGATGATTTGCCTAAAATCATTGATAATTTTCCTGTTACTCATCACTTAAGTGAAACATATTTAGACCTAACAAATTTTAGCATCAAGCAAGTAAAATATAATTTTTCGATTGCCCAATTAATTTTTTTATATTTATGATAACTGTAATTAATATTCATTCACTCCTATAACTCTAAATAATTATTTATATCCTTCTTAATTGTTAATGTGCAACAATACTAAGTAATATATAGAAAATAATTAAATATGTTGAATTAAAAAAAAAATGATTTACATTTCTAATTGAAAACTCACCAAGAGTGCCACGTCCTAAAGTACCAGTATTAGATGCAGAGGCCGATCGAACTGCAGCGGGTGGTGTTGGTGGTTTTGTTGTAGGTGCAGGGAGTGGTGCAGCTCCTGGGACAGAACTTGAACGTCGCCCACGAGGAGTACCACTAACACCACTGCTCCAGCGTGCACCATGTCCAATGTCGTCTAGAGCTGTCGAAAATATCATCATTCAGCAAGTGACCAATAGTTTAGTAGTCTTCATATTTGAGCTTATTGAACTAAGTCATCTATATGTTATTGGTAAGCATAATCCAAAAATCCTTGGCTGTCTAAGCAATGGCTTTTTTGAAGGTTTTTCTCAAACCCAAATATATGGGGAAGAATTAACAATTTGATTTATTAACAGGCAAGTATTAGCATTTAACCAACCAGTTAAGGTAAAAAATGGCCTTTTTTAGCTAGCATATTGTGATATTTATAAGATTTCTAAATACCTGTATAGTCAATGCTCTTGCGAACATACTTAATAGGTTTTTCAGGATTTGCTGGAGCAATAATTTTATATTGCCTGTTAGTCACTTTATTGGCTGTAAGAACACCAATTTCTCTTCGCGCCACTTTCTCCTTATGAATAGCCACTGTTTGAGCAATGTGGTTCATTTGACCTTCCATCTCAGCTAACTGCATTGTTTGTAATTCCAGCAATTGTAGGAAGTTGTAAGCAAGGGTGTTTATTTGATAAGCAACACTAGCCAGTGACTGAGTCGTATAGTTTTTAGTACTTTCTAGTGCAAGGCGTTTGTTTTCAGATTGAAAATAGTTGGCTTCGCAATATTCCGCAACACGTTCAAGATTTGTATGACTGTCCGTGAGGTGATTTCGACCCTCAGGGATTTCTGTTTGTAAAAGCGATGCTAGTTCTGCCATTGTGACACTAAAATATTAAAGTAAAAGTAACTTAAAAAAAGTTTATAGGAGTACAAATAAAAACAATATTTTTGACTAAGATGTTAAGGGTGTGAGTGTTTACAATATCAGTAATACATTAGCTCTATACAATTACATTTTTTAAAGTGCGTGTGAATGTACTTACGTTTGGTATTTTTAATCTCGAGAAAAACAACTACTGTAGTTTATTTTATTTTGATTATTAGTGAGTGATTATTATTTATTAATTAACCATTTATAGCACTAAAGTTTATACATGCACAGATATATAATATACATACAGATCTGTACAGAATTACAGATCTTTAATTGTAGACTGTTGCCTATTGGTAACATATTGTCAAGACCACACATTACCAATTTATGTTTTCGATAATGTTATAAAACAATTGCTTTCTACGGTTTAAGAACATATAAAACAGTTATCAAATTATTAGCATGGATACTATAATATCAAAAATTTTAAATATAGTTACAATAAATGTTAATTCAAATATTATTAACTGTGGTCACTAGAAAATGGCGATATAACTATGATCAATGTTTGACATCTGTGGTCAAATTCATTGATTGATGTCGACTTACTTTGATTTTAGCATTAACTTTTAACATAACAAACTACAATCAAGATAACAAATTTCCTATATAAAATTACCTTCAAAATGATATGTAAATAATTTTATAACTATGGGTACGAATGGAAACGGACGGCGTGGAGGCGCTAAATTACACATGGAAGAAGGAGATTGCAATAATGATATGGAGAGTCCCGAATTGGACTTTGTGTACGATGACTGCGATACACAAGCGAATGAAATTGCTGAATTGTACAGCTACACAGAACATCCGGAATTTCAACTCAATGTTAAAGCTTTCGAAGAAATTATGGAAGAATTCAACTTTCCGCCGAGTTGGCAAAGGCTTACAGAATCTCAGAGACGTACTATAATTATGAAGCTATTGGAGTATTTAGATTTAGCTGTAAATGACATACGTATGCGAGCTGCCAGATGTATCCTGTATCTAGCACAAGGCTGCTGGGCTGAAATGCAATCTGATGCAGAACAAGCACATTGGGCGCGTCTCAACATCTTTAATTTATATGAAATGGGTGTGTTTTCCGCTTTTGTTGAATTGTTAAATCTTGAAATTGTTCGCAGCAGTACATCTACGGTTGCTTCTAGAAAATTAGCAGAATCTCTGGCGGACTCCACACACTTGAGGGTAATTTTGTCTGTTCTTTATCTTATTACTGAACACATGAGAACAGAGAGTTACAATGAAAATTCTGAATATCAACATTTAGTGCAACTATTTAAAGAAGAATTAGGCACACCTTATGGAGAAGAATTACTACCAGTTCAACTTTTAAATATGGTCACCCACATCTGTGCAGGTACTGCATCACATTTTCCAATGAAAAAGGTTTTGCTGCTCCTGTGGAAGATTCTATTAGTATACTTGGGAGGTATAAAGGAGTTAAAAGATAGAAAAATGAAATTGCGAGAAAAATATGGGCTAGCTCCTATAGCAGAAGACACTTTAGAAGTTGTTAAAGGTATGCGGGCTAGCTCTCCACCACCCAGTGCAGTTGATATGATAGAAAATCAAAATCCTAGCCAGAGGAAAATTAAAGATGTCGATAGAGCTATGAGAAGACAAACTTTTATGAAACAAACATCTTTGGATGAATCAGATGAACAAATATATGTTGATAAAGAAGAGACAAGTAATGGTTCTGAAGACTATTCTATGGAATTTCAATCTATGCCCAATGAGGGACCACAGAACTCAAACCAAAATTGTCCATATTACATGTATTACAAGCAATTTGATAGTCCTCCACCCCCCCCACCTCCTAAGAGTTTGCCATGGCAGTCTAAAGTACGCCAAAAGGACATTGACAACTTCTTAGACAATGTAAGGATAAAATTTATTGGATATTCATTACCCGGTGATAGGCAAACTATTGCAGGACTCCCAAATCCTATACATGAAGGACTGGACATTTTAAAGAAGCATATCTATACAAGTATTTCAGAAATTCAAGTAGAAAGAGAAATGGAAATTTCACGGAGTCCTTTAACTAAAGGTGAAAAGGAAATAGAGGAAACTGAAACTGAGGTTTTGTACAGAGAAATGGTGCCAAATTTACCCCAATACATGATTGCCCTGCTAAAAATATTGTTAGCAGCAGCCCCCACATCTATAGCTAAAACTTATCCTATGAATATCATGGCTGATCTTTTGCCAGAAGAAATGCCAATGACTGTGCTTCAATCGCTGAAACTTGGTATAGATGTAAATAGACATAAAGAAATAATTGTCAAAGCTGTGACTGCAACTCTCTTATTACTTCTTAAGCATTTCAAATTGAATCATGTGTATCAGTTTGAATATATGTCACAGCATTTAGTTTTTGCCAATTGCATGCCCTTGGTTCTCAAGTTCTTTAACCAAAACATTCTGGCATATGTAGGGGCAAAAAATACTATACCTATATTTGATTTTCCCGCCTGTGTTATTGGTGAGCAACCTGAACTAACTAAAGAATGCCTGGACATAGGGGACACATCAGTTCCTTACTCCTGGAGGAATGTGTTTTCTTGCATAAACTTGCTGAGGATTTTGAATAAACTTACCAAGTGGAAAAATGCAAGGATAATGATGTTAGTTGTATTTAAAAGTGCTCCCATTCTGAAACGCACTCTTAAAGTAAGACATGCTCTAATGCAGTTTTATGTTTTGAAACTTTTAAAGATGCAAACTAAACATTTAGGAAGGCAATGGAGGAAGACGAATATGAAAACTATAAGCGCTATATATTCCAAAGTACGACATAGATTGAATGATGATTGGGCGTACGGAAACGATGTTGATGCGAGACCGTGGGATTTTCAAGATGAAGAATGTGCTCTCCGTGCCTGTGTTGAGAGTTTTCATAGGCGGCGTTATGGCATAGGACCCATAACTGGTGGCAGAGATCATGAGAATGATTGGTCACCAGTCGACACAAACATCAATAGTGTCCTCGATACTAATATTGAACTGGATGAAGAGTTTAAAGAAAATTACGAAATATGGTTGGAGAGAGAAGTTTATAACAATGAATCATTTGAGAGCAGGTTCTACACAAATGGAGCCAAGACGATATAAACTTTTAAGAATGTCAAACAGGACCTGTATTTTCTGAATACTCTAAATTAGGATTATGGCAATATAAAACTACCTATAGTATATACAGTATTTGTATTGTTTAGAAATACTAGTTCTAAAAATAAGATTTTAAGTGGTTCAATAGAATAAATTTAGATTGCCATTTAATGACATCTGGACAAAGCTTAAAACTGCTGATTTGCAAACCTATTAAATATTTATTTCTTAATTACCAATTTTACTTAGTAAAGATAAACTTCTATTATATGATTTTTTTTATAAAAAGTTTAAATTATAAATCATGTTTGAAACATCTTTAGTATAGAATACTTGTCATGTGCAATTGCCATGTTTATGAATTTTTAATAAAGTGACTATCTGAAAGAATATCTTTTTTTATTTTACTATATTACGAAACTATCATTGTAATCAAGTAGGTATCAGTTAGGCTCAGGACACAGAACGTAAAATGTAATCGTAAATAACTAATTATGTATTGTAAAATTGATCTACCTTCATTTTTGAATACCTACGTTGTTTTCAAATTATACCATATTTTCTTTCTAAGGATCAAAAAGGCAGGTAATTCATTCTTAGAGTATTTTATACTATTAAAACTAATCTGGCATGGATGCTCAGTTCTCACCAAGAGGAGAAATATAGAAAATATTGATTGCTGCTTAATTGTTTGACACATTTATTTATTGTTCTGAAACGAAAATACATTTGAAACTAGTATGTAAGATGACACTTTAATAAACATTATGAAAATTGTAAGTGTTTTAAAAAGGGAATACGGAAATCTGGTTAGTTCCCACGTCAAATGTCATGCGCCTGACACCTGAACATTTGTAATATTGTGTATTACAATGGATCCTTTTACCGACACGACGGGGCACTTAAGATCCGGGGGTGTTAACAGCTATCTGCGATATTATTTTACAAATAGCCAGCGCTGGTATTAAATTTATGATCGACGATCATATTTAATAATTTTAATTTTTATTTCTTAAACAATAAAATACAACGCGAAGCCTAAATACCTACTAGTATTTTTATACTAGTTGACTGTTTGGTTTTAACGTGAAAACAAGACTGTGCCGTCTAAGCGTACTATTTTTAACTCCCACAAGATCTTAGATCCCACAAAAACCACCTTTCCCGATAAAACGAAAATTTCTGAATGCAACTCGCTAGGCGCAAGACGCGGAGATGTTCTAGATAAAGTACACGTAGCTCCACATTATGACAACAGTTAACATGATAAAATCTCCACGCTAAAGAATTTTCTGCTCTATAACTCGTATAATGAGGTTGGATTCAAACTACGCTTTGCATTTGTTCTTTAAAAACACTTGACAACGAGCAGTGCATATAAAAATGTGTATTTTTGTTCTGTTTCTGTTAATACGATGTGTTTTATCATCAAAAATGATTGACAGCGAGTTAGATGTGAACGATATACTACGCACTGATTTGATGCCGACGTTCTTTCTTTCCAATGAAGTAATGGAGGAGCCAAAGCAATCTCCTCCGAACAGTGTCCAGTTTTCGATCCATAATGGTTCCATTGGTGCTGCCTTGTCCACTCTGAGTTTTCATAGGTAAGTTTAAATTAAAAGAAAAGCGGGTACTTACTTTAGATTGGTTCTATCTCGAATAGTATGTATATAAATGTCTAAAAATATTATTACCTTTATTTGTAGGTAAATAGGGTGTATTTTGTTATAAAAAGCGTTTATTTAATAACACATTTTAAAACTTCCATAAATTTTATATCTTACTTTTTTACAGCTACGTTGTGCATCGCGTTAAATAAATACATAGGTACTCGATACATAAACTTATATAAAGTTATTTTTTTGTTTAAGATTTTATAATGTGTTATGTATTTAGGTAGTAAGACTTACAAATAAATAAAATCTATAGGCATATCCTTAAACCATAATACCGCCTTAAGCAGTTATATTTTAATTTATTGTAGGCAAATGATGAACGAATACCAATGTAGAAATTACCTAGCCGAACAAATCCTAGAAGAAATCGGAAAAAATTCCGTACAAAACCGACTTGGGAGACCATTTACAGCAAGTTACGCGAAAAATGTGTACGGCCCGCGTTTGTACGACGTTGGATCGGCAAATTATCAAGAATGGCTAACTAAGTATGACTTGATTATTAGACCTATATTTCTGTGTAATTAGAGAGGAAGGTAAGGTGCTTCATTAGTTTTTCTACTCTTAAATCAAAAGTTAATTTATATTCAGAAGTAATTAGGTAAATAAGTAAATATATACCTAAGTTATATTATTTTATAAATTTTTTTTATATAATATTCTTTCTTGGTAAAGCCACTGTTAATTAGGCAGATTATAACCGTTAAGAATTCTAGTTCTTTAAACCTCCCTTAGAAAAAAATTAACCAATAAATCCTATTAGATACGATTATTTTTTATTGAGCTTATAACTTGCTATTCCTATATATTATATCTTATCTATATTATATCTCTTTTAAATAAAACATTTTAAGAGGGTTTAAACTTATTTGGAAATCAGTCTCCGTCTCCCCATCACGGATGCAACAAAGCATCCGAAACGTCGGGCAGTTGTTAAGATAATCTTTTTTTCAAAACGTCTACTACTCGCGTAAACTACAGACAGTATTTAAGTTTTTGTATAAATTTTATTTCATTAGAGTAGCGGCCCTAGACGACATATACCGCCACTTCAATATGAGTGTGAATGCGAACCTGAACAACACGCTGCCTCTCCATCCTCAGTTGGTGACGGCAAATCCAAGGGACGGCTACGAAGTGATGGAATCTGGCGAAGCAGGGTTCGGCGACCCAGATCTGAACTTAGATCTATCTAAGCATAGTTAGTATTATAATAATTGAACCATCTTTGGTACAAATAACGAGTTTAATAAAATTTACAAAAGCCGTTAAAAATCTAAAAAATTGCAACAATATAGCGTTCGTGATAATAAGCTCGTAATTAAGAAATGGTTTTTGACGTCAATCCAAGTTGAAGTTTTATTCCTATCGTCATTCTAGATAAAATTATTTAATTAATATAACTCATTTTTTATTTAAATGTAAAGCCTCGACGGCGTCATGTATGGTAGCAATGAATGCTAATAAACAACAGGTCGAGGTTTGTATCCCCACAGGATCTAATATTCTTCTATTCAATTTATTATTTTTGAAATCTAAAATAATAAATGAGTGGTCGCAATTTCGAAATTCGAACCGCTGTCCACAGATGAAAGAGCCGTCAAGTTTAATTGTGTTTCGCTTTCAGTCGCTGGATTTCCGAATATTTAAAGCCAAAACAGGCCGACAGCGCATCATGTTTAGATGTTATATTGCTGGAACATTTCACCTTCCATATAATGAACCGCATGCTTGTCTATCTTCTTCCGTCGTAAAAACATTCCCCTTTCGATTTATATTGAATGTGATGTGAAAAGCTAATTCCAGAGTTCTCTAATTTTCAGGTGGTGGCTACGAATACTCTATGCCGCCGCCACCACCACCGATGTACCAGCACAGTGAACACGAAGATTCCCATGAGGAGCATCACGTGGAACACAAATCTCATGGTCTTGGCGTTGCCGATCTCTTCGACATATCACTAACGGGCATCGCATTTCTATCCTTTGGGATGTTTGTTCTACAAGTTCTTATGTGTATTACTATGGTAAGTCGGTTACCATAATTACCCAGTAACTAATTGTTTATACCCTGTCCAAAATAGGGTGGTAATTATACATTTATTTGTTTGTGTAATAAATACTTAAACTTTATAAAAAATAAATTCATATGTAGGTAGGAAATGTACTGCTGTAAATGTGTAAAGTTACATTTAATTCTAGAAAGAATGTCTATTTCGTTTTTTTACTATTTATTATGGATTAAGTTGACTTAAACAGATCTTTATAAGTATTCTTAACATATATTGTTAATGGTTGTGAGGTATAACGCCTATAAAACCTTAGATATTTAGTGTTCATGATCTGGATTACGAAATATTGTTTCGCCTTGTTAAAATTCATATTGTTCATGAAGTTTAGATTGCACAGAGATATAAGTTATAGGTAATTATTTTTTTATAAATGTATTTCTTTAAAATTTAGAAAACCGACAAATTCTAAATAATGATACGTTTTCTCAAATCCAGACTGATCAACCACCACAAGTGATGCAAATGATAGACAATACAGACAACGTGAACGTAGACGATGTGTTTCGTTTTAAACGGGAAACGGAACCCAGGAACTCAGTAAAATCACTGAACGATATTGCCCGATATGCCCTGATGGCTTTGCGACCACAGTCTACTGCATGCCTCTACAGATCTTTATGTTTAGGAAATAAACACATCCGAGAACTACAGAATAAAGAAAGATTTTGGTTGCCACTGTTTCAGTAAGTACTTACATTGTTCATTCATTATAGATTATATAAAATTCAACGAAAACTATTCTTTATTTATGGACGAATTTATTTTGTTCAACAATATAAAAGTAAATTTAAAAATTTTCATTTATATTACCACTACAATACATTAATTTCAAGACCATTTGTTTTTAAAAGAGGAGGACAGACAAGCATATTCACTTGATAGTAATACCAACGAACAAACAGCCATATCACATCCTAACAAAATGCTCTATCGACCTATTTTGCCTTTGGATATTCGGAAATCCATAGATTGAAACCGAAACGGGTGAAACTTGATGGCTATCTATGGACGGTGGTCTGTGACCCGGACGTAATTTCGATATTGCTACCATCAGTTTAATATCCAGACGAAGACCTCGAACCCCCGACCTGTTTATTTTAGCCATACGATGCTACACTAAAAAGTCTTTATCATTTCAGTGCCGCAACTGCTTGGACTCGTGGAGTAACATTGGGAGGCCTAAGGGCTGCAGCGTTAGGTCTTGGTGGAGCAGACTGTAACAAAATATACCCAGAACATTGTTCCTGATTATAATTTTTTATTTATTTTAGAATAGTCCATTAATATTTCAATTATTATTAATCAATGTTAAAACTGCATATTTTAAAATTTGCAATAACTTTTATTCTTATATATTATTGTTTTTTAAATTAAAGTTGTAAGCTTTTAAACACATTTTAATTTAAGTAACATTGTTTTCTCGTTAAGTAATAAGACTGTAAATTAATTCTTAAAACAGAACTTTGGTTTCTACGTCTTTATCTGGCTGTTAAATAAAAGTTGAAGCTATAGAGGTATTTTTATTATGTATATGTACATTAAATATCTAGCCACTTACAATCGTTATAACTAAATTAGAATATAATAAATTAAACTTAACTCTACTTAAAATGATATACATGTTGATAATGTCACTTGGCTACGCTTAACTTAAATACAAAAGTTCAATTTGATAATGTTTCTTTAGAATCAGATGTAATTTTTTTTAATATGTTAACCGTCTAGTAGGTATGATAATATTAAAAATAAAATACTTTGAATACAATAGGCTTTGCCTTACGGTGGCGATGAGGGCAGAGTCACAGGTGTGAAAACACAATTAAGGGGTGGGTAAGCGTACGGATTCAAAAGAGAGTATGCTTGCGGTGCCTGTGCTAAGATGTGCCCCGGAAACAAGCCCTGCCGCTGAGCAATCTTCAGTCGAGATGTTAATTGTTTCTTCCACTTAGTCCTACGATTCTGGAACCACGTTTTTATTTGTACTTCTGTGAGGTCGAGGGCTTTTGATAGTTCCATTCGCTTAGAGACGCTCAGGTACTTGTCTAGTTTGAATTCTGCTTCGAGCCGTTCGAGTTGCTTGGCGCTGTAGGCTTGTCGAGGTTTCCGTTCTGGCCCCGCTCGACGTGGTCTTCTGCAGCCCTTATCATCTGCGAATTGTAAACGTTACATAATTCTTATATACGGAATGTTTGCTTGAATATCAGTCGAAAACTGTCAAGTACCTAAACAAATACGTCAGCATGTAACGTAACATGAAAATATACGCTAGCACTCAGAAGATTTGAAAGTACTTTATAATTAAATACTGTCTGCAGTTTACGCGAGTAGTACACATTTAAATAAAATACTTTAACGGTTTAAAACTCGATATATATTAGTAAAACTTATTTAAATATTTGTTAAACTACGGCCCGACGTTTCGGATGCTTTGCAGCAGGCATGGTCACGGGGAGACGGCTGCTGCGAAGGGCCGTAGTTGCAATAATTTACACAAGTTCAGTTAAGTTATATCGCGTTTTACTTTCTACTTCCAATAATTTGTATTTATACAAAAGTGGATGATCACTTAACGCAAGTAATCAATGCACGTAGGTACCTACTCAGTAATTTAATAAAAATACCTTGTTGCCCTCATTAAAGTAGCTCTCACTAAAGGCAAATATGCGGTGATTTTTTTTCGTACACTAATCGGAATTATCTCGGCTTCTCGTTAAGTGGCTATAAACACAATCAGTTTGTTTGCCTTGCGCCTGCGCAGTTTGACATCTCGTGTGTCAATATTGCTTTGTGGCGAGTGTATGGTGCATGATGGCCTCGCTAACAGACTGCTAACTATTTACGTATGTAGTTCACAAACCAGATCTGAGTATTCCTATATACTGCATTGCTCTGTATCCATTTCAAGATTTTCAAATACATTTTTATTTTACGCCCTTTTTGATGTATGTGATTAGTTTGATACTGTACTGTGTTAATTAAATCCAATGTATTATTTAATAAGAAATGGGCAATCGTATGTAGCTATTAAAAGTTTCATAAATTCTATAAAAATATTGGAGGTATACAATCAGAGAGTCGGGGGTGTTGGACGCAATAAGGCAACACCCTCCTCTGTCCCTCTCAAGTCATATTAGGTTATTCAATCTAAAAATAATTTAGAGTTTAAAAAATCTTCTAAATAATCTCTTCCGTTTTATTGACGCTGAAGAGCTAAAAGATGACACTCACGGTAAAAATTTCACGTAACATTAAATTCTCTTTAGGACCGTATCGTACGGCTTGTTAAGCCGGTGGGCAAATATCTGAGCTTTGTTGGTAATTATCGCCGCGGCAGCTGTTTGCCGACACCTCGGTGCGAAGTCGCGACCACCGACCGACGGCTGGCGACAATTCGTCGAATATGTCTCCGGACCTATCGCTGGAACCGCAGCAGCGTGTAGGCTCTGTTAGCTTTACGAGTTAGTGGGTTTACACGACATTTTTCACATTAAATCCTATTTGCAATAATTTAAAGCACGTATTATTGGTTTCAAATGATAAAAATATTGAAAGAAATCATTACGATTTATGCTAAATATTAGAATTGCCATTTAGTATATATGTTAATATCGTACACTAGCGATGATTCAGTGAGAAATCAATGAGCCTAAAGTAAAAAATGTTATTAAATACGTATAAAGCTGTATTAATATTTCAGCAGTATCCAAGTATAATACTTAGCAAGAATATATAAATTCGTAGCAGATTCTTCTTATACATGTTAGCTGATATTATTTTTATCAGACCGTATTTAATAAATCTACGTTTGTAAATTTCTGTGTCCGTTTCACAGATCGAGATTATTCGTATAAAAGTATTTAATCAGACCACTGCACACTGCCTTTCGAATCTAGGACTTTCTTGTTTAACGCAACGCGTTTAACCTTTGAGCTATCATTTTATGATAATAAAAAAATATTAATTGTTAGGGATGATTGCGTGAGATGAGAGAAGGTAAAATACGTGTGAACAATCACACCCGTACGTGGTCACGCGATCTTCTCGGCGTTAAACGAGGAGTAGTCTAGAAATACTGAACAATAATAATTAAAACGAGTAAGTGGGGATAGCAACAAATACATTTATAAATCGGTTAACATTTACTTTATTTTTTGTAGAATCGAACTCGTTAAACACATTTACTGAATATAAACAGACGTATATAGGTCAAATGATATAGTTCATAGTACCAATATTTATATACTAGGCGCTGCAATGGTATTATGGTTTATACTGCAATAGTAGTTCAAACGTTATTTCAATAACACAAACACACTTCCGTAAACTTTCATAAATTCACAAATTATGATATAACTCGTGGGAGAGTTATGAAAATTTTATTCTATTGTCTATGTTATTTCAAAATTTAATGATAAGAACACAAAGTCATAAAATTTAGATTGTCTTATTGTTTAAAAGACTTCTTTAATGACAGGGCTATTTGGCATTGTAATGGATTGCTCCTTAGGTCATTAAATTCATGAAAATGTATTAGTTTGTAAGACATGTTGAAAAAAGCCAGACCGAGTTTGTTAGATGTTCTCTCCGGTTATGTTGCTCTTTTGAACACTGTAGAATCACGACAAACGGACAGACAAACATAGTTTATGACGAATGTAAATATTTTTTATAATTCTACAGAGAATAAAGTATATTTTATTTTATTTACAAGCCCTCTAATTATGAAATTATAAGTAAATTTTTGGAATAGACCAATTCGCGACTGTGCCTAGTGCCAAATATCCTATATTATATAAATAATACATAATATTCAAATAAGTAAAGTGAAATTTGGAAGTTATTATTTATCCTCTTTTATTTAACAGCAAATTATCGTTATTAAAAAATGTTTTTAACTGTATATTTCTCTAGTACGCAATTATGTATACGTTTTATGCTTGTCTAAATTAAAAACAAACGAAAATAGGAAGGACAATAGTTATGCTTTCTGTGTGCGCCTACGCTGCTACGTGCTACGGAGGTTTTAAAAGCACACGCTGTCGCCGAATTCAAAGAAATCATTTTTGTTAGAAACGTTGTTTTTATCTTATATAATATTTATTTAGTTTAGTGGATTGCAATGTAAAAATTAAAGTGGACCATGACTTAATACCCTGGACACGATAAATGCATTTTTCTCAAACATTCTCAAACCTGCCATCAAAAAGCCCACAGACTCTTATATCCTTACCATAGATACTTGAAGATGGCTGCCGTGTTGCCAGCCAGTGTGCATAAGCGTGGCCTGCTAGAAGTTCTGCTCCATTAAGCACACTTAGGTCTGCACATGTCGATGTTGATGATACTAGAAAAATATGGCATTATTATAATCAAATTATTCCTGTAACCTAGGTTAGGTTGCTAAAAAATATCAACTCAATTTTATTTAATAAATAAATGATCGCATCATATACAAGTACTGTTTTATTTTAATCACAGCTGCTGTATTATTATATTTTTGGCATTACTCAAAATAACGTTCGGGGGTTCGGTTCCTTATTGTGAACCGTAGAAAATGTCAAGACATTTATCTCCTTTGCCATCATGCACTTTTCACTCTAATATTAGTTAAATTTTTCAGCAACTGTATATTGACAACATTATGGAAGAATTTGAAAACAATATTTATATATTGAGATCTAAACATTTTAAATTTTTAATAGATTATCTTTATAATTAAGGTCACAATTATTAAAATATAACAAGTAATAGTTATAAAATGTATTAATAATGTATCATTTTTAAAATTTAAAAATGACTACAAATTTCAAAAATATTATTAAACATAAGAAAGTTCTTTTTAAGACAGAGAATAGGAATCGCTTTATAAAAGGTGAAATACTCCAGCCATTAACACAATAGGTAGTAAATAAACAATCTCACTAAGATCTAGAACAACAGAGAATAGAATAATAGAATAACATCTCAATAAGATGTCAAATTTTGGCTTTGGATATATTGAAATCCACACAAATACAATAAACGCGGTATAACTCTCCATCGATAGATGGTGGTTTGTCATCCGGAAGATAATTCGATATCTCTAGCGTCCATTTAATCTCCAGATTTTTCTGATACAGGCTTAAAAAAATGTTTTAAGAAATATTGGGGCCCGATAGGACCTTTGCTACCATTCGACCAACGGGTCCGATTCTAAATAAAAAAATGTTTTAAGAATAACGCAGACATGATATCTTATATTTCCCATTTATTTGTTTAGTAAGTATATTTCTTTGTATTTGAAATATTGCTGAAGTATTTACATGTAATACTAAAATAAGAAATTCCGAACAAAACTCACCGTTATGTTCATCACCCGCATCAGAATTATCTTCGCTATCATTTGTTTCTGGCTTTTCTTGTTTCTTACTCTTAAAATTGCCTAATATATTATCTATTAAAAAGGTTTTACTTTTATTATCGTTCATCAAGGGATTATTAGGTATGTGACTAGATGTGTAATCCTTGAAGACATTTTTACAGTAAAAACCGCTGGAATCTGTATGGTTGTGGAAACGAGGACTTTTGTTTTCAAAGTGCGCCCGATCACCATTTTCACAAATCACATCGATCTCATTCTCACTGTCAATTTCCGATTCACCATTACATGATCCATTTGTTTTTATGTCACTGTCGCATGTACTCGATATGCGATCTAAGTTATTCATTTTTTTAAATCGCTTCACTTCCACTTAATAATGTTGAGAAGGTACGAACTAACGACATTATGAGGAACAACTCAGCTGCGGTATTTGACATGAACTGATAATTGCTTTTAAAAATAGGTGTTACCAGTTAAAGAGACAGAGATTGTAGGTAGTGCTATCGTGAAATCCTCGAATGCTACTGGTTGATGATCGTTGGAGGGGTTAACGCCATCTTAGAAGGTGGGGCCTGACAGACCGCCTGCGAAAATTCACACCTTTCTTATATTTGATAACACGCTATATGAGAGCTTTCCACCTCACAAAAGACCACTAAAAGCTCGAGATGATTCGAATGAAAATGGATATTGTTTGATCCGAGCAATCAATTTGTATGATAAATCGTTGATTGCCGAATTTGAGATTTCTTTTCATTGAGCTGATTGCAATTTCTTATTAATTTGATCCGTATTTTTTGCTTATATTCTTCTTATTATAGTTTTTGTTAACTGTACACAAAAATTGGATCAAACATCCTACCTATCAGTTTTCTCATCTTCATCGTAGACTTTTTACATTAAAAACTTCAATATTTTGCACATGATGGAATACATATTAAATAAATAAAATTTGATTGATGTTTTTTGCTATTTTTTCTATCTAGATCCATTTTGAATTTGTACAATTTTTATTAAAAATACCTAATATTAAATACTGTCTGTACTGTATTTACGCGAGTAGTACACATTAAAAAAACATTTTAACGGTTTGAAACGCGATATATTTTAGTTTGTTTTCCCATAACCACGGCTGCTGCAAAGTATCCAAAACGTCGGGCCGTAGTTAAAAATAATTTTCAAACAAGTTTAACTAAAATATATCGCATTTTAAACCGTTAAAGTGTTCCTAAATAATGTATTGATGAATATTGTAAAAAACGTATAGATACATTTTAACAATCACAACTTATTCTAGTTAAACCCTTAATAATAATAAAGTTCTAATTTATATACTTCCAGCCCAGCATCAGCAACTAATATTGTATATTTATTAATTTAAAAGCACTTCTTAGAGAAGCACTCTCTGAATTTATTCCTGAATCTCATCTATACTTTAATTTACGCTTGAACCAAGACCAAAGAAAGCATGATTTAAACCATCTTGATGGGACTTCGTATGAATAAAAGTTTTAAGTCTATCGTGATAGAGGACGCTAAAATAAATTTAGAGGAATTTTCCAACGAGTTTTGTTCTTAACGTAGACCCGATAGATGTCGCCCGATTGTGATCCATGTTATCATCAAGGTATACCTTCGTGTCTAATAGCAACAGGTGAGGAGAATGCATACTACGAAAACATTGTAGTGACCATCATAGAGCAAAGTTACAAACGATTCGTTCAACGTATTGCTACGGAGTAATTTTTTTCTGAACGCGCTGAAAGCTTACTAAAGTAACATTGCGTAAAACATTTTATTGTTTTTATCGTCACATAATAAATCAAACATTTTCCCCCAATTCTTATAAACTTATTAAAAGATCTGCAAAGGGACTTTTACTTATAAGTAAGATAGTGTATGGACAACATTATTCCTGTTTCAATTTCTTTCAATATTCCTACGTATTGATTGTAAAAACAACTTTTTATTTCCCAGAGCTTCGATACCAGAACCTCTCGCACATCTCACATATATAAGTTTAAAACGTGTCATATGTAAGGGGAAAACCGGGGAAATGCGATTCTTGATAAGCGTTCAAATATTTATTTATTTAATTATTAAAACATGGAAAACTTACAGCTAATAACAATAGGATATTATATACAAAATATTACATATCAGAGAGCCAATTAAAAGTTTTCACGTTTTAAGCCACGTTAAATGTATTTAATTTAACGGATTTCGATTTATCGCTTATTGTGTAAAATATAAAATGCTATTTTTTCTGAGTGGGCAAGCCTTATGGCCGTCTGTTTTACCGATCGCTTTTACAAGTAACCTGTTTATCAGTCTTCTGAGTCCAGCCCGAACGAAACTCTGAATGCGAAATATATTTCCCCGGGATTCGAACTCAAAACCACTCACACTTAACACAATGCTTCCTTTAATGAATGAGATATCTATATAGTTTATTAAATTGTGGTTTTGCCATTATTTTTTACATAAGCTCACCTTCTAAAACATTTTTCATGTAGGTTAGGTTAAAAAGAATAGGAGCGTTTATTGGGGATTGTAAACGAATATCGCGCAATACGAGATATGTATATCACTTACAAAGGGATCGAGAGCATTCGATCCTACACAATATTCGTTGTAATTCGAACAAAAATATATTGCCATATTACAAAACGGGCAATACAACATTCATTATTTGTCCTAAAGACCTTAAAAATACTTGTATGGTTATTGACTATTTGACAAAGCTCCTTGTCTAAGTACTAAATGCCATATGAAATTTGTATTACATCAAACATTTGCAACGGTTTGAAACACGATATATAAAAATCATTTTTGATTATTGTCCCACGTTTTGGATGCTTTGCAGCAGTCGTGAATGTGGGACGAAGCTTCGTACGGAATATTTCTTGATTAAGATTGAGAATACATTAATATTTACAATACAAACAAGATTTTAACTTACAAAATTATAGAGATCAACAACACGAAATGCTATGAATGCCGGTTCAAGTGTTGCCCGTGTCGTAAAATGTTTACTATTTATAATCGATTGTTAATTTATTATCTGAAAAATTATTATTTTTAAATATATGCCAAAAACAAACAAATATAGTGTGTCTTAACAATAACAAACAAACTTAGTGTCCATTAGAAAAAATAATTTTTCGAAATGAAAAAGGTTTGAGAAATAATCTAACTTATTAACGCAGATATGTAATAGTACATTATGATGTTAGTGCGGTAAGTTGAAAATTACAGCCGAGGCGATATTACTATATCCTATATGGCTATAAGAAAGCAGAGGCTTTAATTTTCAAAGCGCACGTATGTCATACGACGTTTTATAACATATTTAGGAAGAAATTAATAAAACTCTAACTTAGTTAAACGAATAAATCTTTAATTAATTGTTAAAACAGTTATAAGCAATGCGCGTGCATTAACGTTTTTTTAAGCAAAGGTAGGTACAAAAACAGTCAGTATTACTAATAAAGTAAGTTAATATTTTTGTGTTTTTGTTTTAGATAAATGGTTGTAATTTATTGTCAAAATAAAACCTCTTTGCTAAGATTTTTAAAAGTATCGTTCATTTTTAGACGGAGTATCTTTAAACTTTATTAAAAAAAAAAACACGTGCCTTTTACATTACATTATCGCACAAGTAAGTAATGAGATACATTACGATATTGAAATTGGTGTAATTACAACCACTTTACGAGCAAATATGCCATAAAATATTATAAATACCCTTTGATACTATCTCTATGTACTGGAAGGAATTTCCCAGTTGTGTTGTGTAATAGGATTATAAAGTCCCATATAGGATCGTGAATCCCTTTTGGACGTTATGGTTAATGGTTCACAATGGGCAGAATTTAATTTTTGCTATTGCTTCTATTAAACGAGTAGGTAAAATAACGTAAAACTTTGTATTTAATCAAAGTTAAAGAAACATAAAGGGCCTTTTTACAGGACAATAAAAACCAGAAAAAATCTAATTGTGTATTTAATCCATTAAAAAAAGAAAGGTACGCACTGCTAGAGGTTCGAATTCCGCTTTTCTTACTTATACTGTTATTAAAACTGCTAAGAAAAAAAGTTACCGTAACTTACGTTTCAGTATTTTTGAGAATCTGATTCAATAATCAATCACGACGATTGTGTTAAGTGCGGAGGTCTTGGGTTCGAATTTAGGGAGCGAATAGATTGAACGAATAGATGGTTCTACTCGGCTACGATCATAACGGGTTCGTTTGTAGCTTAACAATTAAAACTGACACAGATATATGTCTTTTCCAAGCTCCATGTACATGTGTCATATGCGAAAAGATATACGGGACTAATTATATTTAAGTCAAGACAGACTTGTAGGTGTAACAGTAGCATCTATCGTAAAAAAGGTTTGATAGCAAATTAATGCTAAATGCCGACAATTTATTGTTGTTTTATTGTAAAAATTCCAATACCGCGACTCGAATTATTGTGATCCGTAACCCGGCAGAATTGACACCCAAAGATTGATAACCACCTGTGACACATATTGATGGATTTTATACACATCGAAGCCGCGAATTCCAATCACTTATCATCTGCAACTGCACTTGAATCTGCTTTTATATATTCTGTGGGAAGATAAAGAATTCGCAAAAAAACTAAGAGTCTTGTTTTATTTTAAAGGGTTTTTATATCAAAAAACCCCGTCTCTAGGGCTATGATATAAGAAACATAGAGACACAGATAAAGAGATGAGAAGGTGACACACGAATAATGGTAAGTCCGGGTGGAGAAGAGTAGCCCAAAACGACATATAAAACGGAGTCATATGGTCATATGGTCGAAGGGCGAACTACTTAAAACCATCGTCGGCTATTTTTCATAATTTCTGATGATATATTTTAAAAGTAGTAAAAAATGTTTTTTAAGAGTTTCAAGGTACCGTTATATTGACCGTAACTATATTAAATTAAATAAATAATAATTACAAAAATACATTCAAATAGTAGTGGAAACCACTCTGAACTGTGTCAACGCTTAGGGTACTCTGTCGAAGCTGATGTATACTTTGACATTAGGGACACCCTCCATCTTTAATCCTTCCGTGACCATGACCGCTGCAAAGCATTCGTAACGTTGGGCCGTAGTTAAAACAAATGAAATAAGTTAAATAATACATTTCGCGGTTTGAACCGTTACAACTGTTTCTTTTAAATTTGTACCCCTCGCGTAAACTACTACATGACTATATAATTTTCAATAAAGTTATAGAACTATGTAATAACAATACTATTTCCAAAAGAAGTGCCAGGTTAAAGCTACATCATTAAGTGTAATGAATGTAAATGAAGA